CCAGCAGGCCCGGAGCGCTCGGCCACCTAGGCGCGTAACGAGGCTAGTTCAAGTGGCGAACAAGTAGGCCGCCCAAACTAGGTGCATAACGCGCCTAGTTTCTGTGATGAGCCGCCTTCCCACCTAGGGGCATAACGACCCTAGTCCAGCAGGCGAGGCGTGCTCGGCCAACTAAGGGCATAACGACGCTAGTTCAGCATCCATGCAAGCAGTGCGTGGCAAACTAGGTGCGTAACGACACTAGTTTGCTCCGGTCAGCCCGCGCCTTGACCATCTGGACAATGCTTTGGCATACCTAGGGGCATAACGGCGCTAGTTGGGGGTGGCTGACTAGGGGCGTAATGCCTCTAGTTCTGGTGGCGAGAGAAGTGGGCTGCCGAAACTAGGTGCATAACGCTCCTAGTTGTGGTGGACTGCCTCGCCAATTAGGTGCGTAACGGCTCTAGTCCATCAATCCCGGAGCGCTCGGCCAACTAGGCGCATAACGACGCTAGTTTGCTCCGGGCGAGCAAAGCCTCGGCTGATGCGGACCACGCTTCGGCCTACCTAGGTGCATAACGGTGCTAGTTTGGGGTGGCTGCCTAGGTGCGTAACGCCTCTAGGTAGCGAGACAAGTGGCCTGCCCAAACTAAGTGCATAACGCTCCTAGGTTCTGTGTCTGACTTGATGCATAACGCTCCTAGGTTCAGTATCTGACTAGGTGCGTAACGCGCCTAGTTGTGGTGCAGTGCGTCCCCAACTAGGTGCGTAACGGCCCTAGTCCAGCAAGCCCGGAGCGCTGGGCCAACTAAGGGCGTAACGACGCTAGTTCAGCAAGCACAGGGCACTGCCAACTAGGCGCGTAACGATGCTAGTCTGGTCCGAGTGGACAAAACCTCGGCCGAGGCGGACGACGCATCGGCCTAACTAGGTGCATAACGGCCCTAGTTCAGCGTGGCTGCATGAGCGCCGGCGCCTGCCTAGGCGCGTAACGCCTCTAGTTTAGGTGACAAGACGAGTGTGCTGCCCAAACTAGGTGCATAACGCTCCTAGTTTCAGTGTCTGACTAGGTGCGTAACGCGCCTAGTTGCGGTGCAGTGCGTCCTCAACTAGGTGCATAACGGCCCTAGTACAGCAGGCCCGGAGCGCTCGGCTAACTAAGGGCGTAACGACGCTAGTTCAAGTGGCGAGACAAGTAGGCTGCCCAAACTAGGTGCATAACGCGCCTAGTTTCTGTGATGAGCCGCCTTCCCACCTAGGGGCATAACGACCCTAGTCCAGCGGGCGAGGCGTGCTCGGCCAACTAAGGGCGTAACGACGCTAGTTTAGCAAGCACAGCGCAGCGCCAACTAGGCGCGTAACGACGCTAGTTTGGTCCGAGTGAACAAAACCTCGGCCGAGGCGGACAACGCTCCGGCCTAACTAGAGGCATAACGGCACTAGTTTGGCATGGCGCGTGTGTGCCGGCGCCTGCCTAGGTGCGTAACGCACCTAGTTTAGGTGGTCGGACAAGTGCGCTCCCGTACCTAGGTGCATAACGGCCCTAGTTTTGCAGGCTTCGGACCATGCTCTAACCAAACTAGGCGCATAACGGCCCTAGTTCTGCAGGCTCCGGACCATGCTCTAACCAAACTAGGCGCATAACGGCCTCAGTTCTAGCCCTAATCCTAACCCTAATCAACAGATTCAATCTGATTCAAACCCCAATCTGTTGCAAAAACCAGGATCAGAGGGTTAGGAGAGAGGCTCTGAGCAGCAGGCACCGGAAGGGTCGCCTTTCGCCTCGTCGTTGAGTCTAAAGCCGACGTGGGCACTCTTATATTCGATCTCACGCGCGTGCGCTGTTACACGCGCACTACACGCTACCCAAGCGCTCCCGCGCCCGACCGTCGCCAACGGGCGACCACTCTGCGCTCGCCCCTACCCGCTCGACTGGCGAGATCCCCACTCGCGGGCCCAGAGCTCCCGCACTCGTGGCTTGAAAGTGTACTGTGCGCCCTCAGCATGCCTCCGACCCCTGAATGCTGACAGACGTGTCGAAGAGGCTGCCGAGGCGTACTATTCTTGCTTCTTTTTTACAAGACACGCACCGGAAGCGCAGGACGCTCACCTCAGCGTGTCTTCGGCTCCGTCAAGACACGCACGTGACTCGGCTGATCGGAGCGCCCGGCCGGTGATTCCGGCGCCACGCGCGCCTTATCTGATCCCGCGTCTGCCTCCGCGTCTGCCGCCGTCGCCGCCCTCTCCTCGCCCGCGTCGTCGTCGTGTACCCTTTCCCATCTCCCTCTCACCAGTGTTACCACCCTGTCTGATGGCTTTTGTAGAATTGAACTCGCTAGCACCGTCTTGAACACTCTGTATGCCCTTGACCACGAATAAATTGGTTGCCAGTACTTGTGCGCGATGTTCACTGTGAGCCCAACGGTACAAGTGTAGGAATCAAGGGCAGAGTCGTTAGTAGCGCCAAGGTCATGCACAAACGCGTGGTGCGAGACAGAAGTAGTACAATAAATCAGCAAGACAACAGAATCATGCCAAACGTGAACGAGAAATAGGCTCGCACAGCACGCGAGAGCGCGAGAACACGCAACCACCGGGAAGACGCGTCTCTCACTCGTGTTCGTATCCTTGAGCCTGGGTTCGTGTGCAGAAGCAAATTTTCTCCGTAAATAAGTGTTGATTCATAAGCTACACTGCATTATCTGCACTATATAGTAGGATGCGTCCCTGTCCATGCACGGCCGCGCGCGTCCTCTACGGGTGCGGTAACAGCGTGATACAATTTCTTCTATCGCACCCAGCATCCCACTGCCCCTCGGTCTTCGCCTCGCTGCCCAGAAGCAAAGAAATAGCGCTCCAGGCGAACTTCCCTGCATCTCCCCCTCCATTTCGCCCCCCCAAGTCTATCTCCTTCCCTTTACCCTTGTAATCAATGCATCGAGCGTGTTTCGTCGCTATGTAGTAATTATGTGAGGTATTCCGAATATCACACCGCGCGAGAAGCGGGGAAACGTACCCATAACGCGCCATATGTGCCGGTCAAGATCACGGGAAGGCGGCATGGTGCTGCCAACACTTCAGAGCTCGAACGGAGACTCGCGCGCGAGGCGCTCTTCCTGTGCGAGCCTCAACGGGAGCCGCGTAGCGCTGGCGCAATTCCTTGACCTTGCGCTTTATGAAAGCAATCTGTGTACATTGTCAGTGAGGTCTAACAAGATGGAGGAGGGAACACGAGATAAAGGAGGGTGAGAGGAATTTAGGAGGGGACGGGGACACGCTTCGTGTAGTCAGCACTTGACACCATGACGTCACGTTGTATTTCCTCAATCTCCTGGTATATGTAGACTTTTGAGTACTAGAGAAGCCCCGGCTCCGCCGGCTGCATACCTTGCTTGCATCACGCACGTGAGTCTGAAAACTGCTATCGTGGTCTATTCCGCCATGCCCAGGGTTGCGACGCTGTCGTCCAGAGGGCTTGTTGCAAGGAGGCAAATAAGTAGGACTTGTGGACGACGGTGTCTGCGCATTGACCGATGTTGTCTTGGAACGTGCTACGCACATGGGGTCATTTTTGATGGGGTCAATAAGACACGGGAAAGACCTTGCAAGCAAGGTGACTTTGGGGCATGCGAAGCTCGGCTGTATTGAAGAGGGGTGCGTCTGAAGAGTATGCGGCGGAGGCGGCGGTGAGAGACAATGTAGGCCTCATCAAGAAAGGGGTGGTGTAGCAGGGCGGTGCGGTAGGCTTTCGTCAATGCGAGCGTGGACATAGCGTCTGGGGCTCCGTCAGCTCAGATTCTCTGCACTCAAGGGCGAAGGCGAGCCGAGAAAACTTACCTTCGAGCGTGAACGGGCGGTGTCGCCTTTCGCGTGTTCCGGGAATTTGTTCGGGGCGGAGCCGCGCCTGTTGCTCAGCCGTGCGCGCCGGCAATGGTGCAACAGCATGCGCACGTCTGCGGTGGTCATGGAATTGATATGGCCCCACGTCGAAGGACCAAAACCTTTGCGAAGCGGTCATCAACAACGGGGATCGGCAACACTGGTAAGCTGCGAGCAACGCACCTGCCTGCGCTGGCCATGGCTTGCGCCGGTTCATCGCCGGTCTGTCAGCGTCACGTACAAAACCCCCCGGCTCACCTCACGAGCTAGGCGGATCGCCCATCGAAGCCCGAGCGTGAACCAGGTGAATATTATTAGCTTGCGTGTCTTGCGAGGACCTGTTACTTATTCCTTCACAAGACACGCATCCCCTAGGCCGCCCGCCCAGGATTTGCGTGTCTTGTGGGGTGCTAAGCGTCTAATCCTTTCACAAGACACGCAACTCGCCCGCGGAAATTGGCGTGGCGTTTGGACGTTGGCGATGCGCATAAAAGCATTAAATATTGGCAGCGTTGGATAGCTGCAGATCGTGCAATTCCAGCGATATATAACATGTGGGGGTAAGCTACGGTAGGGTGGGCACGGTGGGGGGGAGGAGGATGAGGCGCGCGACCTTGATCTGGTCCCGCGCCGGGTCGCCGACCGTCACGTTACGTCGCCCGCGTTCGGCTCTTACCGGTGCGTGTCTTGGGTCGATCTAAAGGTTGCTTTGCGTAGGCGAGGGATCAGATACATCATGTGATCCTGTAGATCGTCAATATACACTTTTTATGACCATCATGTACTGTCTGTTGACTGTCTGCGACAGTCTCAGCTCACAATGGTATCTTGAGCGGCAAGGCCTCCTATTGGCTTGCCCTCAATTTGCCCTTCGATCGACCTGTCGTCTTTATCCTTCGCTTATCCCCAAGTTGTCTCACGATATTGGTACACCTTGTGCTCAGGATTATTGAGAGGCGGGTCTAGTGCTATTGGCCAAAAGGATCCGCCGGTGCACTGGTCGTCAGGGCAAACATGCAATGCGCAGCAATATACATGCGGTACACCGTACCCGCATGGCATTGTTTGTCGTTGTATGCGAGATTCCTGTTGTGATAACGTAATCGTCATCGATCGCCATCGCTCTTTGACCTCTTACCACCATGGCGACGCTACTCGATCCCCTTTTCTTCCGCCCTGGTCGTGCCCGCACATTCACCTGTGAGTATCGCATGAGTTGCACGCACGGCGACATCTCAATGTCTTACAGGTGACGAGAGGACTTTCAATCCTGGTGACGGGTTTGTGTTTGCGGGCCCTTCTGTTGAGCTTGCGTTAGCTGACTGACATGCAGGCTGTGGATTGAGACCGAGGAACCTCCCGAGCTTGATCTGATGGATCCTGCGGATGATAACGACGATGAAAACTCGGATGTCGACAATGACGACCTTCCGGTGTGGGAGGAACCGTCGTTCTCCCCAACCCATGACCCATCCGAGCTCCATGAGAACGCTGTCCCTGCGGCGTCGTATAATTCGGTCCATGGTCCCGCTTATCAGAAAGGTGACCTGGATATGTATGGGGAAGATGAAGTGCCGGATGTCCCCGGGGTGGCGGTCAAGCGTGTCCTGCTCGTTCCGTCGGATGTAAATCATCCCCGTGCAGAGACGTATGTTGTCGGTGCTCATGAAGCGTGTGATGTCGCCACTGATCATCTACTCACATCAGGATTGTCCGCTTTCCCGAAGGTCTCTTAGAGGACAAGATCACCCTTATATCGGAGCGCTCGACCTTCGGTGAGTTAGCTGTGGGCTTGCTTTCGTTACATCAGTTTACATAGGTATTCTCCGCGACAGGTACGATGCCTCGGATCGTGATTCCAGCTGTGACCTCCATGGCCGTCATCGATAGGGTCACAGGCCGTGCTGTAATGCCGCCGTGCGATCCTAACGACATCTGGTGTCGATTCAGGGTTGCGAACGAGGAAGAAGACATCATGCAGGTGAGCGTTGCTCATGATTAACGGGAAGGTGTTCATCGGCGTCGTAGTTCGACGAGAAAATCTGCAAGGAGGATTGCAAAGCTGATGGCCTATGGAATGCCGCCCAGGCAGGCCAGTCACGCTTCTGCCAGACATGCGTCACGTTTTTCCATGTGGGCTGTATGCTCGGAAGGCTTGTGAAGCCTGAACAGCTCAAGGATCACAAGGATCGCCTCTCCGAGTATGGGCAGGAGTACCTGAAGCCGCTGTGCAGGGCCACTTCGCCACCAAGTTCTGTCAAGGTTCCCAATGTGATCATCAACGCGCGTAGTGCCGAAATCGATGCGGACGTCCACGACAAGCTGAACCTTATCAAAATGCCAAAGACGACGTATGCGGAGGTGGCGTGTCTGCCCATTCGGCGGCGCACGTATCCGGGCAGAACTCCTCTCACCAACGAGGTCTTAATCCAGCATGCCATCCGGGAGGTACAGGATGGTCGCGGGGCGAAGAGGGTTTCGAACCTGTTTGACGTCTTGGTTGCCTCGGGGCTGTGTCCACAGGCCAGTGCACGCGGTGCGAAGACCATTCTCCTAAAGGACTTGCGCAAGCATCGCGGTCGCGTCATGTGGTGGTTCTTGTGCCCAGGCTGTTCGAAGCGGTTGATTTAAGGGTGGAGTTGTGTTTGTTATGGGCTTAATGGGTCCGTCACTTAGTGTGTAGAGTTTGCTGGGCTATGAGTGTAATCATATTCAAACGTCAGGCAGACTGGACTTTTTGCGGCGAAAAAAGTGAGGGAAAAAGCGTGTAAAGGCGAAGAAAAAGTACCCAAAAAGAGGGAATAATGTAATGAGAAACCCAAACGTAGAAACCTTATCTAGAAATCCGGTTTCTGTCGGCGAGAATCCCGGAGACGCGCTGGGGGGTCTTCAATGTCGCGCTCACTGCTGCACGAGGCTATCGGCCAACTCCGATAGGCAGACGACCTCGATAGGGCCGGCCTCTACTGAATACTTTTGTAGGGCATCTCCATTGTATCTGAGGCACGAAGGCATACATGAGTGCATATAGCTGTATCTTGGTACAGTACAGGCCTTGGAGCCCTCCGGAGGGTGCTTTCCGAGGATAAATGTTCATCTTCCCATTGTAGCAAGGGGTGGTCGATCCTAAAATCCGACACATCCCCGGTGCACGCGAGTGATTGACGGCCGTGTTGACCGAGCAATGCCGAGCGCTCGCCGAATCCAGCTGAGCGGCGCTTACCTGGCTGCTGGCGAGCATCGACGCGGCGCACGCTCACGAGCAGTCCTGACGAGCGCACCAGAGATACGCTTGCTAATTATGATTTCTTGCAGATGATTCGTCAATAATATAGCACCTTTGGCTGTGCGGACAATATAATATGAGTTGGAGATCTCCTACGAGCACTTTGTAATACTCATGGGAGACCTCCAGCGGAAGTCACCGGTAAGTCGCCGGCCTCCTAGGCCTCGTGGGCCGGCCTGGCTCACCGGGAATCCGTCCGCAGTACACGAGGCTCAAGAGCGCGATCGACACGAGCGCGCTCGCCGGCCATAGCCGCATCCGCGCTCGCTCGCGGGCCACGCATCGGCCTGTCGGGCCCGCTCCCTGCGCCACGCGCACTTACCGGCAATCGCCGTCGTCGTCGCGCTCGCCGATGCACGCGGCACGCGGCGCGCGGCGCGCGCGTCGGGGGTCGCTCGTAGGGGAATAAAAGCGCGAAAAAAAGTGATTTGATATGTATATGTATATACATTGAAGAGTGTCGCGACGCGCTGAGCGCGTACACGACGCATGAGCAGGGATGAGGGGGTCGGGGTCGGGGTACGACACAGTGGGGGCGGGATCGCTGCGAGAGCAGCGCAGTGCCTCGCCGTCACGCAATAGCTCGACGGGGGTATGGGAAAGCCCCTGCGAGGGGGCGATACGGGCTTGTGGGGGGAGGGGGGGGGGTGCGGGGCACGCAGTCCAGCGGCTCGCGTACTGCGCGTGCGCCACGTACAGCGCGCGCGAACGCACTCGAGCTAGCGGGGAAGGGTGCATGTGGGGTGTAGCGCGCAGGCTAGAGCGTGGCGAGCGATTTGCTCGCGCATGCTCGGCGCTGCTGCCTCCCCGCTCCCTTCACCCTTGCTCGCGCGTTCCCCTCCCTCACGTGCCCCCCTCCCTCGCGCGTCCCCCCTCGCGCGTCCCTGGATCGCGCGGCACTCTGCGCGCGCGTAGCCTTCACCGCAGCGTCCCCTTCCGCGCCTCGTTGAGAGCGCGCGCGCTGGCTGCAGCTCGGCGCGTGGGCATGGCCGAGCGCAGACGAGCTGGACGCGCGGCATGCGGGGTAAAGCCCCAGAAGTACCGGCGCGTTGCCGGCGCAGCGCGGGATCGCCGTGGAGGCGATCCCGCGCGAGGGAAAGAGGGGAAGGGGGAGGGGGAGGGGGGAGGCGAAACGCGTCGAACGACGCGTGCAGAGCACGGGCAGCCGGTGCTCACGCTATCAGCGAGTCGCCCAGGACGCATTGCGCGTCCTAGGCGATCTCGCTGCTTCCTCGGCCGCGGTCTGCGGTCTGGGGGTGAAAATGGCGAAGAGGGGGCTTTATTCGGCCCCGCTCTGCTCGCCGTCGCGCAGCATGCGCCTCCTCCCCACCACCCTCCACGCGTGAAGCAAGTAAAAGTTAGTAAAAGTCCGAATGCGGGGCGTATTCACGCACCCGCTTCCTCCTCCTCGCGCCCTAGGCCGTTGGTGGTTATCCGGATCGCGGCACCGTCTTGTGCAGCGCTCGGGCCGCCGGAGCGGGGGCTTCTCTGCCTGCGCGACTCTCTGTGAAGGAGGCGATGGGGGAGGGGGAGGGGAGGCGGGAGAGGCGATGGAGGCGGCGTGATGGTGGTCGGAGGTGAAGAGACGCGCTGATCGAGCGCGTCGGATGACCGGTCCGGCGCGTCGGTCCGGTGTCCGAGCGAGGTCGTCGTCGCGGTCGATGACCTCGGAATGTCGCCGAAGGAGGATGTATGCTCTATAGATCTCGGAAATGGTGATATATAGATGAAAGAATGGATCCTGAAAGTTTGGTGAGATTCCGAGCATGGGAAGTAGGTGAACTCCTAACTCGCCTTGAATTCGTGCAAAACCAACCTGAATCCCTTGTACATGGGCCTTCGTTCGACGCCGTTTCGTCTGCCCCCTCCCCCAAAATGCTCCGATTTTCACGAAACAAATTGCGGTGTGTAGAGACAGAACTCCCCTATCCATCTCATTACCTTTAACAGTGTCTACTATCATAGATAGAAACAAAACTCATGATACATGTTGGTTAAGGCCCATCAAGTGAGCTCAAGCAATTTGGATATATACCTGACCTCCTGCAACCCATCTCACCCAAGATATAATTAGTTTCGCATCTGCATATCACTTTAAGTTACTTGCGCCTCTCACAAAGCGCCGCGATATAGACCTATGACCATCCCTTTCCCGCGGGCACGTCGTGATGCGACGCGAGTGTGACGTGACGTCCCTCGCGCCGCTTTTTGCTTCTAACCACCATCGCGCATCGAAGATGGTCTGGCCGCGTCGTCTGCTACCAAGGGAATGAGGCATGAGGACACGAGGGCATCCAGGTGCGTCTGCTACCCGCCCCGCCACATCATGTCACTGATCTATTGTTTTTCATTTCTATTTCGTCGAGCACGCGTCCTCAAAGACGCGCGTCGTCGGGGAACACGAAGGGGGATCAGCCGCTGCCACCTCCGCCGCAGTGAGACACGGAGGATCCCCCTTAGTAGTCCCCACTGACGCGCGCCTTCGTGGACGCGCGCGATCAAGAGCAAAACAAGAACAAACAAGAAAGCGATCAGCGACGCAGGCGCGTTCCCCCTCGCCGCAACCCCCCTCCCCCTCCTCCCTCTTTTTCTTTTGCTCTCTGCATTGCATACGACAAGTAGAAGACACGCCGTGCATGCGGCTCAAGACGTCGCCAACAACCCCGATCAAGCCGCCCACAAGGTCGCCACCCCCCACTCCCTCCCCCTCCCCGCTCCCTCTGCCTACGCCACATGCGCGCGTCGCGTCGTCTCGCACTGCGAGCTGAACGCGCTACGCGGCACGTGCTCACTGAAGCGCGGTGATCGACGGCGCGCTCGGTTTGCTGAGCGCGTCCGATCACGACGCTGAGTGGTAGTATGTAGCGCGCTTCTTCCCCCACTTTGGGAAGAAGAGGTTGCGCGCGCATGCAAGGGGACGCGTAGGCCGCCGTCGCGCTCGGACGCCGCTCCCCCTTCGTCAGGCCGTCATTCGTGATGTGCCGAAAAATGTCGCCACCCGCGCGCGGGCCCTGCCCCCTTCCTCCTCCTTCCCCTTCCCTCCTTTTACCCAACAAGTGTTTCCATTACACATTGTATAGTATATAAAGCTTCTGTATATAATTTTCCTCAACTTCCGACCGTGCGATAACAACATCGCCAGCGCCGCGTGCGGCGGCGACCGCGGCACATCAGGGCGGTGACGACAATGACGCGACGTCATCACGCGCACAGCGCGATGGACACGCGGCGGGCGAGAGGCCGGACGCGGGGGCACGAGGCGCTGCAGGCCACGCCCCGCGCGTTTCCGAGCCACGCCGCGCTCGCATCCCAGTCAGGCCTGAGCCGGCAACCCCTGCCCCACGAGCCGGACCGGCCTGCGAGCAGCGGGAGGGCCGGCGACTTACCGGTCAATTCCCCCGGAGGTCTCCCATGTATATTGCAAAGTGCTCGTGGGAGATCTCCGGGTCATATTGTATATGCCCGCACAGCATCAGCTGAATATAGAGCACGAAAAAGGTATCGAAGACCACCGAAATAGGCGCAGAAATGGACGTGTCGTAGATACGAGGCTGCAAAGTCGCCGACTGATAAGGAGCGCGCTCAATTGCGCCTCCATGGCTTGTTTTCGCACCCCTGTGGTGAACTGCGATTGGAGACTGTGAGGCACGGTGTCGCTTCATGGCCAGTACCGACTGAAGGCAGCCAACCCGCAGGCGCCGCTCAGCTGGGTTCCGCGAGGGCTCGGCATTGCTCGGCCAACACGGCCGTCAATCACTCGCGTGCACCGGGGGATGTGTCGGATTTTAGGATCGACCACTCCTTGCATTGTAATCACATGACTGTTGCGTCTACCGGTGGACACGATGTCCCATAGGTCAGTGACAGTCCTGCTAGCTAGGTGGGCTACCCGAGCGGTATCGAAGTCAGTATCCTGTCATTCTACACCTCTATTCCAGGTTACTGAGCTGAAAACATGCGGTACTGTGGCAAACGAAGGAGAACCCGCCAGCTCGGCGGCTTCGGCACCCGCAGGCGGGATTGATGGCGCATCACCGTCTTCCGGGCGCACGGACGCCGGTAGAGATCCAGCCTCGTGTAACGAAGTTGAACGGGTTTCTACAGAATTGCCTTATAAGGAAGGGAAACCGTAGAAACGGGGTTCCTCGTCAGAATATTCCCAGATAAACCGCCAGAGTACTACGTAGACGCGCTCGAGATGTCCAGCTGCGTGTACCAGGACTACATGCAACATTTCGCTGACCCAGCTATTGGTCTTTTACGAATCGAGCACCTGGTCATAACAAGCGTAAAGAAATCTCTTGTTCGCCCAACAACGTCCTACAGGTTCTCTAACATCTCTTCTGCCGTCCCGAAGCTGCAAAATCTGTCAAATATTCGAATCAAAGCCAGGCTGTTGTACATAAGGACAGGATCATCACCGATGACAAGGTCGAGGACGCTGTGCTCATGGTACGTTACGCTCGCATGGTTCTGCACATGTATAACGATTTCCACAGCTTCCGCATGAACTCGACGGCGCCAACAAGGCCGCACTGTGGAGAAGGTGTTTGCGGCTCCTTGGTGTTGAGGATGACCTGCAGGACTCAGAAGACAAAACCGATGGCGATGGCGAAGGTGCTGCGTACCGGACGACATGAAGGCAGCTACTGCTGAGGAAGTATGGTCTTCGCCGCTACTTTGTTGTTGTGCAAGCCTTTGATCACGCATATAGGAGAGTCTTCGGGCACATTAGCTTTGAGCCCTGACGCCGTCCCGTAAAGTAGCGGCAGCGGATACTCGACACGCAGTCCAAAACTCGCGACTTTGCGGCGGCGCTCATGCGGGCTCAAGCTACGCCGTCGCGCTTGTCTCAGCGACCTGGCAAAGTGATCCGCCTCGCTAATCGGTCTGATCCCAACCAGGCATTCGCCAGGCAGACGACTGTCGCCCAAAGCCGTGCTCTCGCCGCCAGGGACTTTTCTGCTGTGGGCCTCAGGCTCCGGCCCTAACTGCGTCGATATCGCCCGCCGCCGAGGCCGGCCAACACAGCTCACGCACCATCTCGCAACAGGGTTACTCGTCAAACCGCCCCCGCCCCGGACTCCTCTCTCGTCAGCTGTCAGCCCACGCTAACTCAGAACATTCACCTTCTCACAAGCGGGGTCAAGACAGGCACATCGAGTCGAATCCGCCCTAGCCGGAGGGGGTCGCAGCTTCGCCTTGGCCTCGAGCTCAATGACTTTGTCGGTCATGAGCGAAATGAGGTTGTAGCCTGTTACAGTTCTGCGTGACATCTTTCCCTAGGTGTCACCCCGCGTGTTGCGCTCCCATTTATGCCTGGTCCCTCCCTCCATACACGACACATATCACCCGATGTAGCCCTGCTCCGCAGGTCGCAAGACGCACATCTGATATATGAGCCCGAAAGCCCAATGGCCAGGAACTGGAGTGCGGTAAAGCACGGCCTTGGAGTCATCTTAGGTGATCACAGACTCACCCGACATCAAAAGGATCGCGCTGAGGGCCACCGAGATTATCCTACATGACGACGTACCTGATAGCTGACAGGCTCAACGACCCGCTACCGATTACTAACGCGATCTAGGGCTCTCTTGATTCACTCAAGGTATTGGAGTCCAGTGATTCGACGACTCGGAAGACAATCTACGCCATCATATCCGACATACCCTACCTCGAGGTGTGCGTCCTCGCCAACGTCAGCGACATTGGGGTGGTGTTCTGCGGCGCGCTCAAGAAGTGCGGTGCCTCGATGACGAGTCGGCTGTCTATAGAATTGGCAAGCACAAGTTCGTGCGTGACGGCGATACCCGTGCGCATCTCGTACACATGGCATCACTCATTGGGGGCTTCACAGAGTGCACCATGAAGCTCGAGGACATCAACTACTCAATTTGGATCCATTCCTTCCTCGCCAGCTGCGAGCGGTTGGACTGTGAGAGCGAGTAAAAGTGAATTAGGGTGATATCTATGGAGACATCAGCGTAAGTACAGTACATAGACGCATGGAGCGTGCACTCCTCGGTGGCAGTAGGTCATTGAGGAGACGCTACGCTGTTGGCGACCAAGAAACAAGACAAGTTAACAAAGGTAGACTACGAGTGTTCCTGTCCAAGATGGGGAGTAAAAGATTCGGATGACTTGACCCTAACAAGTACTGCTACTTCCCTGGCCATCCAACTGGACGGCGATACCTGCCATGTGTCAAGACGCTTTCATTGCGATAAGGCAGCGATCGATGACTTACGAAGAGCCTCTGCTTTCAAACGCCAGAATTCAGCCTCACCAGCCATCGCAGCTGCTCGAACGGACGCCTCCCCTTCCAGAGTCTGTCCAAGTCCGTGCTCGACTTGCTTCCAGACGAGCGGGACATCTTGTCCTTGTGGGTCAGGCCTGCCTTCCGAAGGAGCACTTCCCAAACGGAGTACTGCGTCCATTGACCATGGGGGTATATCTAAAGTGGCTCAGCAGCACATTCCTAGGAAGTTCGCCTGAAAGTTACCTATCAAGGACAGCTGGGGTCCTCGACGTGTCTTCTTTCCCTTTCTTGAAGGCTTTGCAGAGTTGTTCTGTGGTCGCTGACGCTTTTTGGCTGACACGTCATCCTTCTCCGATAGATGGCTCTGCGCGGGAACCGGGCTGGGTGTGGAAACTGAGGAAGATGGCAAGGGGTCGTTGCCGTGGTAATCTATCTTCTGTGTCTGATTGGCAGCCGCTAGCCTCCGTTTAGACATCAGCGGGAGCTCACAAGAAGGGCGTATGGGCTCGGGCGCCTATCGTGCGCCTCTGATGGCATCACATCACCTCGTGCCCATCGGTCCGGAGAGGATACGTAAAATTGTGCATGTTGTTCTTTGCTCCGTCTGTTCCATCGCACCGCCCTCCTTTTCGCATCGCGTAGTCTTCGCTCAGCACATCAGCGTCTTTAGAATGCCAGCACACCGCACTGCTGAGGCTGCTTTGGAGTTGGCATTGGCGTGCACGGACTTGCTGCCTGATGTTGATGTGTCGACGGCACATGGCAAGAGTAGCACTGAAATCCCTCGACAGAGTCTTCCTCAGAGGTCCAGACCTGATTCGTCCGAACCAAGTGTTGAGACCAATCATCAGCGAATACTACCCTCTTCGCAGGCTCCACCTCCGCGCTCGTCGCGTCGTGTTTCGGACCGTCGCCTGGTCAGAACCTCTATCGGCAAGGATTTCGGGAAGGTCGTTGGGATGGTGGAAGAGTCTACTGAGCCACAGGAATGGAGTTTGGAAACTACTGTGAGTAGCGCATACGCACTGCTGGCCCTGGTAAGACTGAGGCTGCTACGAAGGCATGGTCGAGTGACCCCCGATTGCGACATCGGTGCATTGACAAGAGCGTCATCCCGACGTTGCCAACTTCGACTCCGGCTACTTTTTTCGAGCAGAGAAGCTCTGCTCCGTTAGCCGACGGCGTGTCGGCTCGCGGGGCTCGGGTTTTTACCCAGGACCTCCGTCCCTTCGCATCGACTGGGGAGCATGGCGAAGTGGTGGAAGGTTGGGACGAACGTCTCGCTAGGGCAGACGGTGCAGGTCAGCAGCATGCTCGTAAAGCCGAGGAAGCTACGTCTGTCGATGCCTCGGCAAGCGGTGACCATTCGACCGGCGAACCTCCGAGGATGCGACGCTTAGCTCGCTGCCGTGTAGAGGGTGGGCCTCCCGTCCCCAGCGACGAGCCTTTGGTGAGTATCGGCTGGATTTTGACCGAAGACATATCTGATTGGGTTGGTAGATCAGGATGAATGAGAAGCGTGGCCACCATGAGACGAAGGAGGTGTTGGACCGGTTTGACCCTCTTCGACGTGCGTCGTCGAACACCCTCGAAGGACCGGGGATCAAGAGGCGCAGGACGAAGCTCATAGAGAAGGTCGTGTGCATCCACACATGTGGACCGCACGGCCACTGTCCGGGGCACAAGTTACTGCCATCCGGGGCACCCGTCAACGTGTTGCTGTCGACGAGAGGGGGGAATCATTATTCGCACCTCAAAACTCATCTACGCGTCTGCAACGACCCCTTGTGCCCGGGCAGAGGCAAGGACCCGGCTGACAAGAACAGCTTCAGACCCCCGACCGACTTGGAGCTGGCGGGGCGAACTACGTCTGCCCAGGACCTTCCTCTCTGGAAGATATCGGAAAGCAGTGTTCCACATCGGTTGAAGGTCCTCTTCATACCTGATCCCGTGATATCGAATGCTGGACACCATCTCGATCCTGACCAAGGTGTCCTCCATGTAACCATCGTGAACGCGACCCCGGAGGAGATACTCGCTCTTGAGCGCGTTGCGCCAGGGACGGTTGCCCAGGATGTTCCGTCAGAATTGGAGGCGGATGTAGCGCCAACGCCTGGTCGCGATACAAGAAAAGTAGCGTATTGGGAATGGGTAAGCCGCATTCTGTTCATCGTTCGTCCTCTTTTTGGTCGACTTCTCTGTCATGACCGCGTGCTGATGGACCCCCGGCAGGCTCATCTCCCTATTGCTCTGCAAGAGCTTTATGGGAGGGAGGTTGACGTTGTGGGCATGCCCTACGATCCCTTCTTTGAGGCTGTCATGTATCCCTCCGAGCATCCGGATGTGTATGCGGCCCTACAGAACTACGACATCATCATTGGAGGCGCACTTTTGAATGAGGATTTCAGGTACGTTCGTTCCTCTCGTCGTACACGCCTTCGCCCCGAACTCGACGTTCAAAATTCTTCAGCAATCCGAAATATAGGATTCGTAACAATGACGATCTGTGTCGATACCTGGCGGGAACGGAGAACTTGCAGAAGTCGACGGTCATCTACCCACCTCCAGACGAGCTTCTTTATGGCGGTGATAAAGTCGTCTTGACCGCCAACTTGGACGCAATCGCGAGGGATATGGCCACAGCGCGACCGCTGACGGAGACGAGGAAGTTCACCGAAAATCGACTGGAGGTCGTCGGTGTCTACAAGCGGGGTTATTCTTCGAGGTGCGACGATGTCGTGATCGTCCGGTCCGACGCCGATGCTGTGATGCGACCCGAGAACGTCTACAAGACGCCCATCAGACTCGTGCGACGGACGGCCGAGAAGGAGCAGCGCATGACTCCGTCGACCGGATTCCACATCATAGACCATGATTGGCTCGTTCAAGCATACATGCGGAGCCTTCACGACCATCGATTTGGAGAGCTGCGGTGCTACGTGATCGGTGGACGCGTCAAACGCATCGTGCAGACATCCCCTTGGAAAGATGGTACGTGGACAGAGAAGTTGTCAAGGGGTTGCTTGACCAGACAGAAGGCCTTGTACGATCCATTCCCTCTGTTCTGTTGAGATCCAGGAAGTTGACTCCGATTTGCAGCGAAGTTTTCAACAAGGGCGATGTGCCTATCGCCGAAGCCTGGACGAGGTACACATGTGCATCCTTGACCCATGCTGACTTCCGGGAGGGCCAGCGCGAGCTAGTCGAGTTCGTGGAAGATTTTGTGTATCGCTTGATCCGGCTGGAGAACGACAAGCTTCACAGATCGACGTCCAGCATGTGGCTGTTCTGTCGAATTGACGTTGGGATTCTTCCGGGCACGCACACTATGCACTACTTCGTCAACGAGGTAGAGCGGGGCCTCGCCACCTGTCTATGGGGATGGCATGACTGGGCGGACACGGTGATGGACATCAACACGATCGCGGAGTTGATTCCCTCGTACATTGCGTACGTTCGCGCTTCTCAGTAATGGCCTTTTGAATTCTTTTAGTTGGGATTTCATGTAGGATTGAGCAGAATGACGATGTCTTGGTTACTTTGGCGTGGTGTGAACTACTGGCAGTTGTTGACTTGAGTACGTGTTCGAGGTATAGTAGCCCCGGTAACTTGGACAATCGCTCGTGTGCAAGAATATGGAGTTCTCACATTGAGAGTCTGCTGCGAGACCGTGTTGTGTGCGCGCTTGAAGAACGCAGCTCGGCGCCAGGGTATTGGCTGTAGCCGTACCGCCAGGCAGAATATGTCGCACGCGCTGGGTTGGAAACGGCGATCGCACGCAGCGCCGGCCAACCAATCTGGAGCCGCCGTTGAGCAATACTGGGTCCATATCCCATGAAGGAATAAGGTCCGGCAGTGGACGTAGCCCTTAACATGCAGCCGTCGGTACTGACGCAGTTACCGTTTTGCCTCATACCCCGCAACCTCACTTCAGAGTCCCGAGCTTGCTAATCGGGCCGCGTTATTACGGCGGTGCGTTTGTGGCATGCTACGACTATTTATGAAGGTTCTGTCGCACCCTTGGAAGCCCTTGAAAGTCAGTCATGGTGCCGTCTGATGGCACCGTGCACACTGACTGGTCACTGTCAACGATGGCATCTCATTGTTTCAATGCCGTGTCTCCGTGGCCACATGCCCCATGAGCGTATGCATGTTCGCAGGTCTATAGTTGCGTGGGTCTAGCGCTACATCATCAATCCTCCTTCCCGTCAGCCCTCATCAGTGTTCCTTCCGACAGTGGACAGGACGAATAGGGAAGACCTTTCTATGGCAATAGGGCTCGCTCAGCGCTACTATAGCACAGGTCAGCTTTATTACCAAGCCTACTGTGGTGTCAGTCGTGAACGACAATTCTAAACAGATTTGTCTATAAAATGAAGGTAGGACCTTGTGTACTAACCATCTCTAGAAAGTAAACAGTTGCAGAGATGACATGTGACTTATGTGTACCATTCGTATCAGCACCGACAATGAATGTGTTTTTGAGGGCAGACAAAGAAAAAGGGGACTCCTGCAATGTCCGAATGGTTACTCGAATTCGCCCCGTGTCGTTGTCTACGTGTGCTTATCGACCTTGTGGCGGCGTAGCCAGCCAATCATGCTGTATGTTGCTGTGCAGCCAACGGCATCGCACCTGTGTATAACACGAGACTGGCTGCTCCGTTCATTGGTTGTCCTCCTCGCTCGCCTGCTTGCTATGCTGCTGCGCTCGTGGCCATCTCTCAATAGGAGGGTGCGCTGCTCGTGCCAGGCCAAGTGGTTCCAGTACGAGGCTAGCAAGGCATAGGACTTGCGACACCCAGGTCGCGAACAGACCAGTCGTTGCGAAGAAGTTGGTTCGCTGCATGTCACAACTGGAGAACGGTGAGGAGTGGTCGCAACTGATCCGTGGGTGTCGATGGCAGCGGCAGACGACGCAGAGATTGACTCGGCCGTAGTAAGGATGTGTACATCTTTTTGATGTGTCAGTTGGTCCCTATTGCGCGGAATAGAAGATGACATACTGATTCCTTGCATGCATTGAGGCTCAAGGGCACACTGCGCACCTTGTGTGGCTGATTCATGTGTTGCTGCCAAGCGTGGTTAGGGAGGTAACTGAGATGTGGACAGAACGAGAGTATTCACCATCTATGATGCCTTGACTAGAGGGATTAGCTTCGCATGAGGCGACGGTCTGGGCAGTAGGAGATAGAGACGGCACAGATGTGTTAAGGTTCAGCAATCCGTCGATGGCGTCCTCAAGTCCTGTGTTACTATTACATGAGGCAAGGGGCAAACAAAGGTCAGTCTATCGAGCAGCGCTGGAGGCAGGTGATCACGTACACTTGACCGTTAACGAGACCAAGGATGTGACTATCCTCGGAGTCGTCTGACATCATTGGGGGACAAGGGATGTGATGGCGATTATCCTCTACCACAGCTCTCATCTTGTCCGCCAAAGAGTGGATGGCATCGGCAATAGGAAGCATTGTTGGACGTGTTGCCACAAGGTCCATGTAAGATGCGGCAGCCAGGTCGCGCTCATCGCGTGCTTGGTACGCACGCTCAAGGGCAGGGTAGGAAGCCAACAAGCCTCGCGGGGAGCATAGACGTACAGCGGTGTCTATATGTGATAGCTAGGAAATAATCAGCAGTGCAGTCCTGGCATAAGTGGATGTGACAGACCTCGATGCCGTTGTCATTGACATCCTCAGATGGATATCGTAGTTCTTCGGAGAAGTCAACATCAGCGTCACCTACAGGCATGGTGTAGCGAGGTGAAGATGGAGACAGGATCACGACTGATGCTTTCTCTTGCCAGATGGTAGGCCCCGAGTATGGCCTTCGTGGCATGCAACGCACGGACGGTTTTATTCCTTTGCGTGGGAACAGTTAGATGTGATACGTGTACAGGTTTGACACTCCGCCTCGGAACAGTCGTACGCGTGCATATTCCCAGCAGGGTCCGAGACGTGTGAATGCCACACATATTTGCAAGACAAATGCAATGTGGAAGACCGATCACCCGAAGAAGGGACGTCAAGTGAAGGTGATGGAGGAAGGGGCCATCTGGTTACCGACGTCAAGCATGCATGCTGCGCACCTTGACGTAGGATATATCATCGTCGACGTCGGCTTTGTCTTTTGGGGCAAGAAACCAGCGTTGATTGGTCGGTAACAGCATGGAGCATCAAGGGCTGGTAGTACGAAGCAACCGCGTGTACATCAGTCTTTCTCAATTCAATTGTTCTGAAGGAGAGGCCGACCGAGTTCCGAGTGGCCGAAATACGACGAGCACGCCCGGTCCTGTCAAGCCCCGACAAGAAGATGCTAGTTGGCAAGACACTGAACCTCGGTCAAATCCCAGTCCTTGGGTGGCATGGCGGGCATTGTGGTCAACGTTGAGGACATCACCAATGGGTTAAGCTCATGACATATGTGACTTTCATCTTGACCGAAATCAGTGCGATGAAGCCAAGCCGTATGGTGCACCAAGTACGCCTCCTAGCAGGCTGCCGTTCACCAGACATTACGAATTTCAAAACAGTCTCGGAGCGGCCTCAAAAAGGGAGCAGGTAGAGCTGTGCTTCTTTCAGTATGGCAGATCCCCTCGAAGGGCATTCAGAACTCGTTCGGAACGTCATATTGCACATCGGATCGAACAAGACGTTTGGACACAGTTGCCTCTCTTGGAGCAACCGTTGCTGCTGTAATTGTGGAAGACATAGTTATATGGGATCTGACGCAGACCGACAGCGTGGTTTGGCCCCGATAACATCGTTTCCTGCATGCATACCTGCCCACATGCGTCCTGTACCTGGGACCAAGCCCCGTGCCATATGTCCTTGCACAGGGATGTCAGAGCCTACCCAGCACGTTTGGAGGCGATCGGGGCTCCCTGGCAGGCTCAGTGGGCCCGACGGCTCTCGCGCATACTACCATTACGTGATATGCTGATATGCGCGAGAGAGGTTTGGCTCACTGAGCGCCCGCGGCGGCTCCCCGAGTGGACCAGCGACGGTAGTGGGGCTGCAGAAGGCCCTGCGGCAGTTCTGACTGGTGCCGAGGCCCGCGCGGCTGTTGGTTCGCGCTCAGGAGGTGCGTGCGGCGTTCGCGCCGTTCGCGCGTGCGTGCCCCACCAAGACTGCTCCTCCACCCAGCGGTCCTCGGACACCTTTACGCCCTTGCACAGGGATGTCAGAGCCTACCTAGCACATTTGGAGACGATCGGGGCTCCCTGGCGGGCTCAGTGGGCCCGACGGCTCTCGCGCATATCAGCATATCACGTAATGTCAGTATGCGCAAGAGAGGTTGGGCTCACTGAGGCTCCTCGCCCACCCAGCGGTCTTCGGACACCTTTACGCCGTCGCACAGGGATGTCAGAGCCTACCCAGCACGTTTGGAGGCGATCGGAGTTCCCTGGCGGACTCAGTGAGCCCGACGGCTCTCGCGCATACTACCATTACGTGATATGCTGATATGCGCGAGAGAGGTTTGGCTCACTGAGCGCCCGCGGCGGCTCCCCGAGTGGACCAGCGACGGTAGTGGGGCTGCAGAAGGCCCTGCGGCAGTTCTGACTGGTGCCGAGGCCCGCGCGGCTGTTGGTTCGCGCTCAGGAGGTGCGTGCGGCGTTCGCGCCGTTCACGCGTGCGTGCCCCACCAAGACTGCTCCTCCACCCAGCGGTCCTCGGACACCTTTACGCCCTTGCACAGGGATGTCAGAGCCTACCCAGCACGTTTGGAGCCGATCGGGGCTCCCTGGCGGGCTCAGTGGGTCCGACGGCTCTCGCGCATATCAGCATATCACGTAATGTTAGTATGCGCGAGAGAGGTTTGGCTCACTGAGCGCCCGTGGCGGATCCCCGAGTGGACCAACGACGGTAGTGAGGCTGCCGGAGGTCCTGCGAGTATTCCTGACCCTCTAAGTGGCATCGTCAACAGGCTGCTCCTTTTGCTGCATCCACCATCGATGCTTCACTGACTCTTGATTACTCTTTTCGAAATAAAATGACACGAGACATGTCCTTCGGAAATGAAGAAGATGAGATTTTTGTCGAACTATCCTATATAGTCCTTCAGGTGTGTAGATGGTCGTACCATGCTATGACATCTGTGTCGGCCTTCACCTGGTCAAGTATAGTGAGTTAACTTCGAGAATGAGCCTCAGATGGCCATCGCTTCCCGACCTTGTCTCGGCGATAGTTCAAAACTTGTAAGCCTTCCAAGGTTGTAGCTCGCGAGATGGCGACGTATGCTTGACCTTCATTTTGTCAGTGGTTGATTTCGGATCTGCAAGCCCCGTCGTACCAGGTGCAAAAACGTCGGCGAGGTCTACAATCACCCGGTAAAGCGTTTGTCCTTGACTTTTGTGGATTGTGACTGCCCATGCAAGTACCAGCGGAACCTGACCCTGTCAGCATACAAACATTTCAGTCATTGGCTGAGCATGTCACCTGAATGCGGCTGGCAAGCAGATGATTGTCTCTTGTCTCGATCCGAAATTCATCTTCATAAACCAAGGCTGTCCTCATTCCCTCCATAGTGTTGAAATGGACGATGGGATACTTGACTCCATTCGTCCATGTTTTACCGATGTGGACCATGGGATCAATTCCGTCGGGTGCTTGCTCGGTCGGTGTCATCATTCCAATGACAGTGCCTGTGGACCCGTTGACGAGGGTCTCGTCGACATTCTTGATGAGCATGACGCGTGCGCCTACTTTTATGGACAAGTTTGCCATGACGCGCAGCTGATTGAGTGCTCTGCGGGCGGCCTTCTGCTCTTCTTCGTTGCTAGCGGCAATGAAGTCTTTTGCGCCATACTTATGGACGGAGCCAGGAAGCCCTGCCAGCCGAGATGAGTTGAATCCATCGACCTTATCGTTTTTAGCGAAGAGTCGAGTAGGTTCGGGACCCGGGGGTAACTCCCTGCAAAGAGCTTGGAGGATTGTGTTGGCCTGGTTCGGCACAAGTCCCTTGCGTAGGTCATTCAGGAGTTTGTCGAAGGCTTGAATGTGTTAGTTCTGAGCAGCAGTTCTGCAGTAGGAATAACGCACCTTCGTCTTTCTGTCTGTGCACGCGCGTGAGGCAAGCAGTCTTGCGAAATGTCAGGTTACACATAGGACTCTGAAACGCGTATAGCTTCTTATTGACAGGTGGGAGCTATACAGCGACAGATGAGTCGCGTCGCAACTGACGAGAAACCAACACACGCACCTGGAAAAAATCGCCAATTGCAATCACTTGAATACCTCCAAATACACACTTGTTATTTCGTTTCCTTTGGGCGACCTGATAGAGTATAGTGAAGAGCTCTCCATCCAACATAGAAACTTCGTATTATCAGATTACTGCTCATGGTTGGTTCCAAAACTGACCTAACCTTCGTCGATTATCAGGACCTCGACGCTTTGCCATCGCTCCACAGCCCGCGGATTTCTTCGTATATGATCGATGTGTTCTTGCAGGGTAGTCGGATTGACTCCAATCCCTCCCCAAGCATGAAGAGTCAGTCCTACGACATGTAAGTTTCCACTTTGCAATCAAATCAAGCGAATACAACTTGCCGCCAATGTTGGCGGCGGCGACACCTGTAGGGGCCGTAATTGCCACTGTTCCAACTTTGTTGAGACCCTTGGCCAGCGCCTCATGCGCACTGATGATGGCACGAGTGGTCAGTGACTTGCCGGTCCCTGCAGTGGCGACAGATGCGGCGTTAGCAACATCACCAGAATTTGTAGGAAGCGCCCAACCTGCTCCAACAGTCACAAACATACTCGTTGACTTCTGCACCGTTACCTCGAAGACAGCATTTTGTTCGTACAACAGACATACATTTCCTCCTGCTTGACCATCGAGCTGAGCCATAATCTCGACGGTTCTTTTCAGGTAGCCATTGATGGAGCGTTGTGCCAACATCGCTGGCAGAGACGAATAAGGGGGGATGCGCGTGTGCCATTTCCATACTTACTGGTTATATACAGTCCCAAGAGGTAATGACGTGATGGTGGGCTGCTATCAATACGTACTGCAAGATGTTACCATGTACATATGGCCGGTAGACATACGATTGTATCGTCGTATTACTGACCTGGGCTGGATCGGATTTTTCAATGACTGGTAAGGAGGCTTATTTCTACTTCGGCTGCGTCGTCCTCGTCCTCGTCCTCGCTGTCGTACATATGAAAGGTCCGATCACGCTCCACGTTAGTGGCGAAAACCTCGAGGTGAGCGACCTGTCCAACTATTTCTGCCCTCCTGGACTCTTGAAAGTCGTCCATAGCATCCTGGAGGCCGTCCTCGATGTGGTGTCCACCGCAAAGGAGTGAGAGATATCTGAGGGAGGGGAACAGTGGTTGTTTCCCAGGGGTGTAGAGCATCGCCCTCATGAACGGCACATATCGCCTCGGTGGGAGAAGTGCAGTTGGCCTGTCGAGGATTTCCAGATGCTCCACGGTAGCCATGGCTTGCGTGCATACAACATCCGCCAGACATGCACCCCATGATGAGACGCGCTCGAGCGTGACACACCGTAGGGATTTAGTGGCCATACCGGACGCCAGTCGCCTGATCAACCCGAAAATGCACGGCGGGGCGACGGCGTCTGAGATGTCACGGAGGGACACGGACACGATATTTGGGGCGCTGATGAATGTTCCAATGACGATTACGTTGGAAGTGAGGTCGATGGTGTGGAGTGAGGTGAGGGTCAGCATGGGTGTGCTGGCGGCGCTGCTCGGGATGATTGAAGCATCGACAATGAGAGTAGTGAGGGTGTCGTGACAGGATTCGATCACGCGCCATAGGTCGCACGAGGTGAGGGCAGTGACGAGGCTGATGCTCAGGTGCGTGAGCCGAGGAAAGCGTGGGAAGTCTAGGCTCATGGACTGGACCCAGGGTTCGAACGCGAAGGCAGCCAAGTGAGTCCGGCTTTGCACCAAAGACAGATGCTGAAGGTTTGGCGCTCCAGCGATGATGGACAGAGTGAGCTTGGATATCTGACCGCTGATGGCGATGGCAACAGATGTGAGGATGGGCAGGTCGAACTGGCGCTGGTCGACGAGTTCGTGGCACGTCCCCCCAAAGGCGAAGCTCCGCAGCCTTGGCCCGCATTGGTCCAAGATTGGGTCCAGTTCCATCTGGCTGTTGCAGCAGTATTGTATACCCAGAGGCAACTGGCCAGTCCTGGCAATCTGCCGCTCGACCTGATTGGGATCGAGCTGAGTCCACCACCGAGTCATTGGCAGTGGAGGTCGAGAGATGTCGACGTACGTCCAGATGTACGGGTATCCCTTGGCGGTCTCTCTCCAGGTGAAGCATACGGGCATGATTTTGGCGCGGAGGATGCGTGCCCAATCATACGAGTCCTCTTTCTCGACGAAGGCAAGGAAGATGAGCTGAAGGATCTCTGTGGGGAGCCTGCGCACGGGCGCGAGTAGGCCGGCGTTGAGATCCTTCTGGCATCAAAGCCGGTGAATCCGACGGAATACAGTCTCCTTTGTCGGAGCGCTCGAGCGAGCCTTGTGGCGGGGTGGCACCAACGGAGCCGCATGTCCGTCGACGTTCCACCGTAGGTCCCTCAGGCTCTGGATGCGTACTATGATAGTCGCCAGCCTGGCCTGGTATGGGAGCGCCTGAGCCCCTTCTGGACAGAAGCCGGTTCTCAACAGCGATATAGTGGCTAGGCCGATTTCATTGTCGAGTAAATCGTTGTCGTTGAAGAAAGTGGTGGGCTAAGTTGGTGAATCAGCCATAGAAGATGTCCAAGTTATGCATGGCTCTTACCGCCATAGCGAAGAAAACGTTGGATGGAAAGGGCAGGAAGCTGTTTGAAAGGTGGAAATGTGCGCCAATTTATACCACAAATTTCCGTTGCAAGCTCGGCCAACAGAACGGATCGAGCGGCGAAGGCATGGAGACCACAGGATGGCGCGCCCGTGTGTGAGGTTGACATGTGTACGTACATTCGCACACGTCCAGGGCTCAGTGCAAGGTGTACTCCAGAACGACGGCATCAATGATGAAGGGTTGTATCGCCGACGCGGGGATCAGAAAGGGCTGCGCATCAATAGGACTTGCTTCCAATGCGTGGAATCGTGTAGCAGCAACAATCAGGCTAGTAGTCAACCTTTTTCTCAGGGAGCGGACTTGATCTTCTTTGATTTGCAAACGCAGTCGGCGCTCGGCAGGCGGGGCTCCGAGGCTCCTGGGTTTCTTTCCTGTGGCCCTATTAGCACGTGATCTCCCTTCCCGAAGTCCCCGACAGCATAGAAGAGAAAGATACAGTGGTGGCCAGACCAATCACACGCTGCCCTTTTGGGGGGAATCGCCGGTGCCGGCGGTGGGCAAGGTCAATCACAGTTGTATTTTTTTTTATTGCAACAAGCGGTCCAGCAACGCTGAAGACCCCAGATACGAAGTTTCAAGCGAAATAAGCCTGTATTCTGTGAGATACATCGGCGGCAAGATCAATTGCGCGCTGCCTTTTTGGAAAAGAAATCGCTCGGGCGGGTGCAGGGCGTGGTCAGAAGATTCTGGCTTTTTTAGAGTACGATAGAGCATAACCAAAACACCCCACATACGAACTTTGAAGCGTAACGGGCTCTTATTTCGTGAGACATGTGCCGTAGGCTACTCGAGGTCGTTCAGTGCTATATGACACGTGTCTGCTTACTTTACAGGGTCATCCACGGTCGCTGGCAAATTCAGTATGCAGACAGGGGTTGTAAGGGCGCCATGCCTCTTTTAAAGATCACTGAGACCCGCAGAGTATGCCTAATGCTCACCTCGACAGCTTTTCCCCAAGAAAGGTAGCGTGTAATTATCTTGGCCGCCACTGTAAGTACAGCTCGCCGTCCTTGCCTACGGAACGCACTATCAGCTCTGCTGGAATGCGCTCCAGCTAAACAGCAACACTGCTCCACAAGCAGGGACGCGCCGAGGAACCTGACGATGGCTGTACATCTCGCAGAGAATTGGCCGTGGAGATGAGAGACGTGGAAAGAGCGATAGAAGTCAACTCAATTGGGCGTTCTGGGTGCTGTTCCGAGGGAGCCCTAGATGCCATTCAGAATGTACCAGAAATGTGAAAAAAAGCGCAACCACATACTCTCATTTGCTGCCTATCGCCCTTTTGTGCCTGTGCCAAGGTCGGTTCTGGGAGCGGGCATTGCAGGGCGCAGCGTTTAGCAAGCCTCGTCGAAACACAAGGCGCGCTCTCCGCTTCGTTTGCGCAAGACGGGCGAACGGAAGCCCGCCTGGAGGCATATTTGCATTCAAATTCGCCGATGTAGGTCAAGATGAAGGTTATATGACAACATAAGTGAAACCCTTCGATGACGTTGTTGACGTTGACCACAGGGCCCAGCCAAAGGGTCAAAGGACACGGACTTTGACCAAGGCACCGCGCCCTGCCGCGTCCTGGCAAAACCTTGACAGGTTTCGACATCACTGCATGTTCACGTCCTACTTTGAGCATCCAGCACTCGCTCAAAGCAACATTCTGAATGCCGAATTGAGGAGAACGAGAGCGAGCGAGAGAGGGAACAATGACTTGGTCCACCTCGTATACACATCTCAGATGCCTGTCACATAATGTATGAGCCTCGCCTGTCAATAGCATGAAGCATTAAGCCCAATGACGTTACTATAGAGTACCTTTCGAACACGATTCTCATACGTTGACCCTGTGTGTAGCTTCCAGGTAGTGAGGCTCGTAGACAATCACAACCAAGTCCTCGCATCGAGTCGTGCAGCTCGCACAAGAGCAGACATAATCAAACCCATTCCTTTTGCGACACCACGCAAAGGGCGATTTGGTGAGTCAACTCGCAAATTCCACACGAAAGGGTCACACTAAGATGTTCAACCAGGGGATCATTCGAATATGTCTATCTTATCGGTGACCACGAGCCTGGAGGTGGACCCCGTCACATAGACGACCACACCCACCTCATTGACCACCCGCTGCCGAATCTTTATATCGCAGGATGGGACGGGATGGCTTTGCTGTTTACCGAGGTCCCGCTGCGGGGTCTACGCAACATGCGGGCACGCGGCAATCCACGACACCCAGGGCACGTGCTCTCGGGACCGACGGAAGTGGCGCCGACGGTCACCAGGGCAAAGTCAGGACAAGTCGAACTAGTGCTGCCGAAGTTCGGTTGAGTCCAGTTCAACCCCCCTCGCGATGAACCTGAACCTGAATCGACGGCGAGATGGTGAACCTGAACTGAACCTGAACTGAACACCTCGAACGAGTTCACATTGGTTCGAACCAAGTTCGCACTTGTTCGAACCTCTTGAAGATAACATGTGCTGTACGCACCCTACTTGGCAGTATTTGAGAGTAATAGTTACAATATATGGGTAATCAGCCCAGTCTCTTTCACCCGGGTCAGGAAAGGGAACAATATAGGCCAGAGGCTAGCCCGTGAGCGTGACTGATACGTGACATGTTGAACTCGGGTATCGCCGAGTGTCGGCGGCAGGCAGCTGCCATCGCTTCATTTAAGCCTCTTGATGCAGGTATGAGGCATCAACTGCAGCATCAAGACTGATACTATGCTAAACATACAGGAAACACAGTGCATTAAGACTTAAAGCCCTTGGTGGTGGTTCAGGTTCGAACAAATCCAGCGGTGCCCGAACCTGAACCTGAACTGAACATTGTGTTCGGTTCAGGCGGTTCGGGTTCGAACCGATGTTCTGAACCGGACATCGGCAGCACTAAGTCGAACCAACGGGAGATGACTCGGCGGCATAGCCTTACACCGCCTCGGAGGGGCGCGCTCCAAGACCCTCGGAAGGCCTAGATCTTGAAGCTGAAGGTATACAAAGGCTCCAAGTATATAGATTAGACGCTGAATAATACTGCAAGAACCACCCGAATCGCTGCCGCTGCGTCCCGTCACGAACGGAATGCCCTTTTGACTCAGAACCGCCCCGTACGTCGCCGCCCTTGTCGTCGACGCGCTAAATTCACAGGAAGTCACACTTGCGATCAAAATGATTGCAAGATCGCCGGTCATCCAAATTAGGGTATCTTCCCGGCACTTTGAGGAATCCAACGCGGCACCCCACCGCTGTGATGTCTACTGCACCAACATACCGTGCATACAGTATGACTGAGCTCAGTGTCTACGGAGGGTGAATAATGCTCGATTGTTTTTTTCCGGGAATCTTGCAATCATTTTGATCGCAACCACTGACCTTCGAGACTTCTTTTAGGTCGTCACACGTGACAAACCCCCGCCGCTCCCCTTAGGACGGTCCCCTCCCCCTCAACGCCTCTTACTAGGGGCTCTTAACTCGCTAAACGAAGAGCTCCGACCTCTCGCTCCCTCTCGCTCCGCACCCAAAATTCATCGGCGATCTCCCTTGCCTCTCGGTAAATACCATCTACCCCGCTTCCACTTGCGGATCGGAACGCCGCCCCGCTCACAATCCCACGCGAAGCCCACCACCTCGCCAAGAATTTACAGCGTACCAGGAGAGAATAAGAGGTAGTTAGATTTCATTCAAACGCCACGCTACCACTACATCCGGAGCCCACCGCGAGGGGAGGTACTAGAGGATTGTAAGCCAAACGGCACACACCCGATCGCCACAGATTCTCTCGAAATGTCAGGAGACCACCATTCGAGGGTACAATACGATATGGTAGGACTAGGGGAAGAAGGAGTTAATTCTCCGAGGCAGACCTAGAGGGGCTCACAGAGAGAGATGAGGAAATGTCGGAGGGACCAGACCGAGACTCGGGAGAGGAGGAGGAATCGCAGCCCGCATCCCGAGCGCCTGATATGGCGGGTCGGACGCGTTTCCCGCCCGTGCCCATGTCTAAGCACCCCCGTCCCACTGGCACACGGCCACTCTCGGTGCTTGACATGCCGATGCCAGGCTCGCGACAGGCAGCCAAAATCTTCAGAGGAGCATACTACAAGGTAGAATGTTTTCTGGAACACTATGACAGACTTTTGCGACAATACAACGTGCTGTCGGGGAGGGACAAATGTTGCAGCGTCGTTCAGTACTGCTCTCAGCAAGTAGGGAATTTTATTATGTCTACCAGGAGTTTCTCCCTGCATGACTGGCCAGGTCTTTGAGCGGCGCTCCTCAAGTACTAGAACGCGGATCACATGCACGCCAAATACCGGCCGTCCGACGTAGTAGCCTTCGTATCGAAAACTCAGAAGAGGCGTGTCGAAACCCTGACTCAATGGCACCAGTACTATACGCGCTTCGTCCGAAAGCAGCGAGACTGGTTATCAAAGGAAAAATGACCGCGGAAGACGAGGCCTCATACTTCTGGCTCTGAGTCCACCCCACGCTCCGGGATATCTTCGAGAACCGCATTCTGGCGAAGCGCCCCAATCATGACCTCTCGAAGGCCTACCCGATCGAACTCATATGCGAAGTGGCAGAAGAGCATTTCCAAAGACAGAAATTTACAACGATGCGTCTGGATGCCGGAAAGTTCGGATTCCTCCCTGAGGACGAGCAATTCGTTTCGGACTCGGAAACTGACTCATCGTCAGACGACAGTGATGACTTGGAAAAGGATGAGCGGCGACGACGGAGGCGCCAGGGCAAACGAAAGGAGAAATCAAGGAGAAGGGAGGAGAAACGACACGAACGCACCGCCAAAATGACCGGAACGGCAGGGGAAGTCGCGAATCTTGTGAGACAGCTCAATACCATGAGGCCTAAGGACCCGATGTACGCCTCCCTGTACTACAAAGCGATATCACTAGACGACACAGGGAAAGTAGATGACGTGATCCACTGACGACCTATCGCCCCTAGTCAGCGGCTAGCACGAACGCTCGCCGCGCAGCCGCTCCTTCAGCCTGGAGCGCGTGACAATCGAGAGCCACCCCCACATCTTCAGTCGCAGCATCGCCCAGCCATGCCACCAGCGACGGCTCCCGTTAACGGAGGACTTACGTGCTATGGATGCAGCGAGCCAGGGCACCGCATCAGTGAGTACACTCTTCCATTGATGTTATGGAAAGAACGAGCGTGTCAGAGAAGAGTGTCCACATTTAGTAGCGCCCATCAAAGCCCAACGCGCAAACAAGCGGTACTCATTCGTCGTTCATCCCCCAAGTTCCATGCTCAGTACGCATGTGCCCATAAATCCCATCCCCACCCGGAAACGTCTCCATACATTGCCAGCATATATGGGTCTGGCACTGCGTGCATGTGACGTGGTGACATCCTCCACTGCGCTCGATGGGCGCTTTGCAACCTGGACAGCGCTGCACTCCATTCGCCTTCATCCACTCCTCCAGCTCAGCCGCACCATCATCTGCATTACAACGCAGAGTGCCATGAAACTCGGATTGGCAGAGTGAGCAGATGCGGAGCAGACACGCCGGACACTGAAGGACACGACCCCTGCCTACGCTTCGGTACACCTGCTTGCAATCCGGAGTTGGACAGTAGTGGAATTCATCCGGCCGTGCGTTGACGTACGCGGTGAACGCCGCTTGGACGAGACGGTCCAGCTCCACTTCGGATAGAACAGCAGACGCAGTCTGGTGTGTGATGCTTTCCCTGCAACGACCACTGGAACCCAAACAGCCTATTGGGAAGATTCGGTTCTCCCCGCAAGACACGAGGAATCCGCGGATGCACTCGCTGCACCAACTGTGTCCGCAGCCCAAGGTAATGGGGGTGTCTGCCTCTGCGAAGCACACGGGACAGCTGCGAGGATCCGACAAAGCCTCGCAGCGCCGTTGTTTCGCACGATGGACGGCTGTCGCTGCCTCGCTGTTCATCACATCACTCCCGTAGATGATGAGGGTATCCTGCGTCGTGTCCAACATCATGCAACCATTGCCAAAGCGCGCGCGCAAGGCGGCGATATCGGGGTCCAGGTAGAGACCGACTGCATCGCCCGATAGAGGAATGGCCGAAGATTGTTGTTTCGTGAGCCGCCCAACTTGTGCCCTCAGTTCACGAAAGACCTCCGCTCTATCTTTCCGGGTAGCAGACACCCTGATTTGCTGTCGATCCCCGTCCGCCATGATGCTGACGTGCGGAAGCCGACCTTCTATCCGCCGCACAAACGCGCGCCCTTCTGGGTGGATGAAGAAGGGGTGCCAGATCACTTTGCCGTGGTCACGAAGAACCTCACCACGCACAATGTGCTCCAGCTCCATCCGCAGATAATTGACGGCCTGAAGGTTATCTGCCTCCATTCGGACCTGCAACGTGCGCCCCCCGTTCTGCTGGGCGAAAGTCATGTCCATTCCGCCCTGTTGCGCCATGACCGCCAGGCTGTGGATAGCGTAGGTGTTCTTGCTGTACAGAATCATGTCGATGTCGTATAAAACGCTGCATATCTGCTGAACCTGAATACGTGTGCCGCCAGTGCACCCCGGGCTGGTACCGTCGAACGCAGCACAGACCGCTTTAGCTTCGGTAGCGGACGAATACATCGCCCAGGCCTTAGCCACGCCACCGTAGTAAGGCGGAGACTGCAACGCGAACCTGACCAGCCCGCGATTACGCCGAAAGTGTCGCTCGAGCGAAGCGCCAACCTTTGCAGGCGAGCTGAAGTAATTTGGCCGCTCAAACATTTGGTCCACAGGTGACCCGAGCGTGCTGACTTCGCTCTGCTTGACGTCTGCGGGCAGGCCAACGAACTTGACGGTGAAGTTGCTGACCGCAGGCACACTTTTGTGGTGTTCGGCGGACGGCACGTGGTGGCGAATACCCTGCCTGGCGCGAGATATGCCCACCTCCGCCTGCGCCAAGGTCTGATATCCTCCGTATATCACTTTCGTTGGAAGGTCGAAGACGATGCGCACAGTTGCGTCGTTCAGCGTCAGCCTGGATATGTCCCTTGGTGCTACGCTCTTGGCGTGTACCTTGCCACCAAAGACACTCTTTCCGTCCCAAGCTGCACTTGCAGCTGTGGCGTCCTTTGAATGCACGTAGCGGGCGAGGACAGTGCGCACGGACTTGCGATGAACGCCAACAAGGGCGCCGTACACGCCAAGTGCCTGCGAGAGGTACTTCAAGGGTATATCCTCGCCAACTCCATCAATCTGGATGGTTGATGACTCGAACCCTGTGATGACTCTCTCCACACAAAATCCTGGGCGCATCTCCACGGTCATGAACTCTGCCACCGTGTAACGCGTCAACGCTGCGTCGTTCAGCGGCTGCTACATTGCTAAATGTGAGAGGTGTCCCATGTGACTTTTGACACAACACGCACCCCATTGGAACACATTCCTGTCATGGGGTAAATCATGGATGGAAAGGGAGGCAGCTCGACGTCCGGATCATCCACACGCGCATAGTGCACAGTACCAGTCATCGCGCGTGACGAGTCAGTTTCCTAGCATGACTTGGTTTGAGTGTGATTCAGAACGCAAAACTCGCTTACCATGTGCGCAGCTCTCTCCAGATTCATAGCTTGAGATGTGCTGCCTCCATCATGCTGCATATTGAAGCTGGATGTTACTCGACGAAGCTCGCCTCGAGGTGCTTGCTGCATGGTGGTCTGAGAAAGAACGGCCACGAACACAATGATCACATGATACCCAAAAACCGTCATCGTTCGCAGGGTATCAATTGGCTGCCATATGGGGAAAATCACTGCCATCACACGAGGTGTCCGCAGCTGCCTCGCAGATGCGAGATGGAATTAGCAAGCCTCACAGTGTTCCTCTTTGTTGGGCTCAGACGGCATCTTCAACATCATCACGCATTTGCGACACGTTTTGTGCCGTGCGAAGGCGGTGGTCAATGTTCTACCTGCATGTCCACGTGATTGATGCAGCGGCAGCGTTGATTGATGCGTGTCACGTTTTTCTGCTGTTCGCTGCTCCTTATCATCGCCTTATCATGTCAGTCCAGCGAGCAGCCAGTCTCTTTCACCGCTTCAATCATCAAACTGCTCGATTTGCAACGATCATCTTCATTCCTGATCCCAGACTTTCGGAATCCGTCAATGACCATGACGATACATCCACATATCTATACGAGATGACTTGTTGGATTGACCCTCAGGCGCTGTCTCGCATCTCGCTCGCCGCTCCGCGCTGCGTACGTGCAAGTGAAGCTCGGGAGATGAATGCAGACACCGGCGAAGTCAGCGCTGTACTGTGGGAATGGGTTCTTACATTTTTTTTTCCGTCACCGCAGCGAGCTGACCTTTGTAATGTAGGCATACCTCCCTGAGGCTTTGTTGACCAAATCGGCTGGAAGGGACGACATCAACCTTTCCATCGATGTTGTAGATTACCCAGACTTTGTGACGGCCGTAACGTTGCACTCTCCAGACGATGAAATGTGGCGTCGCCTGCTAAGGGCAGACGCCATAATCGGTGGCCCTGCACTGAACGAGAACTACATGTGAGCCTGCCACACACTCTTTCTCGCTTTACAGCTCACACATCAGGCTAGGCATCCAGCGTACATGATCCATCTTGACGCGTACATCGCGGGGGTGTCGCTGCTTGAACAGCGCGTGTTTCTCTGGCCCTGTGCAAAGTCGCTGTGGTGTGGTGGGAACAAAACTACGCTGGCCGCTGAGCTCCAGTTCATCGCCACGCACATAACACATACGCCCCGTCCGGCAGAACGTGGAATTCAGGGGCCTCCTGGTCCTCCCAAAATGGGCTGGGTCCAGAAGAGAGGATACTCTGCGCGTGCGGAACATGTGCTCCTTCCATCCGAGATGGAGATTGGAGGAGTGCCCAAGAGTCTGGATGAGCCTGCACCACCTGAAGCTCGATGGATAGAGCAAGCGTACATCGACACCTTGCGCGACACCAGGTTTGGGGAGCTGCGCTGCTTTATTGTCAGCGGCGAAGTAACCCGCATCATACGGACGGTGCCCAGCGGTGATGGAATGACCTGCAATGGCGTGGACGACGGGTGGCCATCACTGGCTCAGCATTGGTGTGTGGAATCAATCGACTGTATCAGGGAAAGGGCGCTGATGACTTCCTGCGATAACCTTTGATCTCCTCGCATTAGGAGGATATATCACGGCATGCCTCCATCCCCTACGCAGCAACGCCAGGGCATTCTTGAGCTGACGTCATTTGTCCTGGACACGTACAAAGCGCTCGTCGGAAGAGAAAAGGCAGCACTCGCAATCAGGGACAGTGACCTGGAGGTAGTTTGCAGGATGGACATTGGCTTGCTGATGGACGATGTTGCGGCACATTACTTCGTCTTAGAGGTCGAGAGAGGGTTGACGCTATGTATGTTCTCGCACCATGATGTCGAAGGAGCGTCCCAAGACATAGAGGCTGTGGCAACATGTATCCTTAGCCACATTTAGACATGCCTACATGTGTTGCCTTGTAGATTTACTCCGCTTCTTGCTCTGCTCCGGGGCATGAAGCAGATACAGAAAGTAGGTCTGGCTCTTTGCAATGAGCTCGGGAGAGCGCGTGGCGACCCACTGACAACAACAGGGACGAATACCCTTCGATGAGCTCGCGATGAAGGAGGAGCGGAGGTCGTAAAAGAAGTAGAAAAGAACCAAGACAAAGCAAAGAGGGCGAAGAATCAGGTGAAGATGAGTAGGCGTAACAGCACTGTTCACCTTATCGTAGTCCGCATGACCCATGTGCTGAATTCTCATACCACGTCTACCAAAGAGATTACAGTAGTACCCACGGGCATGGAGACAGCATCTGTCTAATATTTCTCTTGCGACGGTGACACGTCGTGAGCCTGACACGCCTCAAAGGCCCTGAGCAGGCTGGAAATGATGACTCAAACTCATCAAACCGAACCTCCTGCAGAAGGTTGATAACTGGTAGAAGAACACAACCGTGTTGCCATTCCTTCTGGGACCATTGCGCACAAGCTATAGACACTGTAGAGTTGTTACTGGTCATCCTGAAACACATGGCTAGGGATAACACATCCCACCGAGCCCAGAAGGCGGTGAAGAAAGCGTACACGTCGAGACAATTCCCTGCGAACCCAGGGCACCAAGAATCTCTCAAGCTGTATATGAGCATATAAAACGACCCTGTTGCTCCCGTGCCCGCGCTGTGCCCTTCCTTCCTTCCAACTTTCGGAGGCACAACCCCAACCGCCACTGTAGATGATCGCTCCCTGGTTCCAGCCCACTACGATCGCTCAAAGTCTGCACTCGAACTGCTCTCTCATCGCACTCAAGCGAGGGTAAATAGACTCATATGATCCCGCTTCCGTCGTGCAGTACCAGCTGCTTGAACTCGGTTGCGCGTCCAAATTATCAAAAACACTGCCTTGTGTGCAGTGGCATCTGCACATACAAAGAACTTGCGTCGTAAGCCGTACAAGCAACGTCAAGATGGAATCTGAGACCAAAAGATGCCAAGTTTGCTGTAGGATGCCTTCCGCAATGAGCGGCTGCCATGGCAAATATATGCATGGACGTCAGCAGTTTGGTGCTGACACTATCCCCCATCCGAAACGCCGCCTTTCCGACCGTCCGCACATTGATAAAATCGAGGAAAAATCACGTTAATCTAGCGCGTAAGTAAAGAGCTCTAAGTACATAATCACAGACCTTTCGATTGGATAGAGAGCGATAGGTGCAACGCAAGCCTTCTGGAAGCAAGAGGGCCGCATCCACTCCCAGCGTGAAAGGCGCTGCTATACCTGTTTATTTCTAGGGTGTTTTCTAGGTGTTCTGATCGACTATGCCGTTGATTCCGTAAACTTATTGATATCATTTTGGGCGACTGCGCTCGTCCTACACCTGCTTGAGCGCGGTGTTTCGGATGGTGGGCACAAAGCAGGTTCCCAACACAATGCCAAGCCCCCTCTATTAAGCTCGACTCTTCATATATTCGTCTGAGAGCATCTATGCATATACTCTGCAACATCATGCACCAATCAACTACGCTCAATGTCCACAGTCGGCTTGAATGTTCAGTTGCAGCGGCTGCGTAGCAAATCCACTTTGGACGGGGATCGCCGTCAGTACCTAAACTGCCAGAACACCGACATGCATTCAGGGTGCGTATGACGCGCAGTGACCAGGCTGTCCAGCTGATCAACCAACCGGAGGCCGGAACGGCACTTCTGAGGTCTAGGCACACTCGTTTTCGCAGACGTCTGAACGTACACGGGCCGCAAGCCATGACATGTCCATTACGTGTCACTGAATGGTAGAAATCAAGTTGTGACCGTGACAGAACCCTCCTTGTATCGTACCACCATCTCCACCATGCCACGCACGAAGAGAACAGCGCGGATTAGCAGGGGCGGCAAGGCCCCGCGTAGTCTGTGTCTCGTTCTGCTCACAGTGAAGCTGCGCGCTGATGTACGCACCAGAACAGCTTGCCACGAAGAGGCCAGCGGCACCGCAGCCTATCAACGACCATCGTCCATCTGACTCGGAGGACTCGTACGATAGCGACGACAAGGTCAAGATGATCGTCAACAAGCGCCGGAAGACAGCGATCGACGACGAGCTGACAAGTGCCGACGCCAAGGACACCATCACGCCTTCCGACACTCACCAAGTCCCTTCCACCTCCTCCCAATCAGCAACGACCGGTGTACATGCTTCCCAGTCTAGCTCTGCGGCTGCCCACCTGATCGAGGCTGCTGAAGACGAGAAGCGGGCGATGGATAAGCGGTGGGAAAGCGGTGAGAATCGCGCTCGCACCGTCGGCCGGCCGCCAGCTGATCGGACCGATCTGTCAACAGCCGTCGCAAACGGACAGCAGGGGCTCGAATGCAAGACTGTGGCGCCCGCAGGCAAGTTGGAAGGCAATGTTTCATCCTGCTCAGATTGCATTGCATCCGGTGCGTATCTTTCCAGCTGCCTGGGAAGCGCTCTTCGCAGATGGCTGATAGCGCCTTCTCTCAGATTCCGCCAAGACTGAACAGTCCGAGCATACGTCGCGCCAGGTGCTTCACACTGATCTAGTAACCGTACCCGGACAGCTTTGACCAAGGGCACGAGTAGTGTACAAATGTTGTTGATGTTGAATTGATGATTTCCGTGCTGGAGGGCACGCTTGCGCCACTTAAATATTTATTGGAATACGTGAATGTGCCCGAATACTCCAATGGGAAGCACGGCTTCTCCAGGCGTCCCTCCAGCCACGTGCCAAGCAGGCGGCGATGTGGCTTGAGTCCGGCTGCCAGTGCCGCTGAGCTTTCAGATTGCCCGTCGTCTGCCATAGCAGTGCACCCTTCCCACCCAGTGACCTTGTGAGGAGTCAATGGTTGCAGCATACTGTATGGCTTCGACCATAGGTCCGGTGCGGAACCTGGCCGCTCTGCTTCCACTCCTACCCGCTCGACTGGCGAGATCCCCACTCGCCGGCACAGGGCTCCCGCAGGCTCAGCGGCTGTGACCTGTGACCGTGCGAACTCGCCTTAGTGACGAGACCTGCTTGCCAGGCTCGTCTTACTACACCACGCCCATGGGCGGAGGTCGGGGAGACGTCCGGCGGATCATCTCCGGTGTGGTCTGCCAGACGTCCGGCGACATCCCGCGAGAGGTCGCTGGGCATTGAAACAGTAGTGGCCCGACGTCTTCAGACACGCGGTCCCAGTGATGTCGCTAGCCTGACCTCTTGAGATGAATAGCGGGACACGTAGCCTCCTCGGGATATTCGCTTATTTTTCGATTTTCTTGTTCATTTCCGTCATTTGTGGGGAGAAAACTTGTTCATATTGCACTTGAGAGGTATATAACATGTACAGGACTGTCCAATTAGTGCTGCCGATGTCCGGTTCAGAACTTCGGTTCGAACCCGAACCGCCTGAACCGAACCACGAAGTTCAGTTCAGGTTCAAGTTCAGTTCGACCTCTGCCGTCGAGGTTCAGGTTCAGGTTCGGGCACCGCTGGATTTGTTCGAACCTGTTCGAACCTGAACCACCACCAAGGGCTTTCAAGCCCTGATACACTGTTTTTCCTGTATGTTTAGTGTAGTATCAGCTTTGATACTGGAGTCGAAGCCTCATACCTGCATCTAGAGGCTCTCATAAAGCGACGGCAGCTTGTAGGCTGCCTGTCACCGACACTCGGGGATATCCGAGTTCAACATGTCACGTATCAGTCACACTCACGCGCCAGCCTCTTGCCTATATTGTTTCCTTTCCTTACCCGAGTGAAATAAAATGGGCCGATTACCATTATATTGTAACTATCACTTTCAAAGACACCTAAGAAGGGTGCGTACAGCACATCTTATTCTTAATAGGCCCGAACAAGTTCGAACTCGGTTCGAACCTATCTGAACTCGTTCGAGGTGTTCAGTTCAGGTTCAGTTCAGGTTCACCGTCTCGCCGTCGGTTCAGGTTCAGGTTCAGCCCGAGGAGGTGCTGAACCGGACTGAACTGAACTTCGGCAGCACTACTCGCGCCACCCCAATGGGTGCCGCTGCCTTTCACCTTCAGGTGATGCCCTCGACCTCATGTGCTATGCACCTTTTGTGATTGCGGGAGCGTAGAGCAACACCCCTCCCCCTCCCTCCCCCCACCTTGCTACGTGGCGACCGCGGACGCGTCCTTGGATGCGAATGGGCGCACGAAGCTCGGGCGGCTTCTCATCCTATTCCTCACCGTCCACTTGCACTCGCACTCCTGCGCGCTGTGCAAGTGGCAGGAGCCCTCGCCACCACGACCGCGCGCGTTCGGGCCGGCCGACTTGGGCGCAGAGATATGGTACGCCTCGAGGCATGCTCACTCGAGAATGACATAAAGCCTACGTTGCTGGCTAACATGCGCTTGCTGCGGGGGCGTCTGCGGGTTGCTGAGAAGTGATGGCGCGGGCGCGTATGCATTGGCTGCTGCGACGGGGACGGGACGCGGCTGGGCGTACACGATCTTGACGTTCGTGGCTGCCATGTTGCAGGCGTGCGATCCGTTCTGCGTGGTGGTGGCAGAAGAGGAGGGGGCGAGTCTTGTGGGCAGCAGCTACTAACCAAGTAAGACCCAATGGCGTAGCTGGTTAGAGCACCACTCGAACTGTACAAGGTTCGAAGTTCGAACCCTGCTGTGGTTGGCTCTCATGCCTGGAGCACGGGTGCAACTCCCATCGCTTGTAGGCATCCGAGAAGCCCGGGCAAATCCGCTATCAGAGATGATACTGCTCTAATAGCGGATTTGCCCGGTCCTCTCAGATGCCTATAATCGACGAGACTTGCACCCGTGCTCCAGGCATATGAGGGCTAACTGCATTTTAAGGTCGGAAAAGTGGTCTATTGAAGAATAGAGAGAATGCATCACAGTACTTTTTCTGTGGCTGAGGTCAAAACAGCCAAGTTGATGTATGATTGCATGGGTGACATACACGGTCCGAATGTACAGTCAGACTGATTAACAATGCGAGTGATGGGCCCTAGCATTAATGGATGGGTCAGATCGAAGGGGGACTGCAACAGATCTGTTGACATGCACACAAGGAAGAGCAATAGAGCTTAATAGTTAGCACACATATCATCTTCTTCGCTTACAAAACGCGGCTAGACTTCATGCAGTGCCTGAAGCAAAACTTGCGACGGCTACTGGCGGTAACCCCCATCCGAAACAGATCCACCGTCCGAAATGCCGCTTTTGCTACAGTGCTCACATTCTAGAAATGGAGGAAAAATCACCATAATTCAGCCCGTATATCAAAAGCGTTATGCACAGAAATTCAAACCACCCGACCAGATAATGAGCCATAGGCACGATGGAAGCTTTATGCTAGGGAGAGGGCTGCCATCACCCCCAGGATTCGTCTAAAATATGCATACAGATACTATACGATGTGATCTATCAATATATAACAGCGGCCACGAACCGCTTGGATTTCGAGTGGCAGGGGGGCGGCAAATCCGTGTGGGATGAGAGCAACCGTCAGTGATGAATATGTCCGTATGTAATAGAAAATATTAGTAGGATAAAAAATCAGCGGGGTTTACATCAAGCGCCCATTGTTCTCAATGGACAGTGGATGCAAAAACTTGTGATATCTATCGAATCTGATATGTTGAAGATTCCCGCTCGCATCTGGTACGAGACCGACATGACTGTGAACATCAACGAAAGCGCCCATCCGTTCACGAACAAGATGACAGGTATGGGTAGACCGCTTGCAGAGTCTATCGAACGGTATGTACCCCACATAACTTGTGTATGCCATTCTACTGACGTTACAGTCAGCAGACGGACTGCAGACCGCATGATTTTCGAGCAACTCGGAGAGTGCTCGCAGCGCTGCGACCATCTCAACACAAACATCACCTTCTCCGACCGGCACAGTGCGAATCGCTTGCGCCACGAGTCCCGCATCCGCACGAAGGCTGCGAAGACGTCGAAGGAGGACGAACTTGCTCGTCTCAACAACACCAGCAAAGACACTCAGCAGCAGAAGAAAGTGCTTTCGTAGGCTGGCGTGAAGGCACCGTGTGCCAGGAAGGGGTCGCGCGGCAAGAATACGCCCAACGCGGTCGAGATGCACCGGTTCTCGAGCCCACCTTCACCCTCTCCTTAGTGTGGTGACTTCGATGGTTCTGCCTTTGAATTTCCATCAGGCTCGATTAGCGCAGGCGCTTTTGATGTTGTGACTGGCTTGGGCGACCTCGACAGCACAGAAATCAACGCCCCACTGCAATCAGCACTCACGGGCGATGTCTCGAGGTGGGACTTTGGTTCCTTCCTCACGACGTCAGGACCATCTCGCTCTACCATACCCGAGGAGGCACCTGCTGATGCTGCATCATCCGCATCGCGCGCTGCCACCTGGACGCCCTGGTCTGGCTCTATGACGCAGGTCGACAGCTCCCAGCCAGCATCCCAAAGCACCGGTATCGGCTCAACAATGCAGTCGCTTGCTGGGCCGATCTCGAGGCCGCAGCCGGGTCAGGTCCTCGGCTGGTCGCCTGACGCAGCGTAAGCGGGATCTGACTTCTTTCTCTATCATCATAGCTACGCTATATTTTACAACAATGTATTATAATGGCAAAGTTGACGCCGCCGAATTTCACCGTGCGGAAGCAAACCTGGCCCGGGAATTGCCGTGCATCACTTTCCCCCGGTGAAAGTGGGATGTCTGACAACTAGGCCACTTTCACTTCCATCGTTTTCGTCACGACTCCACCGGCCTTGCCTCCGGTTTCACGTTTTGAGCGTGATCGGTGAGCATATTACGCAACGAAAGAAGCCTTTTGACGCACCAAGGACTCCAGCCCTCTGTAGAGTCTTGTTTAAAGCAGGGCCATCTACGCGTGCTACTCATGGTAATAGGAGGCACAATCGGATGGTGAGTCCGTTAGTCCTCAACCATATTTTCGGCAATTGCCGCAAACAGCAGATATTGCCTTCCTGCACTTGCTTTTGCTTGCTGGTACCCTATAGACTGATAGAATATACACATGTACAGTTCATGATGGAGTTGTGTCCAAGCTTTTGCTCTCACATCTAATATCAGAGCTACAGAAGGCCAAGATCCTCTCGCGCATAATACAATTACGTAATATGCTGATATGCGCGAGAGCCGTCAAGCTCACCGTGCCCGGCCCATGGCTTCAATCGCCACCAAACTTTACATGCAGTCTCTCACAGAGATATACAAGGGCCCACAGGTGTCTCGAGACCGCTCGGGGGACGGTGAGCATGGGGGTGGTGTGCACGTGCACGAACTGTGCGAATGTCATACACACTACCGATCGTGAACCACCGACCGAGCGAGCCCCAGCAATGGTCAGAAATGGTCGCAGAGTTCTCTACAGTTATCCTGGCTACTTTGGTTTACTGGGAATGCCAGCGCTGGTGCTCTAGTGGCAAAATCTCTCTCGTGCATACTACAATTACGTGATATGCTGATATGCGCGAGAGCCATTGAGCCCACCGAGCCCACCCTGTGGCCCTGATTGCCACCAAACTTGTCCGGCAGTCTCTCACAGCCATATGGAACGGCGTAGAGGTGTCCAAGGACCACTGCGTGACGAGGAGCACGGGTGGGTGTGCGCATGCACGAACTGCACGAATGTCGTACACACCCCCAATTGCAAACCACCAACCGAGCGAGCCCTGGAGATGGTCGAGGAGAACCACAGAACCTGCTACACCCCCAGCCCCCTCCCCCCCTAACTATTTTGGCTTACTGGGGATGCCAGCGCTGGTGCTCAATCAGCTGAATCTCTCTTGCGCACACTATGATTACGTGATATGCTGATATGCGCGAGACCCGTCGAGCGCGCCAACCCATGCTAGGTCACCACCAAGTTCCGCAGATAGTCCCTTACAGCCATATACAAGGGCATACAGCTGCCTGACTGCTCATAGGGCAGGTCAATTGGTGGATATGTGTGCAGGATCCGAATGGCCAATGTTAGCTGGGAGGCAATAATGGTCGGGATCTGCGTTAGATCCAACATGACCGGGTCTCCTTCACTTTTGACAGCAGCTGTAGACCTACACACAGCACACATCTACATTGATGTAAATGAAGGAAAAGTCACGATGTTTCAGTCCATAAATTAATCTCGTTATAGGACGTATCAGTAGACAGATTTATCAAGTTCTGCACTTAAGAAACGGAGCTCCACTTGATGAAGCAGCAAGTTTAAGACCTACGAGGACTGATGAATTTTCTTGCAACTCAGGTGCGTGGAGTCCCGACAAGGGTGCAGCCCGGCGCGGTATTCAGGGTGATTCTGGCAGGCGGCGCGAGGGAAAGCCCTGGGTAGTATCGAAACATGCATCGTAGGGAGCGCCGGCGGGGTTTTTGCGTGTCCGCTGGCCCAGACTCACGCTGTGAGAAGCTCCTCGGCTTGCCATCCAGCGCAGGCTATGAATTCTCTCTGCATTTCATCGTTCTGTCTTTTCATTTAATCAACGAATTTACTTGACTGTTCACTTGCCTTTTCATTAGTGAATTCTCTGATATTTATCGAATCTAATACGTGCTTATGTACAGAGTTGGAGACCATTCGACCTCATGATAAGCGACAGGCCTCTTGCAAACCTCATGGCAGTTAAAAAAACCGCCATATGGCCGATTTTTATCATGAAAGCTGCTACTATACATGCGCTTCTTCAAGGGTGTGCTCCCCTTGAAGGACATCAGAGCATATTAGTTAGCAGAAATATCGATTTCTTCACTTACAAAATGCAGCTCCACATCATGCAGTGGCTAATGCAGAACTTACGGGGGTTGATGAATATGTTCGTACGTAGGAGGAAAAATCGCTGGCAGTCGAACTCTGGTGCGACCACGTGATGGCCTCGTGCGCGTCTGGGCGAGGGCACGTATCGGTCATTCTCTTCGAAGGTCCTTGTTGCTCTGGCCGACATCAGGCGTGCGTGCAGGATATGGAAGGCAAAAAGAAGGTAGCTGCTCAGGCGTACACGTGCACAAGGGGGAAATCAGCAGGATCCTGGAACGCGGGTTGGCGAACCAATCTGCCTCTTTACATTTCGTCGTTTTGATCTTTCATTTGCAGTGGTTTTTTAGATGAATTTTCATTTGTGCCTTCGTTAAGGAAGTCTTTGATAATTATAGAAACTAATACTGTACGCTCCATTGACCCATCTGCTTGTCATCTCAATCTATCACTTGATGTACGTTTTTCTGACGATTTTCTGCTTGTGCTTGCGTTCAGAAATCCCGTGATCGTAGTCTTATGTAATTCCTTCTATTACAGCCCTGTATAACTATAGCCTCAAGACATCGCCGAGCGCAAACGTGAAGGAGCCTTACAAATAGCGTGGACATCTGCAATCGTACTGTACCACCCTTGCTCAGGTAAGACGGGGACGAAGGGAGAACGTCATTGCTGCCGATTCACATCCCATGCGGAATACGGTATGGATGCTTATGACTCACGCATCCCACATCCACAGTGACAATCTTTTTGTTGACCGAATGACTACCTAGCGCAAATGGCGGATGGGTCCGATCACCTCGTCCCTTGCAGAAAAAAAACAAAAAAGCAGGGTGTATGTTGTGGTCTGGGGTTCGAATCCCCAAAATGCGCTAGGGCCCTTTTTGTTCCGTGCGGCTTTTGCAGTCAACTAAGTGCATGGAGGTAAGCAGGGAATGCGGGGAATGAGAAAGACTGGCCCTGATGGACTGTGGCACTGCAACAGCAGTTGCTTTGCATATCATCACTTGCCTTATCTTACTCTGCCAGGCATCATGCTTGTCCATCATATATGGACTGATTATGCACCGATGATTACGTTCTTGCAGGTGCTTTCCCTACTGATTTGCCTTGAACAATGGTGGACATAAGTGCACGTACTTGTTGCGAACGAACGTGTGTACGTACGTACGTACGTGCGAAAATTGGACAACACCACAAGCCGGGGAGATGCAGGCACGACCATATCAAACTATTCACTCACTCATTCAACATCAGGCAGCACTTTTGCATGTTCCAGAAAGGCTTGTTGAATTGGGTACGGATACACGCCGACTAACGTATCCAGACGTCACCTAGCCCGCACTTCAATTGGGTGAGCACATGACCCATTCCCAAGAGCTAGCCGACGTCTCAGCCCGTTAGCCAGCGTATGAGCTGCAGAATATATATGTACAACATACCTGTAATCACTTGAGACGCTTTAGACGTCGGCTAACGCACCTGGACGTTGGCTAGCCCGCACTCAGATTTGGCGAGCACGTGACCTCACCCCCCAAGGGCTAGCCGACGTCTGAGTGCGTTAGCTGACGTCTGAGCGGCAGAATATATGTTTACAACATATCAGTAACCACCTGAGACACTTTAGACGTCGGCTAACGCACCTGGACGTCGGCTAGCCCGCACTCGGATTGGGCGAGCACGTGATCCCACCACCAAGAGCTAGCCGACGCCTGAGTGCGTTAGCCAACGTATGCGCTACAGAACATGAATCTACAACATATTGATAAACATTGTATGGCCTTCAAACGTCGGCTAACGCACCTGGACATTGGCTAGCCCGCACTCGGATTGGGTGAGCACGTGACCCCACCACCAAGAGCTAGCCGACGTCTCAGCCCGTTAGCCGACGTCTGAGCTGCATAAGATATATGTACAACATACCTGTAGCCATTTGAAAGGCTTCAGACGTCGGCTAACGCACCTGGACATTGGCTAGCCCGCACTCGGATTTGGCGAGCACGTGACCCCACCACCAAGAGCTATCCAACGTCTGAGTGCGTTAGCCAACGTATGAGCTACAGAACATGAATCTACAACATATCGATAAACATTGTATGGCCTTCAAACGTCGGCTAACGCACCTGGACGTCGGCTAGCCCGCACTCAGATTTGGCGAGCACGTGACCTCACCCCCCAAGGGCTAGCCGACGTCTGAGTGTGTTAGCTGACGTCTGAGCGGCAGAATATATGTTTACAACATATTTGTAACCACCTGAGACACTTTAGACGTCGGCTAACGCACCTGGACGTCGGCTAGCCCGCACTCGGATTGGGCGAGCACGTGACCCCACCACCAAGAGCTAGCCGACGTCTGAGTGCGTTAGCCAACGTATACGCTACAGAACATGAATCTACAACATATCGATAAACATTGTATGGCCTTCAAACGTCGGCTAACGCACCTGGACGTCGGCTAGCCCGCACTCAGATTTGGCGAGCACGTGACCCCACCACCAAGAGCTAGCCAACGTCTGAGTGCGTTAGCCAACGTATGAGCTACAGAACATGAATCTACAACATATCGATAAACATTGTATGGCCTTCAAACGTCGGCTAACGCACCTGGACGTCGGCTAGCCCGCACTCGGATTGGGCGAGCACGTGACCCCACCACCAAGAGCTAGCCAACGTCTGAGTGCGTTAGCCAACGTATACGCTACAGAACATGAATCTACAACATATCGATAAACATTGTATGGCCTTCAAACGTCGGCTAACGCACCTGGACGTCGGCTAGCCTGCACTCAGATTTGGCAAGCACGTGACCCCACCACCAAGAGCTAGCCGACGTCTCAGCCCGTTAGCTGACGTATGAGCTACAGAACATGAATTTACAGCATATTGATAAACATTGTATGGCCTTCAAACGTCGGCTAACGCACCTGGACGTCGGCTAGCCCGCACTCGGATTGGGCGAGCACGTGACCTCACCCCCCAAGGGGCTAGCCAACGTCTGAGTCCGTTAGCCGACGTCTGAAGCCTCAGAACATATTCATATTACATCTCTTCTTACATTATTGCACTTGAAAACCCCAGCCAACGCTTCCAACTCTGACTAGCCCTCGCCTGGTCTCGCAGGCACGTGACCTCACCGGCCAAAAGCTAGCTCACGTTGTGCTGGGGCGGTTGCCTTGAGATTTACCAGTACCATTCACAGTGCGTATCTTCACCTCCCAGTGCACTTAAAGACGTTGGCTAGCCCCCTCAACGTTGGCTAGCCCTGACGGTCCCAGAACACGTGTGTGATGGACGTCGGCTAGCCATCACAACCGCTTTTGGCGACTTTTCCCACGGGCGAACGAATTTTTTCGTACAAACGCGTGCGAACACATTCGTTCGCGCCATTGTCTGGAGCGCTTCCCCCTGCCCCCCTCGCCTCCAAACTTCGTCCAGCGGTGGATGGACATGCTGGCTACCCTCCTGCACCATTGGAACGTCAGCTAACGCGCATGGCGGGGCTCCTGACGTCGGCTAGTATTTCGGTAAATCGTGGGAAAATTTGAACGCGTTTCCCACGGTGCTAGCTGACGTCGGCTAGTGAGGGCAGATAGTTAGAAGCGGGAGCCACGATTCATACCGCATCAGAAACAGTTGTGCAGCAGTGCGGGGAGTGGTCGAGCGTGCTCACGTTCGTCCGAGGTCCGAGTCCCGCTGATGAGGTTGCTCTTCTCTTCCATCGCGGGCGGCTCGCATCTCCCGTATCATTCATACATGCGAGAGGCGCCTACCTCCCGCAACGACAGTCGTATATACCGACTGCCGACACGCCGAATAGTGCAGCTGGCGGTCGGATGTCCCGCGAGGTCTGGTCGCTGGGAGAACAACATCGTCAACCGCGCGAAGAAGGCGCTAAGCGCTTACCGGGCTTGCCACCTTCGGAGTCGCGCACGTCGACGGGCCCGAAGGCGGTGCAAGAGCTTGACGAATTCAGCGCAATCCATCATCCCCCTCATCGCGTGAATGAGGCTGCTCTCCCCTTCTCTGGGCGTTGGGCCTGCCTCCATCTCGTCCCAGGCTCTTCCCCCAGCTCGCCCATTGCCCCTTGCCCCTCCCCAATCACAAGGATATAAGGTGTAGGTCTGCACCAAAGAGTCGCCATCCGCCCCCGAAGCCATGACAGCACCAACAGACAAACAAGCGCCGCTCCCGCCTTCGTGCGCCACGCATCCTGTAATTCTATCGTGGCGCGCGCCGCCCACGACCTCCGTTGAAAAGCTAGTAGGACGGGAAAAGAACTCACCGGATACGAAACAGCCCTTGGCGCGCGGCATATGAGGCCAACGGCCCGTCGGATGCCAGGGGAATACAAACGCAGGTCGCACACGAAGTCAAAACCCATGCCATTGGTCTCGCGCTGCTATCGCAACACCAGCTGAACGCTTTTCAGAACTCCACGCACCCGACGCTCACATACTCGTTATCGGGCCCATGGCTCCCCATCTCGCACAGGTGGACCGCACGCACTTCGTACGAGCCGAGCGAGATGGGGATGGGGTGGCGGGGGACGGCGGATGAGGGTTGCGCGGTCGAGGAAGCTGAGTGAGCGCTTGAAGCCGTTGGGTGAGAGTTCAGACCCGCTGAGGGCGCGTCCGAAGCCGAGTGCGCTGGAATATCGACCTCCACCACATCCACCCGGATGTCGGGCTTCTCTCCCTCATTCCGCGCGACCTCCCCATCCGCCACCACCCGCGCAATCTCGCCCCGCGCGCGCACATCGGGGACGATCGCATCCCCGCCCGCCTCGATCTGCTCCAGCGCCTCTGCGTCCAGTTCAGCTTCTTCCGCGGCGGCGATGGCGTGTTTGACCATGGCTGCCTCCGCGTCGGGCGCCTGGTGCGCACTCATGGGCGTTCTTGTTTACTCGCGGGAACGAGGACTAAACTCACCTCCGCGTCGCCTGCCTTCGCGTGTCCTGGAAGTACCGCACCCAGGAGCTTTACCGCCTCGGACTGCAGCACGTCGGTGTACGAGAATGCGAGCCGCCTCCGCGGCTTCTTGCGGTGCGTGGTGTTCAAGAGGGTGACGTGCAGCTAGAAGGAAGACGAGCGCGTAGTTGAGCAAGATCCCTCCGAATAGAACCCACACCAAAGCCCAGCACAGCAGGACGCACCTTCAACGGCCTCGTCTCCGTAACATACCCCTCCCGACGGAAGGTCTGATGGACGAGGTCTGCAATCGCGTACAGCGAGCACTTCTCTGTACCCCCGCTTGCTGACTCGGCAGCCTCCGCACGCTTCGATTCGGCAGCTCCCTCGCGACCCTCCCCCTCCCCCACCTCCCTCGGCCCCACCCACAGCACATGCGCCTCCCGCCCGCCCCTCTGCGTCTTCAGCACGCCGAGGCGGTCCAGCTCGACCCGCGCGGGGCCGAGCGCGGCGAGCTGGGGCGCGAGCGAGTGGAGGAGGGCGAGCGCGGTGGAGACGGTTTTTTTGGGTGCGGGTGCGGGAGTGTTGGATGCGGGAGTGTTGGAGGCGCCGACGGCGGTCTGAGCGCGTGGTTTGGTGTGAGCGTGAGTGCCGACTTCGGTCTGAGCATGAGCGCCGACTTCCGTCTGAGCATGATGAGCTCCGACTCCGCTCTGCGCGCCTCCGGGACCGATGGGCCTCGTAGTCACTGGATCATCCTTCTCCAGGCGCATCACACCCAGGGTCAGGTGTACGCGCCGAGGGTCGATGACGATGCTCCTGTCGAGGCCGGCGACGGGGGGCGAAGCGGCGAGGAGCGCGTCGCCGAAGGCGGTCAGGCGCTCGCGGAGCGTGGGGTCGCTTGCCTGCGGGCATGATGAGTATTTTGGGGAGGGCGCGCGGAGAGGCATGACACGCGGAAAGGCATGTCAGGCGACGCGAAAATGCATGCCAGGCGTACCAGCGAGAGGGACAAGACTGAAGGAGCAGCGTGAGCTCTTTCGGCCTCACAGAGGAGTAGACGTCTACTTGCAATGTGTTGGACGCGGCGCTTGCTCCTTCGCCGGGCCCTTATTTTTCTTCTCCCTTTTTGCACGCTTGTTCGCCTCGGTGTTTGCGATTCCGTCTTCACCTGCCCCGGCGCTCGGTCCTTCGGCGCTCGGTACGCCATCCCCGACGCGCTTCTTCCCCATCTTCTTCCTGTTTCTGTTCGCCTCCCCTTCCCGGGGCTGTCGAGCCTGCCGCATTGCGCTCGTTGCACCGTCGTCCCCCGTGTTTCCTTCCGCAACCGCGACGACTTCTTCAGTCGCAACAATGGTTGCGCCCTCAGCAACAGCCGCGCTGCTCCCCGAGACCAGTCCTCCACGACCACGACCACGATCACGTCCCCCGCTTCTGCCACCGCGCCCGCTCCTCGGAGGGGCGTCGACTCTTGGCCGCGCCGTCGTTGCGTTAGTTGCAACCGATGCGGGATTCGGGGACGAGTCTGCCATCCCACGCGTAGGCAAGACGTACGATGCAGTCAATGAGGTTCTGAGCGAATGTGTCAGTGTCATATGGAACAGAAAACTTGGAAGAATGAGCGGCCCAAGTCGGGGACAAGACGGATGAGCGGGCGGGATGACGCGTTGGGAAACTAGATTGGACAGGCTCACCTCGCAAAGCAGTGGGAGCTTGTCCTTTTCGTGATCAGCGACGATAGAGGGCGCTTGATATTGATGAGCAGCTGTGAGGCGCTGCGCGAGCTGGCGAGCATGTACCTAGTCCACGCCAGTTACTGGACAGTGTCGCCGGGCAGGAAGTTCACAGAGACGAGCAGTGTAAGATGTCCGAGCGATAGAGTCGCAGACTTGGTGCAGCACGGTAGGCACTGCCGTCGACCAGACTGCCAAGCGAACGCGAAGGTAGAAGGCAACCTGTTTGCGTAAGTTGCAGTGTATGACGTTATGGTCACGGGCATGTGATGCGTCACAGTTGAACTTCAGCCACTGGCAGGATCAGTACTTACTCGCTGTGTCGGGGGTTGGGGGTTTGGGTCTCTGGAGGTACAGTATACAGCACAGTTGTTCTGAAAATCTGAAACATGTAGTACAGAACGTATCAATACACGGACAAACACAGTCACTCAGATGATGAAGGCTCTCGGAAATCGGTGCCGGGCGATGATAAAATGGTTGTGCGGTCCAGCGTAAGCGCGCAGTTGTCATGAATAGGCAGGCTGACCTCCTGCGTCTGCCCCTCGTCGTCTCCAAATCGCAAAGGATGGGTTATCATGGTTTCCCGGAGCGTCTCCGTCGCCGAGCGCTGCATGGCCACAGCGAGGATGATGAATGCGGGATATATGCTCTTAGGAAGGGTCATTTAAGGCAACAAGCGAGCGAAACAATGACTTACGACGAGGGAGTGATAAGTTCTGATGACCACGTCGGAGGGGTGGAAGTAGACCATATCCTCCGTCATGACCAGCGAGATGTAGACGATCTGCTGGCTATCAGCTCCTGTGTAGTATGTCGAATGCAGTAAAATGCTCAACTCACCCAGAACAAGCAATAAAATAGCCCAACTTCGATTAGCAGGACAAGTATCTTTTCAACTTGCGACGCCGTGTTCATTCTTCCCAGCGAGCCCTTGACGTCACGCCTGTAATACCTACGAAGTAGGTGAGCATGCGCAGCGCGCAGATGTTGTCTTTCCGGTGCTTTCACGAGATACTAACCAGACCTGCAATCCCACCAGTGTCGTAGCGAGGACGTTAGTGACTAGCACCGGCACCGCCCACATGAGCCAACCAGTCGCTGTCCCGCTGATCCTCCCGTGCGTCAACCACAGCGCGAAGTCGACAACGGCGCCGACTACGATGGTCATTCTAGGGAATGGATTGAGATTGGCGGGTGTCATACTCACCTACGGTCGCGATCATGCACAAGGTCAGCGCTCCCTTGACACGGACGCTCTCTGGCCATAGGACCCACGCACGCCACACGACTATCCCGTTGTTCAGAACGTACTGCAGTCGTCTTAGCACCCTATATTCGCAGGAAAAACGGCACCAGGCCCACTCGCCTGTAACCGCGATATCACCGCCATCGTGCAGTCTATGCGGTACAGCAAGCGCATCACATCCGTGTTCTGGTCATTCCGCGACTGGGCGAGATAGTACGTGGCATCCATGACGACTTCGAGAGTCGAACAGGCGAGGAAGATGACAATGACGGCGAGAAGGATGCGGGACGTCTTCTCTCGGCGGCTGTGGAGCGTGTTACGGGGTGAAGTGAGGCGGTTCGGAGTCGAGATACGCACGCTAGGGCTGCCCCAGCAGCGCCGAAGAGGCAACATTGGACACCTGAAGATCGTCGTTTATTAGTCGGGCCCGATGGGAAACCGCATGCGGCATACCGTAGAAAAGAAAGTCGACGCCTAATGTCATGAGGATGATCTGCAGCGCCGTCACATCCATCGCGATCAGAGAATTGAACTCCATGGGGGGAGATTCAGCGTAGGCCTCAGTGCTGGTCTCTCGAGGGAGCTGGAGGGAAGTGATCAAGTCAAATCAGGGACACACGCGCTCGCTATAAGGGATTGCATGGACTTGGAAGGCACCCGAACCCCGTCCTGGCATACAATGGGCATCTTGATGAGACTGCGTGGATTGCTCAAGAAGCTGATGACCACCGCACTCGACAATGTCGCGGCCAGGAGAAAGCTCCGCTCAACAGTTCTCGATAGGCCGCTGACATGATCCTGATTGCCTTCTATTGCGTATCGTCCGGGTCTCATGGTCATGCTTGGGGACAAGATGAGCGATCGATATGCCGTGCGAACGCGATGGACCTACCGAGGATATGGCTTTTCCCGAGTTTCGGGCACACCTGACAGGAATTAGTAGCAGTACTGATCACGTACTTACCTAGACTACCTAGACTTCGAGTGTCCGTCAACGGACTTGCGCCCAACCCTCAATCGTACCAATCGCCGCTACTGGGGTCGTCAAACCCTTCAGAAATCATCGTCCAATTCCGCAAAGTACGTGGACATGATATGATACGCTAGATTGAACACGTCCACATTATCGTGCTCGAGCAGCTTGTGCACCGCCTCCAGCCCGCCCGCCTCCTCGAGCAGCAGCGCGTACTCGTTCAGCGACCACTCATCGTCCGCGTCGCGGTCCAGCTCCCCCACGCGAAGGACGTTGGACAGCGCATCGAGGACGACGAGCGTGATGCGGGCGTCGCCCATGGAGAGCATCCCGCAGAGTGGGGGCACGACGCCCTCGGAGACGAGGTAGCGCACCTGCTCGGGCTCGCCCGCGATCGCGTTCGCGAGGGCCCAGCACGCCTCCTTACGCAGCGAGGGATCACCATGCTGGCACGCGCGCACGAGCGGCGGAACGGCGCCGGCGTCAAGCGCGGCCTGGATGTGCGCTGGAGGGCCGGCGGTTACGTTTGAGAGCGCGAGCGCGGCGTCGCGGCGGACTGCTTCGCCAGGATAGGCAAGCAACGAGACGAGGACCGGGATAGCTCCCGCTTCGATGACCGAGTCCGTCGCGCTGTCGTCCGCGGCGGTAATATTCTTCAGCGCGAGGAGTGCGGGCGTGACGATTCCAGGTGAAGGGTGAGCGAGGAGGGTGACCAACGGGTGGCATACACCGATGCGGGCTGCGAGCGGCGCGTGCGTCTTCTCGCAGAGATCGGTAAGCGCCCAGCATACGTCAACGAGTAATTCGCCATCTGGCGTATCGAGTAGGCGAAGGACGGCAGGAAGCGCAGCCCCAACCTGTGAGGATATCAGAACCAAGGCCCAAGACCACGCAGATTGTGTGACCTACCGAGGAGCTGTCTAATCGCGCGCTCATGTGTCTGCAGAGGTTGCTCAACGTCCACGCCGCGGTGCGCAAGACGGCAGGTTCCGCGGGCTCGTCGAGAACGTGAAGTACGCCTCGAAGCGCGCCGCGCTCTAACAGATGCGCGCGTGCCGGCGGCCCATCACCTGCGATGTTGCCAAGCGCCCAGACCGCCTGCTCGCGTACGCCAGCGGAGGACGAGTAGAGGAGCTGTACGAGCCGCGGCGCCGCGTTGGCGTCGAGTACCGCACGCGTCTCTTCAGGCGTGCCTCCAGCGATGTTGGTGAGTGCCCAGGCAGCTTCAAACTACGCAGAGAAAAGTGAGCGCGCAGCGGTGGCATGATTGGCTTCAAACTTACCTGCAGCATCTCGTTGTCGAACGAGAGGAGCGCGACTAGTCTGGGAACTACACCTCGCTCAATCATCTTTTCAATAGGTGGGTCCGCGGTTGTTAGGATTTTTCGAAGTGTTGCCACAGACGCTAGGTGGCGGAGGCGGTCCTCGGAGAATAGGCCGGTTATGGCGCTATCTATGTTCTATACTCGCACCGTCAGCCCATTATCTCGAACGTAATGTCTTAATGCCTTCGTACTCACGCTCGTGTCGACCGCAATGGCCTCGTCGTCGGAGTCCGCGCCTGAGGAAGGCAAGAAATGTCGGCGCTTAGACACTTGCTCCTCGCGCTTTTGACGACGGATAGAGACCTGCTGCTCTTCTCGTCGTTTGCGGCGGTCATCCGCCTCCATAGGCACGGTAGCCTTGTATGCTACACGCAAAAGGACATCGAACCGTCAGGGTCAACGCGCGTCATTCCCAAAGGAAGTACCCACTATTTCGTCTTGACCGCATCGTACGCGCGAGAATGTATCAAAAGGGACGGTGATTCAGTGCGTTGTTCGGTGGCTGAACGCTTTCCAAGGTACAAGGTTTGTCAAAGTGGCGGCCGTGACCGTTTGAAAGAACCCTATGACACCGTGGGAATCAACATTTGCTCCCGGACATCGGCCCGCGTCCCCCATTTCGTGTGACGTCGACACCCCGATGCACGCAGCGCAACCGGTCGACTATAGATCGAGGTTCGACGCTGACAGTGCATACGGCGATTCGTACTGTCGACCTCACGAGCCTAGGACACCTCACGGCTACAAGTGCAGTGGCTGGTGCAGCGACCTGCGCTTTACAGCAGTACGACAAGGATAAAAAGATTTCTGAGAAGGAATCCATGCCGTCTATTCCAGATATACCAGTGATAATTTACACAACGTCCGCCCGCAGCCCCTCATCGTCAACATTGAGCTTGCGCTCGTACGTTCGTCTAGCTTCATGTGCGGCAAAGCTCGCGCCTGCCAAGTTATTCGTCAGTCCAAAGCTCACATCTTCGCAAATATCGAGCACGCTTACCCGCCAAGATTAGGATGAGACTTATATCGCCCAGCCCCAACGCCTCCGTCTGGAATATGCGTTGGAGGAAGGGCACGTAGATGAAGGATAGTTGTGTCGTGAGTGAAATTGACACCGAGAGCGCGAGCATGCGATTTGCGCCGAGGCCGGAGACCAGGGAGCGGTTCTGGATGGCGGAGACGAGGTCGAGGACGACGAAGGCGGTAAATGTCTATAGAAGAGGACCCTGTCAGTACAGTTAGAGCACGTGAGATGGTGCGAAGCTTACCAGCGTCTGCTCACGCTTGCTCAGGCCATTGTCCTCCAACGCCCACAGGTAGACCAGAAGCACACCGGCCACGATGAGCGACGCGGAGAACAGCACACGATACATCAAACGCTTCGTGATGATGGCGGCGTCCTTCTTGCGAGGCGGCTTGCGCATGACGGCAGGATCGACCGGGTCCACGCCCAAGGACTGGGATGGCGGGCCTAGAGGTACCACTTTAGCAGATTGCGAACAAGGACTAGGTGTACGACGTACCGTCCATAAGGATGTTGATGAACAGGATCTGCATGGCGTTCAAGGGGTTACTCAAGCCCAGGAGCGTACTGCAAGTAATGAGCGACAACTATTAAGCGACATAAGCACACGCTGGACAGACGGACGATACGAAAGAGACACACCGCAGCCACAGCCGTACTCAGCTGGAAGCCGATGAAGTTTTGAATGTTGTGGAAGATGGATTTGCCTACGATGCCATGAGCATCCGGAGAACTTCAAGAACGACGTCGCACACGCACCTTCCTCAACTGCAGGAAGCAAAGTCGTGAAGTTGTCGTCGACGAGGATCACGTCGGCGGCCTCCTTCGCGACATCTGTCCCGCTCTTGCCCATCGACACGCCGATGTCGGCCATCCGCAAAGCCGGCGCATCGTTCACTGCGAGGTACGGTAGCATCGTATTCAGCGCACTCTTGTCAACAGGTGTGCTTACCTCCATCACCCGTCATCGCCACTACCTCTCCGCGCGCCTGGAACGCAGCGACGATGCGCATCTTATGTCGCGGCGTCGTCCGCGCAAACACGCTCACAGCTCCCACGCGTTGCTCCAGCTGCTTCGGCGTCATCCCATCGATGTCCGCGCCCGTCAGGATATGCGGGGAGCGCCCCGCACCGGGGACTGTACTCGCCACCATCTCCCTGCCTACGCCCAGACCCAGCTCGCCCGCGATCTTTGCCGCCGTCTCCTCGGCGTCGCCCGTGATCATCACCACATGCACCCCGCCACGGCGCAGCAACCCAACCGCGTCTGAGACGCCCTTCCGAGGCGGGTCCAGCATCGCGCAGAAGCCCGCGAAGACGAGGGTGGGGGCCGCAACATCGGCGTCGACGTTGGCGAGCCCTTCTGCGCTGCCTCGGCCGTAAGCCATGGCGAGGACGCGAAGACCGCGACGCGCGGCGTCGTGCGAGCGAGACATGATAGTGGAGCGCATGGTTGCGTCTGGAAGAAGCTTAGATCGAGTGACAGCCAGGCCACTTGAGGTACTGACCTATGTCTGGAGTTGACCCCTCCGCGACATGGTACGAGCGACATAGCGGAAGCACCGCCTCTATCGCGCCCTTCATATACAGTACTTCGGGCGCTGGACGATGCTCAGTTTCTGAGCTTCGCGATCGCGTACGTTCGACTTACCAGTCGCATCCCCACTCGGCTCATCCGTATGTACCCCGCTGACCGCCATGTACTTCGTCTCACTCGAGAACGGGCGCTCAGATTGTCGTCTGAAGGTCTGCAAGTCGCGTCACGTCAGCTGCATCCATTCCAAGACCCACAGCTTCGACTCACCCCTCTCCTATCGGCGACTCGCATGCCGACCGCCTCCGCTGCATTCAACAGCGCGACATCCATGGCATGCCCGACATAAATCCCGTCCCCATTGCGCGCTACCGAGGCATTGTTGCACAGCGCGCCTATTTCGAGGGCCTTCCGCAGCGCCGGAGAGAGTCCGTCCCGACTCGGCGTCGCGCGTCCGGATAATTGGCTGAGGGATGACGGCGGACCATTGAGATGTGGGGGATGCGGGTGGAGGGAGGATGGGCCTGGCGGATAGGCGCCGGGCTTCTCAGGATGGGTGCTAAAGCCGACCTGTTAGGCAAGTGTAAGAATGTCAGTATGGGTAATGATAGCGACGTGTACTCACCGACGCTGCGCCCTCCAACACTTGCCCGTCCGCGTCTAGATGTACAGTCGTGTCAACCGTGTAGGCTTCTACAACGGTCTGTTCGTTCTTCGTGAGAGTACCTGCGGAGTGTCAGCGACTGTCTCAGGCTTTCGTATTTCAGCACTGTTCACCCGTCTTGTCGCTACATACAACGCTGACGCAGCCGAGCGCCTCAACCGAGTGAAGCTTCTTGACGATCGCCTTGCGGTTCGCCATACGGAGCACGCCCTAAGGGTGGAGATAAGATTGCTGTGCGGACTTCAACAGACCGCTAGTCGCGCTTACCAGGGCCAGCGTCACCGTCGTAACAATGGGCAGGCCCTCCGGGATAGCAGCCACAGCGAGGGAGACTATATGGGCTCGTCAGCAACTTCGTGATACTGTCGAGCTTTTCGATGTCATACCTCCAATCGTAAACATTTCTAGCCATGAGCGATGCTGGAGTACACCTGCAAGTTGTTCGGCCAATAGCTCGTGAAAGAAACCGATTCACGTACCAATGAGACAGATTACACCAATCACCGCGAAGCTCATCATACTAAGCTGCGACGCGAGAGCGTCCATCGAGAGCTGCAGGGGTGTCCGTTTATCGTCGACCTGAAAGGCACGTCAGTCAAGGCGATTGATTAAGAGGAGCGCGTCGTATTGATGAACGACCAGTCTCGAGACATCGTACTGGACGCAAGGGGTGTAAATTGCAACTCACCTCCTCCATCATCGAGAACACTACACCGAACTCCGTATCGCGACCGGTCGCGATGACGATTCCTCGCCCGCGACCTCGAAGGGCATATCAGTCATCGTGTGTGCACCACCCATTCAACTCGCACTCACCATTCCTCACCAACGTCCCCATATACGCCACGCACGTTCTATCCGCCAGCGCCGTCGCTCCACCTCCATTCGCGCCCTCCGCAGCCCCACATTCATCCACGCCCTTCACCCTCGCCTCCGTCTCGCCTGTCAAGCTGCTCTCGTCCACCTCGAACTCGACCGCCTCGACCAGGCGCAAGTCCGCGGGCACGCGGTCGCCGGTGCTCAGGGTGACGACGTCGCCAGGGACGAGCTCGTTCGCGAGGACATGGTGCGCGCGGCCAGCGCGAATGACGTGGCAGTGGTGGGGGACGAGCTTGTTGAGCGCGGCGAGGGATTCTTCGGAGCGGCGCTCTTGGATGAAGCCGACTGGGAGGGCGTGTCAAAGAGGTAGGAGCAGAACAGAGAGGAGGCGCAGGGAGCGGGGATGGGAGAGACGGAGGGGATCGTTCACAGGGTCTGCGGCATACACACTTACCTGTAAGGACGATAGCCACTGCGACCGTAATACTGACCGCATCGTCCACATTGCCTACCAGGGCACTCACGAAGGCGCTTCCGAGAAGCAATGGAATGAGGGGGGAGTCGGTAAGGGTCTGAAGGTGTGGTCAGGGGCGAGAGTGGCATGAGAGAGGCCCGAAGGTAGGAGAAGAAGGAATGACGGGATGAGGATGAGGCTGTTAAAACGTACATTCCATAGCTTGACAGCCAGGCTCTCCTTCGGGCCGACAGTAAACTCGTTGTAGCCATAGCTAGATGTCAAGAAGTCAGCTAAGCGAAAGCTGTAGAGGGGAGGGAGGCGCGCACCGTTCGCGAAGGCCTGGGATGGCGGACTCGTCCAGCCCGTCTGTTGCAGAGGTGCTGAACGCAGAGACAGTCTCCTGCGCAAGATCAGAAGGTGCAGATACAGTGAGACGTAGAACGCACCTCGATCGACATGTGCGCATAGCGCGCGGACGCGGTGTCCTTCCGCTCGACGTGCTCCATCTCGGTCTCGCCTGCATCGAACACGGTCCTCCCGCCGCTAGCGTAGTCAACGCGGTCATACTCGGGCTGCCCAGTAATGTGCGCCACCGCACGGCGGACGAGTGCGCGCGCCTGACCCCACATATCCTGAGGGCCGGGAGACTCGCGGTACGGGAAGGCGCTCGCGTGCGCTCTACATAAACAATGGTCAGTGGAGCGCCAATCATCAAAGAAGCCCCGCCACGCACCGGCTCTCGAGCCCGAAGCCCCCGAGACTGCCTGCGCTCGCGCTCCCAGGTATCAGACTATGCTGCCCGTGCCGTCTGAGCGTCGTGCTGTACGCGAAGTGATCCTCCGCGCCCGGAGCGGGTCTCGGCGTTGAGTCGCTGTCATCACGCAAGTTGGTAAAGTACGCTGACGCCGGCGGGCTCTCCTCTCGAGGGGAGAGGGTATTGGCGAAGGGGGGCGCGGCGAAGGGGATCGACGTGGCTCGACGGGGAATGCGGATGTGTGGGGGCGCGCTGTCGCGCCTGTTCGTCGCGCTAGAGACGACGCGGCGGGACATCTCGCCAGACGCAGAGAGATGCTGGCGCGATGGTTTTGGAGCTCAATGTCGACAGCCGTGCTCGATGCCGACGACGGCGTGCGGGGAAGGAGATGAATATGTGGCGTTGACACGCTACGCGCGACGGAGGGAATCACCGGACGCCGGACGACACACAAACTCTGATCTGGTCAGTGAGGTTATTCCAATATTCTCAATGCATAGTTCTGGCACTCGACGCGACAAGCGCGTAAGAGTTTATCTTGCCAGAGCACACAATGGGCTTTCTCTGGCGCGTCCCGGAAACTAATAATTGTCGAGTGCGATGTACTCTGCTGGATACCACGGACATTAGTCTGCACGCGAGTATGCGGTGAGAGCATGTCACTCTGCATACCGTAGAGGCAGGTGCCGACGGTCAAAATGGGAGGGTGCTAAACTCATACTATGTGCAGGCGAATTGAGAGGGCGAACGACCCTCGAGATCAGCTGGAAGTACGAGATGCATTCTCCCAGCAAAAGCTGCCCTCCATGCCTCCAGAATCGTTCATGGGCGACCGTCATGTGAGACCTGCGTGGAGTCACCTGGCGCTGGTTGTACGTGGTCCGCAAAGTTGGATGGGTGATCCAAGTCTTCGAATATATGGCGCCGTCACGTGGCGGCGTTCATTGTCCTCGATCCGTTGATTGGATTGGGCCGCTGTTTCGAACCACCACGTCGTCGAACGCATAATGTAACTCGCCTCTTCATTTTCTCCCGCAACGAGGACCATGCTCGAGGACGTCTATCTGTTATCGCCCGTTTCCCATATCTATAGAGCTTTCACGCTTCTTCGTATCCTGTCTCACTCGGCGCCTGCTTCTCATCGACCTATCTGCTCCTCCTGCGCAAAGCGCCTCTGCTCTCCAAGCGCGCTATCCGCCACTTCCTACAGGCTCGCTTGGATGAGACTGACGATAAAGATATGGTCTGGATAAGACTGGAGCAAGGAGACTGGCTGGATAGATGCGGTGGCGATAACTCGCTCAGCGTCCCTCGACGGCTTCCCGGTGCGTTAACTTCCCTACCGCATTCCGCACTTCAGTGACCCTCTTCAGCTTGCCTGACCTAGCCGCGCAGTCGGTCATCCCGCCCACGGGTTAAGCCTATCTTTAGATAAGGCGACCTATACGCGCAGATTTCGCCGCCGTTCGCAGCGCTTAACATCGACCAGTCTGCATGACAGGTTCGATCGCGGTGAATTCATTGGCCAGTTTCGTCTCTTCCGACTCGAGTACATGCGCTCAGATATAACTTGCGTGCCGGTGAGCTCGAATATTATCAGATACCTTCCATTTCATCCTCCCGTCGGACGTTTATCATCCGGACAGCCAGGATACGTACTCCACGAAGTCACGACGGGGACGAGCCAATAGACAGGCGTTCCCCGCGGTCTACAATGACAGCTTCTTTTACGCTCGTCCTCTGCCCCGCCTAACCCTCCCCAGCCACCCGCGCTGCTTCTCCAGAGATAGTGCCATCCGCCTCCTCCCATGATAGTATCACGCCTCCTCTCCTTCGCGATAGAGTTGCCCGCCCTCGCCCGCGTTATCTACTATACCTCACGGGACGCCCCAGCCCAATTCTGCGACCGTGTAGATATAAGGGTACGTCGTCATTGAGCATCCCCATCCCTCGCTCTCTTTCCTGCCTGGGTTCTTTTAGTCGACTCGCCATGTCTCTATCGTCATTCCTCTCTTACCTCCTCAGTTTTCTGTGGCCAGCGTCGCCTCCAGCTCCGCCAGAGTACATCCCGCCATCTGTCACGGAAGAAGATCGTGCGTAGCGGCTTTTCTCCTACTCTCATGTTACTGACGGTATAATCAATCTACAGTCGATTATGCCTCCCTCGCCATCATCGATCTGTCCAAAGCCGCCACCCCCGAAGGCCGCAAGGAGCTCGCCGTCGAAGTCTCGGAGGCGCTGCGTAGTCAAGGGTTCTTCTACGTGATCAACCATGGGTATACCCAAGAGCAAGTGCGTACGTCCTCAGCGCCGTATACACGCGTGGCTCATATGCTCTCACAGACGAACCGTATCTTTTCCATCGCCGATGTCACCTTCGAAGAGGTCTCCGAGCGCGAGAAGCGCGCGTACTCCATGAAATCGCAATCCGTCTACCAGGGCTACAAACCAAAGCAGACTTGGGTACGCTTCCTCCTTCTCCGCTTCTAATATCGATCACTGACTCGCCATATCTACCAGAACCTTGCCTCAGGCGTACGCGACCAGATCGAGCACTACAACAGTGCGTCGTCTTCTTTCCAAACTCCGCTCCTCACTCACAATCTCGCAGTCAACCACCGTGTCAATCGCGCCGCCCATCCCACCGCCCTTCGCCCCTATATGAACGAGGTCGACGACTTCGCGCGACATTGCCACTTCAACATCCTTTACCCCATTCTAAGGTGCGTTTTCATTCCGCATTGGTTCCTTTGTTTCCGGTGCGCGGGGGCTTTTTTGTCGACGCCCAGCCGGGGCCCTCTCATGAGAGGACCGTGGATCAGCCCCACTTGACTCAGCGCGTTGAACGTCGCTCACGCTTCTCGCAGACTGCTCGCGCTCGGTCTTGAATTGCCGGAGGACACGCTCGTCAACCAGCACAAGTTCGAGGACGTTGGCGAGTCCTCTGGTGAGGTGCTATTCCTTTCCCCTCGCATACATATCTGACTGATCGTCTGCTTGTCCAGTCCGCTTCATGAAGTAGTACGTCACGCTTCCTCCTTGGGTGATGCCTCCTGCTGATCCGTGCATGATCAGCCACCCGCGCACGGACTACGAGGAGCTGAAGACGAAGAACGTGTGGCTGAAGGGCCATACCGGTCAGTCCATGTCATCGTTGCGAAAGTACTCGCTTACCAGGCGACGCGCTCACAGACATCGGCTCTATCACGATTCTTTGGTCTCAGCCCGTCGGTGGACTTCAGATTCTCTCGCCGGACGGACAGTGGCGCTGGGTGCGCCACATCGACAACGCGCTGGTGCGTTTCGCTCTTCAATCATTTCCACACGACCCCTTATCCGTCATCGCCGACTTCCACGACTCCTGCTCTGCTCTATGCCTGACCCTGCCTCTCGTGCATTCACTCACCCACACCGCATAGGTCATCAACGCCGGCGACGTCATGGAGTTCCTCTGCGGCGGCTACTACCCCTCCACCCGCCACCGCGTCGTCCTCCCGCCCTCCGACCAGCGCAACATTGCCCGCCTCGGCGTCTTCTACTTCGCGATGGCCGCCGACCACATGCGGCTTACGCCCCACGAGGAAAGCGAGGTGCTGAAGAGGGTTGGCGTTCGCCGTCTCTGCCCTCCGGGCAAGGAGCCGACGATGGAGGAGTGGCGCACGCACCGGACGAAGAGCTATGGGGCGGTGGAGCTGACGCAGGGTCGGGAGAAGAACGTCGAGGAGGAAATCGTGCATGGTGTCGTGGTGAAGCATTACAACTGATCGCACATGTTCCTCGGGATGGTGATTTACTGAAATTACGTAGAGGCTAGGTAGGAATCGCGGTGTGTACTTGTATCGCACGTTATGCATATTTTTCCTATGTAAATCGTAAGCTTGCTTGCCGGGTTGAGGGGCGATGAACAGTGCACTCACGCAGCCGCATCGGGTGTTTAGCGCAGTGGTAGCGCGTTCGCTTTGCACGGACTATTGCGAAAGGCCAGGAGTTCGATCCTCCTAACATCCACTGTAGGGGCAATAAGAATGCCCACACGCTTTTTGACCTCGTATGCTCTCCGGCTCAGTCCTAATCCGTTTTTGCCACTTCCGAGGAGTACACATTACTCTCAGTAGGCAGCCACCATCCGCCGACGCCATCCTCCGGCTCTCGCGCTGCCGACCCGGCACTGCGTGACGCGAATTGCCTCTCGTAAGACAAGGCTGTCCAGATAAGGTAAATTCGAGGCACAGCCTCCCCGAGGCCCGCCTCCGAAGGCCTCGTGATCCGCTGCGCGCAGCGCCGCCGGTCCAGGCCGCCCCGCCCCGCCCCACCTACCTGGCGCCGCGCCCTCGCTTGCGCGTCCTCTGCCCTGCCCCCGGAGGTGCGGGCGGGAGGGATGGCGCGCCCTGCCGCGCCGCCATGAAGGACGCGCAATTAGGCACGGCGCGAGCGCGCGGAGGGAGGTGGCGGCGCGGAAGCGGGGGCAAAGTGCGCTTGACAGTGAATAGGCAGGGGGCGCAGACAGGGCGGCGGCGGCTAGGCGCGCGGGAGTATTCAGTCAGCTAAATGCGTGCCTTTGGGCGGGAGCAACACGGGAGGCAACCGGGAGGAGGGTATTGAGTAGCCGAGCGCCGCGCCGCCGGCACTTCCAAGGTAGGGCGCGCGACGATCGTGGCGGGGGAGGAGGTGGCGGGGCTGCAAGACGGCGAGGATAGTATCGCGAAGTTGCTCACCAGCTCGCTCAGCAGACCAAGGACTCTTTGTCAGATGGACGGTTGATGGACGAACGCGCGGTCTGGATGTGCGCACGCGGCGCTATTGTTGTGTCAGAATGGAATCCCTCTTCCAGGACACGGTATGCAGAGCCACGCATTCTATCAGCGGATCGAAGCGGGATCGTGCCTCTAAAGTGCGATCAGCCCTCCAAACACTCCCACAATACCGCAACACGTACCTAGACCCAGATCGCGAAGATCGCGCAGCCGGCGAGGGCGGAGGAAGTATGGGCGAGCCGGAGGAAGCATGAAAGAGGAGAGAAAGTACGGTATGTGCGCGTGGAGGAAGTGAAGGAAAGCGGGGAAGCAGTAGAATAGGTCAGATGGGACAGATGGAAAATTGAGGGCGCGCATGGTGAGGAGGATAGAGCGGAGGGTTAGAACAATTGAGTGGCAGGGCTAAACGATCGAGCAGCAGGGGCAGACAATTGAACGGAAGCATGGCTGAGGGGAGCGGTCAGTTACCCGGCATGAGCGGAAGGAACGGAAGAGGATACATGTAGATTTATGCGGATGCATGGGGGAGGAGAGGTCTAACCCACTCGAGGAGAGAATCCGCGTGCTCGAGAGTCGAAGTAACGTACTCTTTAAGAGCCCTCACGTGCAGAAGGACGGAATTAACGTACTCGAGGGTGGGAGCGCGGACGGCAGGAGCGAACGGCCGAGCTCAGAAGCAGGATCGACGCATGGGAGAGGGGATCTGCGCATGGGAAACGGAATAGGGCGGACAGAGAGTACACAACTTGACGGTTGAGTGCGCTATGCATGGTTGTTCGCGTGCGAAGATTGATGGTCTGTCGATGCGAGGCCGTCGGTTGAAGCGAAATCATCCGAGCTGAAAGTATTCGAGGGACATTAGTGCGATAGATTGAGTTGCAGTCAGATTGGGGGAGCGGGCTCTGTAAGAAGAGAGCACAATCATGCGGAGGGAAGGGTCGCAAGGAACGGACGATAGAGTGTAGCGCGCGAGGATGGAGGTTACGCACGAAACAGTGTCCGTTAGACGACCTCTGGAGGCCAACAAAAGGGTATCCGATGGAGCTAGGTCTCAGCTGACGGTCGAGAAGACGTTCAACAAACGCGCAGCACGAGTTCTTCGATTTCTTGGATGCGCTTGTTCGGCACATACATGAGATTCAGCCATCGAGCCTGACCTGACTTCGTCAGCGATTCGGGCGGTACACGCACTGAAGCTGAGCCTACGTCTCGATTGGGTTGACGTGCTCTGTCGGGTACAGGCCGCTATCGGACGTTGCGCTGACAACCGCGCCACCAAATACGGTTCAAGTGCGTTGCGATAGGCATGAGCAGATGGTCTTCCGCTGCGGGGACACTAGCAGTTAATATACGGGAATGGAGGGTTGATGGCGCGAAGGCGGAGATGCGGGGGAAGAACTGGCAATGGAAGGCATTCGCGAAGAGATGCTCTTGGTACTGTAGGAATGAAGGGATGCGAAGAAGTAGAGCGCACGAGGAAGGGTACGCGATGCCGAGCGCGTTGAGTCAAGCTCGAGTGAGTCAGTCGGCAAGGAGAAAAATGAATTAATCAGACGAGTGGCGATGCATGTGATTCTCGTCCCTTTGTACCCAAATGATCATAAATCGCTGTAGCGAGGGCCAATTTTGGGGCAAATTGAGGCTATAGCCACGCGGGAGGGCTCACTTGGGCGATCGAGGGTAGTGGCGTCCAGGTTGCGGGATATACAAGATGCGCACAACCGGCCTCGTTACAGTTTGCTGCGAGAGAGACCGTTGAGTCAAGAAGGCAACAAGCGCCTTTCGAAGGACATCCTCAAAAGGTCACAAGATGGTTCAGTGCATTCAATGGGCGGACCGAAGCGTCGACGGGTTCTTGATGAGCACCTGCGTGCGCCTTCGTCGTCACAGACCCAATGGCTCCACACCACGTTCACGCAGGGCTATTCAGCTACGTGGAGCCAGAGCGACGCGTCAGCATCGACAGAAAGGTCAAGCCACTTTCATGAACAGGCAGTGGGAGAAGGGACGCGGCGAGGTCGAGCGGGCTGTGACTGAGGCGATGGCTGTGGATCTTGGGGAGGAGCAGAATTGGACATGAAGAGGGAGGGGGACATGAAGCAAGCGATCGGAGGATGTATCCCTCCGCGGCAGGTTCGTATGTGGGTGGATGGGATCAGGGAGTTTGTGCGATACACAGATCCGCGAGAATAGCCAGGGCGGCGGGCAGGCGAAGGCTGAGCCTCCGCAGCAGCCGTCTGGAGCTCGTAACGAGTAGCCTGTAGAGCGTTGGGCTGGTCGGAAGGCGGGTGTCGGCGCATGAGAAAGCATGACAAAGCGAAGTTGGCCGCCGGAGGCAGCATCGGACCTGATCTGCAGCGAACGCGGACGACGGAACACGCGCCGGAGGCTAACACGAGGCGATCACGTGGTACTCCCTCGGCGCGTGCCGTTTTCGGTGTTCTGCGTCTGCTATCGCGCCCACACAATTGAGAACACAGGCACTCGAGAAGAGAACAATTCCGCCTCTTCATGCCGCGTTCTGCCTCGCTCAGAGGTCCATGAAAGACGTCCGAGCGGCGCCAAGTTCGCGCCCCCGAGCCCCGCCTCCGACCAGCACAGCCATGAGCCATCAGCCGGGTGGATTGCTCCGGAAGGTGCCTGATTTGAAATCGTAGATCTTCCGAGAAAGCGATGCAGGCATTCTGCACTTGTCGTCTCCGTATATAGCGCTTCAACAATGGCGCTGCAAAAATTTCGCCACTCTCTCCTCCACTTCCATCCTCACCATGAACGGTGCATCGTCCTCGAGAGGCGTTGGATCGCGTACGAAGCCGCTGAAGCGCGGTAAGGCATGCATGAACTGCAGGTGCGTCGCTAGCCCATTCCCTCTGAGCAAAAGGCTAACGGATCATGCACAGGTTCCTGAAGATTGTGCGTACACTCACACGTTTCCCGTCCCTCCCTTCTCACCATGTCCACAGAAGTGCGACGGCGCCCGGCCCGTATGTGGTCCGTGTCTCAAGCACCCCAAAGACGACGAGTGCGAATACGACGGTCCGGGACGCTCAAGAACGAAAGCCCTCGAGGAGCAGGTCCACCGCCTCGAGTCACGAATACAGGAGCTGGAGAATCCGGGCGAGACGACACCCTCCGTGACGCTCCATGAGCCATACTCGCCGACCCATCAACTTTCCCTCTCCCCTCATAGTTCCCCCACGTCGCACGCAGGCATCTCGCTCAGCGCGTCGATCAGCCCTTACGAGACGACACCCGCGTCCACGGACTCCCCCTCCCTACTCGACAGGCCGCATGCGCTGCCGATCAAGTCATCCAGCTCGGGGGGCTCAAGAGCATCGCCATCGGTGGCAGATAGAAAACCGTTCTCGCCGTTCGAGGTGCGTGCACTAGGCTCCCCCTTCCATTTTCCTTGCTGACGTGTACGTACAGGAGCCCGACGTATCAGTCATCCGGGTCTTACTCGACAATTTCCTCCCCCACGCGTCCGAGTTCGGCTTCTTCCTCAGCACCTCAAGGTTCTACAATGCAGCCCTCGTCCCCGCTCCAGCCGGGCACATAACACGGCCCCTCCCTGCCCTCCTCTTCGCCGTCTACCTCTTCGGCGTCCATCTATCACGCACGGACAGCAGTCAGGCGCAGTCTACCACGTTCCTCAATCAGGCGCTGCAGACTCTCAGTGTCGCGCTCACCTCCGGCCATCCCCAACGCGTCCTCCACACCATACAGACGCATGTCCTCCTCTCCTACTTCTTCTACCGCTCCGGGCTCAACATCGAGGCCAAGTACCACGCCGCGGCCGCATGCTCGCTCGTCATCTCGTCCGGCTTGCACAAGGTCCGCTCACCGAGCGCGTATCCCGGTGCGATCGGCGAGTCGCCTATACGGACGAGCCCCATTCTGCTGCACAAACCCGTCGCGGACGCGATCGAGGAAGGCGAGCGCATCAGCGCGCTGTGGTCCACGTTCGCGCTGAGCCGCCTGCTCGCGGTCGCGCTGGACCCCCCGGATGCGATCTGCGGCGTGTTCGATGTGCCCGGGGTGCAGATCGACACGCCGTGGCCGCTGACGATGAAGGAGTACGAGGACGGGGCGATGCCGGAGAACTTGCAGAGCACGGCGACCGTGCGCAACTTCGTCACCAACAATGACTGGTACTCGGGCGATGGAAGCTCGAGCGCGGCGCTGTTCGCGAAGGCGGTCATCTTGATTCATAGGGCGGCGTATGTAGCGGGACTGTTCTCCGATCGTGCGTGTCGTGTCTTCCTTTCGTTTGCCCTTACTGATACTGCTCCTTCAGCGATGTCGCAACGCGACTATCAGACCTTCTCTAGCCTGTTCACGACCACTCACTCGCTTCTCGTCGGCTTCCGAGATCGGCTCCCACCACTGATTGTGCATACACCGCCGTTACTCGCGCACGGCGCCGCCTTCATGCCGCACCCGGGCAGCCCACCACCACAAGACCCGGCTCTTCGCACCCTCCTACTTACGCACAACCTCATGAACGCCGCCTTCATCAAGCTGCACATGCCCTTCTTCCGCTCCGACCCGGTCAGTCGGCAACATTGCGTCGCGGCGGCGCGGGCGATGTTCGACTTCGGCAACGTCGACATCAGGCGCTTTCATTGCTTGAACCCGATTGTTGGGGTAAGACTTCTAACTCTCACTGCATCCTTCTCAGTTACTAACGCCTTGCAGACCCTCTGGACCCTCGCTGTGCAAATCCTCATTGACGAGGTCGTCCGGCTTCGCACCGCCTGGGCCGGCCCACACTCCCTCCCCGGCGGCGTCGTCCCCTACGACGCTACCGAAGAGGGCCTGATCATGCGCGCCGAGGAAGAAACGTCGCTTGGCCGCCTACGCCTAGGCATCCAAGCGCTCGATGCGTTCGCCGACGACAGCGCGCTTATGAGTACGTGCTCTCTCCTGGCTGCGGCCGACCTCTCCGATATCGCAGCCGACCTTTTGCCCACAGAGATGCAGGCGGAGAAGTGCAAGAACCTATTCGCGAATGTGCAGTGAGGGACGTCCTGCCGAAAGCGAGTAGCGCTTCGCCGTTGCTGCGGAGTGGGATGCGCTGCTTCTTGTACAAAGGAGGGTTCATTCGCCGTCCTTGGCTAGGGGCGGTGCGACTCTTGCGCGCGGAGTGCTTCGACTACGCGCGGGTGCCGGGGTACGGTTTGGTCTCTTCGATTCGTCCATGTCTTTCTCGTTCTCCACCCCATGCACGATTACTTTACCCTTGTCTGGCATACCCCTTGGGCTTGTGTTGACCTTGTTGTATACGGATCGTCCTGTTTCTCATACTCTATCTTCTTCTAATTCTGTCTGCCTCTCGTGCGCTGGACGACTACCGCCATTCAGGTGCTGCCCTTGATCCCTTCGCGTGCTCGCTCTGCGTGCTCGCGTGTGCCTACCTACTACTCTACCCACTTGTACCATCCTCATGAAAGCTCTGTACACGCCACTGACCTGAAAATATCGCATTGCATGTACTCACAAGGAACTCTCGCATACGTACACAACCCAAGTCTCTCCGTCGCTCTCTAGCTTTCTGTTCATCTCGCATATCATCTCGTAGAATTACTGTACGTGTATGTACCTATAGTAGCCACATAGTCGTATACACGGGGACTTGTTGGCGCAAGCTTGGTGACGCAAGCTTGGTGGTCTAATGTAGCTGTGGGGCCTGACATCGTGTCGCTGTACAGTTCTGAGTTGTGACCGCAGCTGTACTCCAAGTGGAGGTGCTCTGCCGGTGTTATTTGACCTCTAGCCTCTGGCTAATTAAGGCAGATGGTACCGTTGCTCCGGGCGGCTTTACTGCTGAAATCCCCCTGAGATGTCGATTAGATGAAGTTCAACGGCCACATCACGTGATCTGAAGAAGCTGTTCGGCGCTCACATTGATGTGCACTTTGTCTCTCACCATCATCATCTCAGTAGATTCAGGCTATGGGGAACAAACTATCCAAGATTGTAGGTTACCGTGGTCCGGACCTAGAGGTGCGTATATCGCCTATCTTGCACTTAGGCAAGCGGATGTATACCTCATTGGTAGGTGCGGTGGAAACGACGCGATGTCCAACTCTATGAATCAGGCATCAGCGAAGTGGGGACTGGTATGTCTTCAAAACCCTACTCCCGCTCCGATGATGACCTTTGTTCCATCGCTCAGTCATCGCAGTTGGGGAATCGATCCCTGCTCCGACTTATGCCACCGTCCTCCCATTCGTAGCCACTGCGTCAAGGAATCTTTTACTGGATCGCCTTTGTGGGAAACCAGTACCGACGCAGGATGGTGATACCCTCGTATTGGAGCCACGGAATGTCGTACGTGATCCCAACTTAACCGTAGCCCTCATTGATCCGCAACGCAGGTGCACACAGGGACGGTCGTCGAGTCTCTGAAAATGCTGCCCATCGAAAGTGGCGATGGCTTTAGAATCACGTCTCGGTATGTAAAGGGAAAGCATGATGGTGAGTATCATCTCATGCTTCCGCGATTATCTCTTACCCACCGTTCACTGTACTAGACGGCGGCATATATTTGACGTTAGAAAACACCATCATCGACAACGAGGGCGTGGTTTACGCCAAAGTCTATGTATATATAATTGTTCCGTCCCTTAGTGTCCGTCTAATCCCCGTGTCAATAGTCTACGACATACAACCCCGGGGCCCGACTCTCTGAACAGGAAAACCCTCCCGACATCATCGGCATACCGGAAGGGCAAACGGCACCTACACGAGCTCCAGACCACATCGTTAGGCGTGAAGTAACCCAACAGCAAGTTTTCAGTTTTCAGATGAGCGGCGACTATGAGCTGGCTGACATTGGTGAGCTATACTTCACCGGGGCGCTCTAAGGTAAGGCTGACTACACATTGTAGACCCGCGACTGGGAGAAGTAGCTGGCGTAGGTGAAACCGTTGCCCATCGACTTGAGACTTTTGGCATTTCGGCACGTGCAATACTAGCAGTCGTCGCTGCAGGCGATGCGCGCAAATTGGCATTGTTTGGTGCACAGTACTCTTCGCCTGTCCACATAGGCGACTCGCTGGAGATTCGCATGTGGACGTCATCCCATGTAACGTCAAACACCCGCGAAGTTGTCTTCCAGACTTTGAACGCCGTAACAAGAAAAGTAAGCCGATATTCATGCGAAAGTCCAATGGCGTGTTTAGTCCATGCTTTTCGTGCCTTGTGGAATGCAGTTTCGTTTGCCCTTGATGCTCACGCCTACAACAGGTCGTACTAGACCGTGGATTCGCCAAGCTCAAGGATATGTCCCATCCGCCTCATGTCTTTTCCAGACTCGGTGGGCCTTGACAGCACTGCTCCAAGTTTATATCTGACTTTCTGACCCCAAGACCCTGGGGACACAATAATGGAAGATGCTCACGGTGATACGCACCACGAGTCCGGCGCTGATACTCAACAAATGTCTGCTCATCTTGCGATAACGTACTCGCCATGCTGACTTTTGTTCCGCAGTATGGATGTTGATGACGAGGATGCGGTGTCGCAGTCAGCCTCAAGTAGGCAACAAAGTCCGTACGTGTCTTCCCTGTCACACGTATCCGTTGTTGGTGCTGAATCTCAAATTGAGTGTCCAATACGTCAACCCAAACTGTGTGAGCGCACCCGATCTCGTAGAAGGACCACCCATACCAGCGCGGTGTAAGTAATCATCCTCGACGCAGGTTCGGATGGCTTGTAATCGACTTCGACAGATCACTATGGAGAGGCCGTTCAAACACAGTCCCGGCGATTTGTGAGTATCTGTTATGCTCCTATGGAGGCCTACGCTGAGCTTGTGGTTGATATGAAGCCTTGTCATCAAGAGATCTCATGATGAACCGCCCCTACACCGACTCTACGAGGTCGAAGTCGATGGTGCTGATCTCAATGTCATGTATTGCAAGCTGATCGCGCCGGCATTTCGCGTGGGTGACGTGCCAGCAGCATATTCTGGGAGCATTCCAGACGCAGCTGGCGCGTTTGTGCGCGTCTACAATCGTTGCCCGGGCGACGTGGACTCAGGCTTGTTGATGAGACAGTGAGTTCCTCCAATTTAGGTCGTGCACTCGCTTTTGTATCGACTCGGCGCTCGCAGGTACCGAAGATATCCTCGGCTGCTCGGGGATCTCTCAGCGACCCCCATTCGCTCTGATCAGATTATTGGTGAGTGGTATGCTCGATCGAGTCGCAAGGCAGCTCATTAGCGGCTTCACGCCATAGCTCCCGTCTGTCGAGTCGTGGAACAACTTGACAAGACTGACTTGGTGATCGAACATTTCGAAAATGGCAAGATCAGACCTGCTCTCGTGCCGATGGATCGCAACGACGTATGGTGCACAGAGCTCATCGGACCTGGAGAGGATATAGTATGATCTTCTTCACTTTTGCCTTCGCCTATCTGAACATGGCTTCTGATAGGCTCGGCCGACGATTATATGTGTGAACGGCTGCACGGAAGGGCGCGCATGGGAGGATGCCTTCACTGGGGAGGTCCGCTACTGCCGCAAATGTGGTAAGATGATGCATGTCGAATGTCTGGAAGCCGACGGGCCAGAAATCGTGGACTTGAGCGTGTACGCGGACTGGCTCGAAGAGTTCGACCAGGAATATCTTCGGTACCTCCTGCGCGCGCGACGTCCAAAGTCCAGAATGCCCTATAAGCCACCCGAGTTTGGGAAACACCTGGAAGTGGACGAGGATGTGGACGACAAAGATAACAAGATTCCCTGGCCGCCGAAGGTGACCTACGCCGAGGTGGCCTGCCTGCCGATTCGCCGCAGAACATCGCCTGGAGACGCGCCCCAGACCAACGAGATCCTCATCCAACATGTTCTTGACCTCCTGGAGAGGGGCGAGGTCCGGGAAGGCGACCCCGTCCCGCATCCCGCGGAGGGTGGGTGGTTTCACAAGGTGGCTCCGCAGGCTGCACTTCGCGCTGTGAAGGATATACTCTGCCGTGACTTGAGCGACGCACGTACAGATAACATGCGTTGGTACATATGTATTGGCTGCCACAAGCAACTGGTATAGTATGACTACTAGAAGTGCTTGCGTCCATCTGATCGATGCCGATATCACATCGTAAAATATCTAGTCGCGTTCAAGCTTCTTCGTTACCAGACGAGGGGGCGCATATATAGATAGCACATGTTCGTCCTGTTCACTGTCGTCGAATTTACAACATGGTAGGGGCAAATATATTACCGAAGTGCATCAGAAGTCGATGATTCTCGAGAGGTTGGCCCCCAGTCGTCGATGCTGAGATTTTAAACGGTGGCGCCGGTGTGGATGGCGAGAGCACTGCGCGCAGGGACGGTAGCGTCAAAGGAGCCGCCGGAAACGGTGATGCTAATCGGCGTGGTCAGGCGCTGTTCGATGAAAAGCAGACGAGAATTGCTCACGTATTGCCAGAGCAGGAGCCGTCGGAGGCGTCGCCGCTGATGACATCGCAGTAGGAGCCGTCGGCGAGCGAGGTCGAGAACGTAGTCGACCATTCCGAGTCCGCATTGTTGATAGCGACATAGCCGGCTGAGCCTACGTATCCCGTCAGCCTTCCTATCCTTCTGTACCGAGTCTCAGTCGCACTCACCCCGTCCGAACGCGATCTGCGAGCCTTGCGGGCTAACCCAGTCGGTGAGCTCCGCGTCGCCGACCTCGTTGCGGAAGGCGACCATGTTACGGACCGCGGGCCAGCGGTGCTGGCAGATCCAGCCGCTCGCGCCACCGTCGTCGGAGCACGTGCCGGCGTTGCCGTTGGGCGCGCCGTCGTCCGAGTTGGAGAACTCGAAGGAGGAGAGGATGCTGGGCGTGCCGTAGGGGTGCGCGAGGGAGAAGATCATGGCGGTAGTATAGATGTTGTTGGGCGAGTTGTAGTTGAGAGAATCGCCGCCCTGCGAAGGGTTGTGGGTGAGCGTCCAATACATGCGGTTGATGGCGATGCTACTCACCCGCTCGGTGTCGTGGTTAGCGACGAAGACGTTCGCTGAAGAGCCAGCGACCCACCCTAAACAAGGCATCAGAATGCGAAGACGAACAAAAATCAAGCTGCTTACCCTTGGAGTCGAGGTCCTGCAGCTGGTCGAGCCCGCTGTTGGTGAAAGCGTCCTGGATAGTATGGGTGTAGCGGAATTCCTGAACGTCCCCTGATAGCCGACGCAGTCAACAACTAACCTCCATCGACGAATGAAAGGCGCATACCATTTTGTACATACTCGGCCGGGGTGATGGGCTCGCCGTCGCCGTAGATGACCTCCTGCGTGATGTAGACCGACGAGTTGAGCCTGCTGATGATGGCCGCAATGTCGTCCGTCGGAATGTCTGCAAACACATGAGTCCCTGGTCCGCGCGGGTCCTTGAACATGACTCACGCTTGGAGGCATCAAGACGAAGACCGTCCACACCGAGGGAGATGAGGTCGTTGGCGTAGTCCGCGAGCTTGCCGCGAACGTAGTCGGTGTCTGTCGCGAGACTGGAGAACCCGTCAGCAACGCCAATCGCCGAAACATGAGCCGCGACTTACTCCGCAAGGTTGACCAACTCGCACGTCTGCACCTCCTCACGGTTCGAGTAGTTCACGATATCATCGCCCGACTCGAGCCCGCAGTGGTGGAAGTCCTGCGTCTGGTAGATGCCCGGGTAGTCGTAGTGCGTAAAGCTGCTGCCCGCAGTCCCAGTGCCCGAGTCCACGCCCGCCATATGGTTCCAGATGGTGTCTGCGGCGCGTCGCGTCAGCGCGTGCGGCGGTGGCACGACGACGATCATGACCACGTACCAGCGATAACGCCCACGCCTGCGTCGTGACACGCCTCAACCATGCTTCGCCGTCGTAAGTCGCTATCGAGCACACAAGAAAGGCGAAGATGATGCTTACGCCGCAAAGCCGTCGCGGTCGCCGCGCTTGCCCTGGAGGATGTAAGAGACGGGCTGGTAGTCCGTCCACCATTGGTCTCCGGAGATGGTCTCCTGGGGTGGACTGACTGGAGGGCTGCGTGAGCGCTAGTCAAGAGTGGAAGCGAGTAGTTTGCTTACCTTGCACGAAGCCATAGCCCGCGGGACCGATGAAGTCTGTGCACTCCTGCGCGATGCTGTCCCAGTTCCACTCAAAAATCTGGATGATGACCTTGTTGTCAGACGAGGGTGCGCGAGCACCGTGAGGCGCAGGCAAAGCGCGGGCGCCAATCAAGGCGGACGCGAGCAAAGCCGAGCGAAGTGACATCTTGGAGGTGGACGAGGAGGGACGGATGCGCCGAGGGCGATGAATTGTCAGGCAGGATATCTGCGGATTTTATACTAGCGCGCGGTCTCGCTCACGGGACCGAATCCAAGAGGGAGGTCAAATGGGAGGCTGCCGAACCAGACGTCGGTGATTGCGCCACCGCTCGACCGAAGCCTCTTCTCTGCCATTCGTTGTCGACGCGCCCATGCGGCTCAGAAGGAATCGCATGCACAAAATGTATGGTGGAGCAGGACGGAGAAACAAGAATGCCCCTCACAAGCCCTCGATGGGCTCAAGCAGCATGCAGCATGACGCGCAGGGGGTCCTTAAGATAGAGTCCGTGTCGGATGCGCGAGCCATCGCCAGGGTCATAGGGCTTTTTGACGAAGAGAGTTGCGGGCGCAGAAGGTGACCTGGGAGATTAGACTGTTTGTTGTATGCTCGCGTCTGAAGGGGGAAACTGAGAAGCATGTGCAGCGATCATGGACGTTGCGGACAAGCCTGTGATTATCGCCGGCCCGCGTGGCCGGTGACTACGAGTTCGGTTATCCCTTCCCACGACCCTCCTCTGCTTCCCAAACTCGGCCATCATCCATTGTGGCCCAATGACCGCCCGTGCCTATCCAAGGCTTCTCGAGACACGTTCATTCCCCCAACCCCTGACCCCCTCGGCTCTTTGTAGAGGTGTATGGGGCCCCGGACCTGCCTAAACTCGTAGCGCTCATGCTTTTTCTCCCTCACGAGGACGATTTACTCGACGATTCAGGCAATGTCCAACTCTGACCCGGGGAAATAGACGCAGGCTCTCTCACGAAGGCTAGCCTCCGGCGAGATCATCCCATCGCACCTCGTCCTTTCTCACCATGTCAGTTGCGAAATCGAGAACTACGACTCGATTTGGCCCCTCCTTCCTATCGTTCACATCACGCACGCTTCTCACGGGCGCTTCCCTTGAATTTTCCAACTCAGCGGCACCTAGCATCGTCGTTGACTGTCGTAATACCCGCACGGAGCCGTATGTGCGTAGCGCCGACTCTGTATGGCCGTAGCCCTTCGCAGAGTAGCCGTAGCCCATCGCAGTATAGCCGTCGCCTCGAATCAACGACCGGACACCATTCTTGTGGAGCTCGCTGCTGGCCAAAGCCATTCGCGCGGTCAATCATGTACGCGGCTAGGACCCGCTGACCAATTTTTCGCCAAGTTTGCGGCGTGAAGACTTTCCTTATTCGCCTCATCAATGCAAGATTGTCGAGCCTGCTAACCGTGGCTCTCCTAGCATTCGCACGCAGGCGTCCTCCGAAGCTTGGCGGGTGTGAGGACTGTTCGCCACGGTAACTTGGCCAGGTCATGTAGTAGTAATTGTCCTCCGTACGCTAGTCATAGTGCTGTCATCGTGTTCGTCGTCGCCGTCCCATGCCCCGATAGTATACAATGTGAATAGCTTCATGTGCTTCTGTGAATTCTTGGGCGTACCGTTCGTCGCGAGAGATCGGTGAGTTAGCCCCCTCAAAGCGACATCGCCCCCACATGCAGCGCCAGAGCGCTGCGCGCCGGAACCTTGCCCTCGAACTTGCCACCAGAGACCGTATACCTACGCGCGAGTTATCAGCATCCCCTCTTACGAAAAATTCCCTTAACCACTCACGTCGTCCCCGAGCACTTGCCCGCCACCACCTGCGCGTCAACCACGTCGCAGTACTTCCCGTCCGGCAGCGACGTCGCGAAAGTCGTCGTCCACTCCTGATCGACGTTGTTGATCGCGACGAAGCCGAGCGCGCCTGCGATGGATCATCAGCGTAAGCTCCCTTTCTCCCCCTTCGACCCCTCGATCCAAATGGAACTGAATACAAAAGGCGATTGACTCACCTCGCCCAAACGCAATCCGCTGACTCGACGGGCTGACCCAGTCCGACATGGGCACGTCGCCCACCATGTTGCGGAAGCCGACCATCCCGCTGATGGCGGGATAGCGGTGCTGGCAGAGCCAGCCGGACGCGCCGCCCTTCTGCGAGCAAGTACCACCGCCTGAAATATTTGTTAGCTGGTAATCCGACGAGTCAGGCGGGGAGTACAGAATGGATACACTCACCATTACCCGGCGCACCGGCGTCGTGGTCCGAGAACTCGTAGCTCGAGAGCACCGAGGGCATCCCGTACGGGTGCGCGAGCGAGAAGACGGTAGCAGTGATATAGGTGTTCGATGGCGACTTGGAGTTGAGCGAGTCTCCTTGCTGGTTGCGTGTTAATCGTCATTTAAAAGGCCGAATGGGGGAGAGAGAGAAACTTACACGTTCGGTATCGTGGTTGACAACGAAGACGTTCGCCGCCGAGGCCGGGACCCATCCTGCAAAAAGGTGATCAGCCACGGTAAGGAGTTCCTGCGCAATTGACGCACCTTTGCCGTCGAGGTCCTTCAGCTGGTCGATGCCTCCGCCTAGGAACGCGCTTTGCAGCGCGCGTGTGTAGCGGAATTCCTGAACGTCGCCTGTGAGAATTGATGAGTCAGGAGCCCAGCGCGGATTTGACGACGGCTTACCATTCTGGACATACTCCTCTGGCTTAACCACGTCGTCAGGGCTCGAGGTGACCTCCTGCGTGATGTAAGGATGACTTGCGAGCATGTCGATGATTGTTGCGACTTCGCCCGTAGGGATATCTGCAAAAGAGTTAGCTCGAGTAATGCACGCGACGAGTATCATCCATGCATGAAGCAACGGGAACACCAGTAACGGCGAGCAGACGAATGATAGAAGCATAATGACTCACGCTTCGCCGCATCCAGCCGAAGCCCATCGACTCCGAGTGACAGCAAGTCATTCCCGTACGCCGCGAGGCGCGCTTGCACATATACCGTGTCCGTTGCGAGACTGTCAACAATGTGTCAGCATCCCATCTCGAGGAACCCGCCTGTCTTCGACGAGCGAGGGCAGCAAAAGCGAGATCAAGAGAAACGAAACAAGGAGAAAACAGGGAGTATGACGAGAACCACGCGAAAGAGACCCAAAACTCACTCCGCCAAGTTCACCAATTCGCACGTCTGTACCTCCTTCCGGTTCCCGTAGTTGTTGATGTCGTCGTATGGCTCGAGCCCGCAGTGGTGGAAGTCCTGGGTCTGATAGATGCCCGGGTAGTCGTAATGCGTGAAGTGCGAGCCGCCCGTGCCGACGCCCGAGTCCTGACCGGACATATGGTTCCAAATGGTGTCTATAGGAGAATGGTGGTCAAACCGAGAGCGAGAACGGGTAAAAGAGAGAAAGGCGCACCGACGATGACCTTCACGCCGGCAGCGTGGCAGGTTGCGACCATGCTACGGAGATACATATCAGTAAGGGAGAGCCAACGAGCGACGAACTTAGACGGACGTCGCAAACTGCGTGCGATCGCCGCGCTTCGAGACCAGGTTGTACGACACGGGTTGGTAGTCGGTCCACCACTGGGGGCCTTGGATGTGCTCCTGCGGCGGGCTCACTGCGCAAAGGCGAGTTAGTCAAGATGCACCTCCATATACTGTCAAGGAACAACGCGCCTTGCACATAACCGTAGCCCGCCGGTCCGAGGAAGTTCGTGCACTCGGCGGCGACGCTCTCCCAATTCCACTCAAACATCTGCGCGATGACCGTCCTCTCGCTCGGCATGGACTCTGCATTGTGTACCGCGTTATTCACGATAGGGTGTGTAGGAAGGGCGCGTGATGCGCCCATGTATGCGGAAAGGAGGAGCGCGGTGCGGGGGATAGACTTGCCCATAGCGAGGGTGGGCGAGGATTAGGGAAGTGTGATGAGGGAGTGCGGAAGGGCGAGAGGAGGCACGATGGCGACCGAGCACTTTATACTTCCCGCGTCGCAGCCCGCGTGGCACGCTGCACATTAGCTTTGCGGAAGCGCCTTGATAGTTCCGCGCGCGTGGCTCCGAACGCGGTCCGAGGAAGAGGGAGCCACGACCTCGTTCCAGCGTCCATGATAGGTGAGAGATGGAAGCAATACTGGCTGGTTGAACAAATATTTGAACTTCATGTTGAGCTTGAGTGCGTGTTGTTCAGGTCCTGTGCGCGTGTGCGGGTGGCGAGCTCGCCCTGGGGATAGGCAGAGCACCGACGCTACTAGAGTTGAGTTCTCCATCGTAGCAGAGTACAATATGGTTTTCGCGAGCTCGCTACAGCGGGCGTTTTCAGTCAGAACTGGAAGTGGGCGTCAAGGTCGAAGGGCAACGTGGTCGTAATTGGCGCTCGCGCGTTCAATTTGGAAACTCGTTCGCACGATTTAACTTCGGGCTCGGTTGTTCCCGACCAGCATCTGGCTGTTGCTCGACGAGTGCCTATCCGACGTCGCATGATAGGAGTGTAGAAGTCTCCAGCTTCCTACCATGCACAACCCTCTTCTGCAAGTTCCGGTTGCCCAGAGTCTACCAGCACAAGCGCAGTGTCTCTCGCCTCTCTTCCTGATTCCCGAGCTACTGGTCGAAGTCCAGTTCTCCGCTCTATCGCCGTGAACTCCTGACGATCAGTACAAAGAGGTCTTTTCACCTGCTACTTGGTAGCTTCTCGCCGGGTTCGTCGCCGAGCGCAGCGCTTCTTCGCCCTATGGGCGCTACCGACGACGAACGATCTTTCCACTGACCCCATGACCATTCATGGGCCCAATCAGCTTCATCGCCACGCAGGTCGATCGTCTTTCTGGTTTCTGCCCTCGAGATTCGAAGGCCGCACACGCGCGACCTCCCGCGCCCGCGCCCTATGACGTCACGGATGCATGCGCCCTCCCCCTCGCTCATCGTCGCCCTTGCGTCCTGACTTCACCACGCGCATCGCGATATTCGCGCGCAACTAGCGAGAGAACCCCCAGATCTTCATCGCGCATACGACTCTGACTTCAGTGAGCGCTCATAGCGCACACCCTAACTTGTCTCGTACCCTATACCATCCTCATCCATCTTTCGACGGACTGACATCCCGGCATGCCTTGGTCATCCACACACTCAGGCTGGCGATCGCGCGCGACGCCCTACAACGGCCCTACCCCAGACCTCGCCGCCGCCGAGCTCAAGTTCGCCGTCAAGATCAGCGCGCCCGCGGGGGAATACCCTCTGCTCGCGGTTTTCGCGGGGCCCTCCTCTTCATCCACCCCTTCTTCCCCATCACCCTCGTCACCCTCGCCCGAATCCAACTTCGCCATCGACGCCAAGGGCCACGTCCTCCGCTTGGCCCCCGAGGACTTCACCGCGCTGACCGCGCTCGCTCGCGGCGTGGACGCGATGCACGATGCCGGGGTGTACGACGCGGAAAGGCGCGGCGCGTGGCGCGTCAAGAGCCCCATCACCTGCCGCCCATTCCACGTGCTGCTCGTGCCGCAGCCGCCTGAGAGCGCGGCGGTCGCGGTCGCGGCAGCGCAGGAGCTGGGGAAGGATCCGGTAGAGGGACTGGGGGATCCGGCGCGGGCGAGTGGGGGGCCTGCAAGCGCGAGAGCAGAGGCAATCGCGGAGGGGGAACTGAGTGCGGTCGAGGGGACGCCGACGCCGGTAGGTGAGTACTGGGTGGAGGGAGTGGAAGGGGCGGAAGGCAAGGGCAGTGTATATGTTGCTGATTGGGACGCAGAGGATCCGAAACCAACCCTACGCAGGACCTCCGTTTACGCGTTCAAGAAGGAGAACGCGGAGCTCAGTACGCCGGTGGGCGAGCTGACGCAGTTGCCCGCCGCGCTGGTGGAGTTTTTCGGGTTAGCGGAGGAGGCGCAGGGAGAGGGAGAGGCGGACAAGGAGGTGTTGGACAAAGTGAACGCATTGCTAAGGGGTGAGAGGTAGGAGGGTAGCATGGACACGTGAAGAGTCGAAAGCGAATTATGTAGGACTATATACATGTATCGTTACTACTTTTCCGGGTGAATCGATGTTCGTCCGCACCATAGCGCGTGATAAGTGAGCGAAGATCGCGCACTATACGAAGATCCCGAGTAAATCAACCACAGCGCTCGCGTTGACACTGATGCCAGCCAGCGCGCGCATATCTACGCGCTATGCGATTTCGTTCTCCGCGAGAAGCTGATAGCGATGAGAGATAGAGCTCGACATCAGCAAAAGCACTTACCATGTTCGGTATCCCGTTTGATATCGGATATTTGTGGCCACAATTTGGGCAGGTCATAACGCCTTCCTCGACGTGGATCTGCGTACACCTTCAGTCTATGCAGATGCATGCCGGAGCGTTATCGTTACCTCTAGTAAGACATGGTGCAGCGCCTGCAAGAACTCGTCGTCCATCATCTCAGGAATCTCATTCGGAAGCGATGTATCCCCAAGCTAAGCCTCGATCTCAGCATGCCTATCCCGCGAGACCAAATCGCGGACATGATGCTCGAGCTCACCTCCTTTGCCGCATCTACCAGAGCTTGCCACTCTATCTTCGGAAGGAATCCGCGCAGAAAGTCAGGATTGAATTCCGCATCTCGCAGCTCAATCTGTACATCGCTGAACCGGAGTGGGAAGTTATTCGAGGTGCAGCCCTTCACATGGCACGCGAGGAGGTTGTGGGTGATGAGGCGGACCATGATGAACCGGTTGAGTGTTTTCTGACGCGGTACAGTTGACAAGGGCCAAGCAGAGCGGGGCGATACGATCCCTAATCCGAACGTGACGGTGCGAAAGCAAAATCTCGAACATCACACCGTCACGCCACGCGAGCACAAGGCGTGCCGTGTTTGGCAACCCCTTTGACGCGGGCAAATTTCCGCATACGGAATGCCTTGTTCCTTGATCGCTTCCTGCGCGGGCGTATACAGTAGACGCGTCAATCAGCGCCGCGTCCCCTCTCACAACCAAAATTGCGTCCATCACAGGTCGGGTAGGCCTTCAGGAAGCGCAGCATGAGACCACCCTCGCCGTCGATCCCTGAGAAGGAGTTTGTGTTGCGAACGGTGCAGGAGGGTCTACGCCTCGACGGGCGGCAGCCGTTAGAGATGCGCACCCCGGAGATCACATTCGGACCAGAACTGGGCTGGGTAGAATGCGCGTTTGGGCAGACAAGGTGTGTAGTCGTACAAGGTAACCCTCGCATGCGAAGCTGATCGACGCGTCCTTTCTCCCCTTCCTCCCTTCCCCCGCCACCTACAGAGTCGTCGCCCAGGTTGACGCGAAGATGGTTAGGCCGCCGCCAGAAAGGCCCTTCGATGGAATCATCACCATACACTCCGAGCTGTCCCCCATGGCGTCGACGGAGTACGAGATCGGCCGGTAGGTGAGGTGCTTCCAGGTCTTGACGCGGCGCAAGGCTGATGGCCCTCTTCCTACCAACCTCTTTCCTCGTCGCCCGCTGGTCTGCGTAGAGCGTCAGAAGAAGAAGTCGTCATCACGCGCGTACTCGACAAGCTCATCAAGCGGAGCGAAGCTGTCGATCGGGAGTCGCTATGCGTGCTTGCGGGCGAGCGGGTGCGTCCTATGCAGCCTCGATTGCGCCCATTGACCTCACCTCCCCCCTCTCCTCCTAGGTATGGCACGTCCGCCTCACCATTCACTGCCTCGCCGACGCGGGGAATATGCTCGACTGCGCCTGCTTCGCCGCCATGGCCGCCCTGAAACATTTCCGCCGACCCGATGTCGAGGTCGTTGGCGATGAAGTCACTATCGTGCGTCTTTTCTTTTCATATGACTGCCACCACCCAACTAAACATCCCCCAGCACCCGCCCTCCGAGCGCGCCCCCGTCCCCCTCGCCATCAACCATGCACCCTACTGCCTCACATTCGCCTTCTTCGGCTCGGGGGCACCCCCGCTCCTGGATCCTTCCCAACTCGAGGCGACGCTCGCTCTGGGCACGCTTAGCGTCGCGCTGAACGCGCAGCGGGAGATCTGCGTCATGCAGAAGATGGGCGGGGCGCCGCTGGCGGCGGACGAGATTTTGGGGCTGGTGGACGTTGCGGTCGGGAAGGCGAAGGAGCTGGATGGGTTAGTCGAGAGGAGACTGAAGCAGGATTGGGCACAAAGGCATGTGGAGGTGAGGTGATGGTTTGATTCTTTATGTTTGGGCGCCATGTACGATCTGGGTCCGTCATGTTCTTCTTCGATCTTGTGTCTCTCAAGTGATTGCGCTCCATCCGTCTTTCCATGTAAGGTCCGGGGACATATGCACCCTGAGTTCTCTTTTCCCTCCTACGCTTCTAATCTCGCGCGGTTGTGAGCATCCAACGTCGTATCGGCGCGACCGAGAGCGATGCTATTCTCTAGTGGCTCCAGCTTGACCTCGGTACGTCGCTGCTTTCAAAAGCCGTACTATCGTTTGACCGACTCTGAGTTACAGTGGACGTTGTGTTAGAAGATGTCAGCGACCTACCGAGACTTACTGAGAGGAGCTTTCGTCTTCACGCCTGTTCCTCTTCCTCGGAGACTCAGCGCATATCTATCTTGGACCTTCATTATCCTCAGCCTCGCCTTCAAGACGCTCACCCCGTTCTGTGCGAGCTTTGCAGGTCTGCGAGGCGCGTGCAGCGTGTGGGCTAGCCGGTTGATAGACCCGAGCTCTTCCCTTCGACGCGCGCTCACGAAAGCTCTGTGTGGCTTCAGAATGGCATAATTCAGGCCTTCCGCGTCTCTGCTGCCTCAGAGACCGTCGCTGCTGGAAATACGACAAGAACTCCCAAATTTCTGCGAGATTGGCTCAGTGTTTGCAAGACTGGTTCAGTGCCTGCGAGCAACCGCCGCGTCGCATCGCGCATGGTCAGTAATTGATCTAATCGGCTTTTAAGACACAGCTCGGAACTTTTTTGCCCAAGACATGATCAAGGTGAGACAATGCCTTCCTGAGCATATATAACTGACCCCCGCGCAGCTAGATCTGCAGCGCGTACGTGTGGTCTTCGGGCTTGGTACGTGGTCAGAATTGCCCTCGCGTACACGGACTAACGGCTTCTGACAGAAGTTGAACATGTGCCATATCCACGCACGCAATGCGCAATTGGAGTACGAATCGAAGTTCACCCTCGACCTGCCAAACTGCAGCACGCTCTGGCGCCCCCATACGCTCGACGTCAACTCGGCCATACGCCACGCGATCCGGCACAGTCCTCTCGGCTATCTCACTTTCCCACATAGCGACCCTCCCAACCTCGATCGCGCTCTCCACGCGACCGAGCGCATCGATCCCGCAACCGCTCTGCCCTTCGAGATCGTGTCGAAGATCTTCGTGCACGTATACGGGGCCGCACCCCTATTACGGCGCTCTGACCAGATCGCGCACACGGTTGCGTGTGTGAACCCGCAGTGGCGCGACATCGCGCTCGCAAGCCCCGCGCTCTGGGCGACCATCTCCGTCGGGAACTGGACGGGGCGAACGGGCGACTATACCGCACTGGCCCTCGCGCGCAGCAAGGGGACGCCCATCACGGTCGCCTGCATCTCGCAGTCCGACAGCGTCTTTGAGGAATTCATGGGCTTGGTGCTGCCTCATATCGCGCGGTGGCGCACCGCCATCCTCTTGTATCCCTGAACACGTCACCTAGCCCTATCGCCTATGGGCCGCACTTCGAGTCCGCGTTCATCGATGTTCTACCCTCGTCGTACATCAAGGATTTCACCTTCCTCGCGCGCGCCACGAACGCGCGACAAATCGCGCTGTGGTGCAATGTCTACTCGTTCGCATTCGCGCTCCCCGCCTCGCGGACCGTCACGGACCTGATGGTCTCCGTCTACACGTCGGACCAGTTCTCAGCACTCATCTCCGCGGTGAGGTCTCTGCCGAACTTGGAGAACTTGGAGGTCCACTTTCTCTGGTGCTCCAGGGACCGAACAACGTCGGGCGTGGTCGCAGTGCCCGCACTCACCTCTCTTACGGTCTCCGAATCCGGCTACTTCATCCTAGACCACCTCTTCGCGCCCAATTTGCGCACGGTGGTGGTGATGGACGAGCACGACAGCATCGAGAGCTTGTCGAGGTTTGTAGAGGGTCATGACCCGTTTGGCACGATGTTGCGGCGCTTGGAAATCAGTATCCGCGCAGATCAAGTGCGGGTATATGGACCATTCCTCATTCCGATTTGGCTGTACCTGGAGCGCTTCGGCTCCATCCAGGAGTTTGCTCTTACTTACTATCGGGTCTAGGACTCGGAGCGCCTTATCACAACTGTCATCGCGTTGACATCCATCTGCACTCCTTAAAAACCTTAGCACGTTATCATCGCTTCGCTGTTCTCCCTCACTTTTTCTCGACCCCCATTCGTGTTCTCGGCATTCCAATCAAAGTTCAAGTTCAACCGTGACGCACCACAAGCCCGTGACCATGACGTCATGCCAAAGTCAATTCCTGTTTTGGATATCGGCCTTCATCGACGACACCGTACGTCTCCTTCACGGGTAGGATGGCAGACACTTCTGCAGCTAGTACTGGCCCGGCTGTGGCAAGCGCAACGACGGCGCCGTCGAGATCCGACGCCCCTTCGAGAGATGGTCGGGGTGGCAGAGGTAGAGGTCGTGGACGAGGGCGTGTGCGCGGTGGACGTGCCTCAGGCTGGAGGGCCCGCATTGCTGAGGGCGTGGCGGTTGCTGAGAGCGCGGCGGCTGATGAGGGTGCGACCGTCGGCGCGACCGAGGAAGTCGCTACAATGGCGGAAGGAAATACGTGGACAGACAGTACCACGAGTGCTACGCAACAGGCTCAACAGCGCCAGGCAGGGGAAGTTTCGAGAGACAAAAAGAGGAAGGGGAAGAAGCGCGCTAGGGTTGAATTACCGGGTGCTGAAGGCACGAGTGCCGCGGTCGCGGGAGGGGCACGAAATGCCGAAGGTGAAAGCGCGAAGGCGGATGTAGTAGAGGAGAACAAGCGCACGAAGATGGGAAAAAAGGACAAGGGGCCTGCGAAGGAGCAAGCTCCGCGCCCTACGCATTGTGAGTCAACATCCTCTCCTCCTACGTCAAAGCTCGCGAGCTGACGGTCCTTCATCGACAGTCTTGTCGCTCTCGCTGGTACGTCTATTACCATCTCTCCTTCCCCCATCTCTCCTTCCCCCATCCCTCCTTCCCCCTTCCCTCCTTCCCCATTCCCTCCTTCCCCATCTTTCCTTGCCCCTTGGCTCCTTCCCCCATCTCCCTTTAACCCGTTCATTCAGTATGCTCACACCACCCACAGGCAAGCGACCCCACGCTCCGCGCGCGCCTGACCGCCTTCGGCGACGCGCTCCTCGCCGCTTCGCCCCCCGTCGCCGGCCTCGACAGGAGCATCGTCATCGACCCGCGGCGGGTACACTTGACCCTGGGTGTGATGCGCCTGGAGAAGGAGGATTCGGCGACTACGGCGCCCATCGCCCCGACCGGCGCCCCGACCGCAGGCAGCGCTCACGCTCAGACCGAAGTCAGCGCTGCCACTCACGCTCAGACCGAATCCCGCGCGCAGACCGAATCCCACGCGCAGACCGAATCCCACGCGCAGACTGCACTCGGCGCCCTTCCCCCTCCCGCACCCAACACTCTCGCGCCCAACACTCCCCCAACTGCCACCCCCCCTCCACCTCAAAAAACCGTGTCCACCGCGCTCGCCCTCCTCCGGTCGCTCGCGCCCCAGCTCGCCGCGCTCGGCCCCGCGCGGGTCGAGCTGGACCGTCTCGGCGTGCTGAAGACGCAGAAGGGCGGGCGGGAGGCGCATGTGCTGTGGGTGGGGCCGAGGGAGGTGGGCGAGGGGGAGGGGGAGGGTGTTGATAAGGTGGAGGACGAGGGGGATATTGGGGTGGGGGAGGCGGACGAGGCCCCGCCCCCTGTGAATCACGACGGCTCAAAGAGCTCCCTACACGCGATCGCCGACCTCGTGCACCAGACCTTCCGTCGGGAGGGGTACGTGACGGAGACGAGGCCGTTGAAGGTGCGTCCTGCTGTGCTGGGCGTTGGTGTGGGTTCTATCCGGAGGGACCTCGCTCAACCACGCGCTCGTCTTCCTTCTAGCTACACGTCACCCTCCTCAACACCACGCACCGCAAGAAGCCGCGGAGGCGGCTCGCGTTCTCGTACACCGACGTGCTGCAGTCGGACGCGGTAAAGCTCCTGGGTGCGGTACTTCCAGGACACGCGAAGGAGGTGAGTGCAGTCCTCGTTCCCGCGAGTGAACAAGAACGCCCATGAGTGCGCACCAGGCGCCCGACGCGGAGGCAGCCATGCCCAAACGCGCCAGCACGGAAACCGCCATGCTCAAACGCGCCAGCACGGAAACCGCCATGCTCAAGCATGCCATCGCCGCCGCGGAAGAAGCTGAACTGGACGCTGAAGCGCAGGAGCAGATCGAGGCGGGCGGGGATGCGATTGTCCCCGATGTGCGCGCGCGGGGCGAGATTGCAAGGGTTGTGGCGGATGGTAAGATCGCGCGGGTGGTGGCGGATGGGGAGGTCGCGCGGAACGTGGCGGATGGTGAGGTCGCGCGGAATGAGGGAGAGAAGTCCGACGTCCGGGTGGATGTGGTGGAGGTCGATATTCCAGCGCACCCGGCTTCGGACGCGCACACAGCAGCGCCGAACTCTCACCCAGCAGCGCCAACCGCTGTGTCGGCGGCGTCGACCGCGCAACCTTCATCCGCAGTCCCCCGCCACCCCATCCCCATCTCTCTCGGCTCGTACGAAGTGCGTGCGGTACACCTGTGCGAGATGGGAAGCCATGGGCCCGATAACGAGTATGTGAGCGTCGGGTGCGTGGAGTTCTGAAAAGCGTTCAGCTGGTGTTGCGATAGCAGCGCGAGACCAATGGCATGGGTTTTGACTTCGTGTGCGACCTGCGTTTATATTCCCCTGGCATCCGACGGGCCGTTGGCCTCGTATGCCGCGCGCCAAGGGCTGCTTCGTATCCGGTGAGTTCTTTTCCCGTCCTACTAGCTTTTCAACGGAGGTCGTGGGCGGCGCGCGCCACGATAGAATCACAGGATGCGGGGCGCACGAAGGCGGGAGCGGCGCTTGTTTGTCTGTTGGTGCTGGCATGGTTTCGGGGGCGGATGGCGACTCTTTGGTGCAGACCTACACCTTATATCCTTGTGATTGGGGAGGGGCAAGGGGCAATGGGCGAGCTGGGGGAAGAGCCTGGGACGAGATGGAGGCAGGCGCAACTCCCAGAGAAGGGGAGAGCAGCCTCATTCACGCGATGAGGGGGATAATGGATCGCTCTGAATTCGTCAAGCTCTTGCACTGCCTTCGGGCCCGTCGACGTGCGCGACTCCGAAGGTGGAAAGTCCGGTAAGCCCCTAGCGCCTTCTTCGCGCGGCTGACGATGTTGTTCTCCCAGCGACCAGACCTCGCGAGAAATCCGACCGCCAGCTGCGCTATTCGGCGTGTCGGCAGTCGGTATATACGACTGTCGTTGCGGGAGGTAGGCGCCTCTCGCATGTATGGATGATACGGGAGATGCGAGCCGCCCGCGATGGAAGAGAAGAGCAACCTCATCAGCGGGACTCGGACCTCGAACGTGAGCACGCTCGACCACTCCCCGCACTGCTGCACAACTGTTTCTGATGCGGTATGAATCGTGGCTCCCGCTTCTGTGTCTTCGCCGTGATGGGCGCGCGCTGTCGCTGATATCGTAGTGCCGGATGGCGCTTCCAGAGGGCTATATAATGTGCGCATCCTCGATTGAGACGCACCCTTCGCCAGACCACCATCCTGAACAGTGTATCTAATCAGCGTCAACTCATGGATCCCGCAGGAGGGAGTACAGTCGGCCTCGACCGGGCACACGTGGTAGTCCTATCGGTTGGCGTTAACTGCGGTTTCCATGGTGCGTAGGCCGCCACCGAACTCTACAGCATCACCGAAGAGGATACATCGACAGGTATGCAGATGGAGTTGACGCTCGCCGTTTTCGCTACGTTGTTGTAAGGGCTTGTATCACCGGTGCAAGGCCAGTCTGATTCGTACAGACAATGGGAACACAAGTCAGCTCACCTGCTCGCGGCCGTCGTCCCGCTCGCCTTGTGCGCGACATTGGGGATCGTTGGACACATGATTTTCTACGTCTTGGAATTGACCAGATACCCTGGCGGTCCAGAGTCAAAGGCTCAAGTAGCTGCAGATTCCGCCCAACTTGCCGCGTCTCGATGCAATGTACGTCTCGTGGCATTCTCCATCTTGACGTCTACAGCTAGGTATCTTCACCTGCGCAGCTCGGAGGGGAGTTTCTTCGCCGCCATCTTGTCGAGTGGCGCACCTTCGCCTCCGCTGCCTTTGGGGGGTGTACCTCTGCCTATGCCTCCGGGGGGTGCGTCCCTTCAACCCTTCGAGGGTATATCACCTCCGCTGCTTCGAAGGGATGTATCGTCTCCTGCGCCTCTTGGAGAAGTAGAGTCGCCTCTGCCGCTTCGAGGGGGCGTATCTTCATCTCCACCTTGTCGAGTGGCGCACCTTCGCCTCCGCCGCTTCGAGGGGAGGGCGTACCTTCATCCCCACCGCTTGGAGGGGCGGGGAGCGTGTACTTGACGAGAGGTGCGTGCCTTCGCCGCCACCGCCTCAGGAGAGGGGGGGGGGGGGGGGAAGCGTGCGATTGACGGGAGGGCGGATATTCGCCGCCTCTCCATTGGACGGGGAGCCTGAGATGGACGAATAGGGGCGTGCTTTCACCGCCGTCTCGTTGACGGGCGTGAAGCCTGAGACGGACGATAGGAGCGGGGGAGCCTGAGATGGACGAGAGGAGCGGCGTGGAGTCGGAGGAGAAGGGAGGGACGAAGGTCGAGCGAGGGACAAGGGAGGGACGAGAGGGGCGGGGAGCGTAGATTGACGAGAGGGGCGGGGAACGTAGATTGACGAGAGGGGCGGGGAGCAGGCGATGGATGAGAGAGAGGGAGGGCAAGGGAGGGGGAGACGCGCTAAAAACAGAGGGCCACGCAGGCGAGGAAGAGAAAGGGACCAGAGGGTCGAGTCGAACAAGAACGGGAGAGTCGAGCAAGAACGGGAGAGTCGAGCACGAAGGGGAGAGTCGAGCAAGAAGGGGAGATCGGGACAAACGAGCGTAGGCGAGGAGGGGTCGATGGGTCGATGGACGGGAGGGTGATGGGTGCGTACGCGGAGAGCCCGTGGCCACCGCTGGAGTAGGATGCGGTTTGGGAAAGTCGTGCTTATGTTCGGATCGTCGGAGGAGAAGCGATCCGTTGCGGTTTTGTGAGTGTAGTGGTACTCGTACATTTCTCCGTCGGGAGGACGCACAAGCGAGGACTGCAAAGTCACCAGTGAAGTGGTATCACATCGCAATCGAGTTCAGTGCTCATATCCGACGTTCTATATGATAGATGTAGCCATCCTTTCCTGAATGTGATTGCCGAGGGAGGTGATTGCTGCAAGAGGGACCCGCGACGCTGCTTCCGGTCGACAGCAACGTCTTGGCTCCCTCTGGTCCCTTCCTCCCTCCCTTTACATCGTCACTAACCTTCCCATCCCCCTTCTCCCTCGCTCCTTCGCCTGCTCCTCGCCCCCTTCCCGCTCACCGTCCGCCCCCGTTCCCGCTCGCCCCCTTCGCCCCTTCCCGCTCACTCGCATCGTCCCTCCCTTCTCGCTCGCATCGTCCGGCCCTTCGTTGCCCTCGCTCCCTCGTCCGGCCCTTCGTTGCCCTCTCACGAATCCACGCCCCTCTCTCGTCCATCCTTCGCTCCATCGCGCACTCCCACCTTCTTCACCCTCGACTCCCCTTCCCACTCTCTTCACCCTCGACCCATCTCCCCTCTTCTCGCACGCTCCCCCTCGACGACGCGCCGGCGAAGATACGCCCCCTCTCATGCATCGCCTGCTCCCCGCCCCTTCTCGCTCCCACCTTCGCTCGTCCATCGCGCACTCTCGTCCATCACTCGATCCCGCCCCTCTCATCCATCGCTCACTCCCCGCTCTCCGAAGTGGCGGCGGCGAAGGTACGCCCTCCCCTCGAAGCGGTAGAGATGCGGGTGCGCCCCTCGAAGAATTGGGGGCGAAAACACACCCCACGAAGCGGCGAATCCCGCCCCTCGAAGCGGCGGAGGCGAATATACGCCCCTCGGAGAGGTGGTGGCGAGGATACGCCCTCCAAAACGGAGGCGAAAGCACGCACCCTTCGAAGAGGTGGAGGTGAAGGTCCACCCCTCGACGAGGCGCGGGCGAAGAAACGTCCCTCCAAGCGGCCTGGTGAAGACACGCCCCCCGAAAAGGTGGCTGCGAGAGTACGTCCGCTCGAAGCGGCTGAGGTGAAAGTACGTCTCTTCGAAGAGGTGGCGGTGAGTCCCTGCCCCTCGGAGCGGTGGAGGCGAGGGTACGCCCCTCTCGAAACGGCGGAGGCAAAGATACGCCCCTCCCTGAAGTGGAGGTGAAGGTCCACCCCTCGGAGCGGCGCAGGCGAAGATACGCCCCTCGGAGGGGTGGCGGTGACGTCGAAGGTGCTTCCTCGCGCTCTCCCAACGTGCTTCCTGTCGCCCTCCCGCCCGCTAACCCTCTCGCCCGCGTCCCCTCTCGCCCGCGTACCCTCCCGCCCGCGTACCCTCTCGCGCTCTCCCAACGTGCTCTCCGCCCGCGTACCCGCTCGCCCTCTCGCCCTCTCGCCCTCTCGCCCTCTCGCCCGCGTCCCCTCTCGCCCGCGTCGAGAATCAGCTCGTCCGGCGTCGAGAATCAGCTCGTCCATCCGCTCCTGCGATCCGAGGCGTGTCGTGTACTGCTCCTGCGATCCGAGGCGTGTACTGCGGGTGCGGGAGAGAGGAGGGAAGGGGGTATGGGAGTAGGGAAGGGAGAAGGGAGGAGGGGGGAAGGGAGTGGCGAGGGAGGGGGAGAAGGGAGGGAAGGGAGGGAAGGGAGGGAAGGGAGGGAAGGGGAGAAGGGGAGAAGGAGGGAAGGGAGGGAAGGGAATGCTGCGAACTGACGCGGGGTGCTGCGCTGCGATCGCAAGGTGGGCGGGGTGGGTGTGCTCGGCGCGTTGCTCGGGCTCTGATGTGGAGGGGGGGGGGGGAGGAAGGGCGAGGAAGGGGCGAGGCAGGGGTGAGAGGGTAGGCGAGGAAGGGGGGGGAAGAGCGAGGAAGGGGATCGGAGAGAGGGCGACGAAGGGGGAGACAAGAGGCGCGGGTGGAGGGATGTATGCGCACGGTAGGGGAGTTGCGGGCGGCAGGGGGCGGGCTCGTGTATGGCAATGGGAGGCGGACTCGTAAACGGCAATGTCATTGACACAAGCAAGGAGACGACGGCAGGCTGTGTGCGTACGTATCTGGACCGTGGTGCGCGTACGTATTGGGACCGTTGTGCACGTACGTGTCGGGACGGTTGCGCACGTACGCATTGGGACAGAGCAACCATCGTCACCGAGAGCGTTGGGTCGGAGGAGATCGGTGCAGAACGCGCGTGGTGGATGAGGCGAGCGGGGGTAGAGAGTGGGAGCTAGCAGGGGGAGGGTGGGAGCTAGGGGGGCGGTGAATGCAAGCTGGAAGGGTTGCGTATGAGAGCAGTGAGGTTGCGAGTCGCACGTCCAACAAATGCATCGCGCATCCGACAAGCGCATCGCCCACCCAAAAAGCGTATCCGTATCGCGCACACACCAGCCCGCCTCACCCACCCAGCCCCAGCACCCGCGTCCCTCCCTCCCCCGACCAACGATCGACGGCGGGAGACGCCGCGACGCGATCGGTCACGGCGCGGGGTCGCTGTGACACGGGCCGGCGCGCTTCGGCGAGTCGGGCCGGTACACGATGCGTCATGATCTGCCACCCGCGTCCGTTGTCTGTCGCCGTCCCTGTCCGTCTTCGAGCGCAGGCACGTCTACTGTCCTACACCAACCCGTCCCTTTTCCGTTGCCGACCCGTCCATTGTCTATCACCGACGCGTCCATTGTCCTCCACCGACGCCTGCTTCCAACGCATCTACCACGGTTTCTCACCTATATATGCTTGATCACCATCGCTCACTCGCGCGTCGCGAATTCTGTTACAACTGTCGCGTCTTCAAACCTCGCGTCTTCAACTGTGTACGCTGCTCCATCCATCGCGCTTGACGCTCGTGAAGGCTGTCGCCAGCACGATCACACTCACCCCACGCGCTCGCGGCTGCCTCGGCCAATCCGGCCGTGCACTCCTCGCTCCGTCCCCTCCTGTCTTCCTCTCTCAATCCTCTCCCTTCCCTCCCTTCCCTCCCTTCCCTCCCTTCCCTCCCTTCCCTCCCTTCCCTCCCTTCCCTCCCTTCCCTCCCTTCCCTCCCTTCCCTCCCTTCCCTCCCTGACCTCCCTTCCCTCCCTTCCCTCCCTTCCCTCCCTTCCCTCCCTTCCCTCCCTGACCTCCCTTCCCTCCCTGACCTCTACTCCCCTCGCCCTACTCCCTCGCCCTCCTCCCCCTTCCCAAACTCCCTCCTTCCCCTTAGTACCCCCTCGTTATCTCTCCTCCCCCTATATCCCTCCCTCCCCCCTTACTCCCTTCCCTCCTTCCTTCCCCTTCTCCCCTTCTCCCCTTCCCCCCCTCTACCTACTCCCTCGCTCCCCCTTCTCCCCCTTCCCCTCCCCCTTCCCCAACCCTTCACCCTGCACGGCTCGGGTAGGAGATCCCCGCACGGCTCGGGAAGCAGATAGTCGAGGGGGATGGGGGGAGGGGATGCGGAGATGAGCGATGCAGAGGAAGGGGAAGCCGACGCAGAGGGGGGTAAAGTGAGTGGGGAGGGGAGGGGCGACCAATGCAGAGGAGGACGCAGAGGAAGGCGGGAAGGAGGACGCAGAGCAGGGGGTGACCGACGCAGAGGAGGGGGCAGACCGATGCAGAGGAGGGCGCAGACCGACGCAGAGGACGGTAAAGTGTGAGGGGGCGAGGGGCGAGGGGAGGGGCAGCCGACGCAGAGGAGGGGAGAGCGGCCGACTGAGGAGGGGAGGGCAGGCGAGTCGGTGCGGCAAGCAACGCCCCCGACGAGTTAAGCAACTCCCCCCACGCGTCGATGCGGCAAGCAACTCCCCCCGACGAGTTAAGCAAGCCTGGGGATGCGCGGCAGAGGGGAGCACCCAGTGCCATGCGCTCTGGCGCCCTTTCTTTCGTTCGATTTTTTCGTTCCGTTTTACCGGGCCTTTTCGCGCGCTTCGTTTTCTCCCGCGCGCCTGCTTTCGTTTCGCGCGCTTCGTTCTCTCCCGCACTTCTGCTCGCCTCTTCTACTTCCTTCCACTCCCGCTCCCTCCCGCCGTCCTCCTCCCCCGCCGCTCCCGCCCGCCCTGATCCATTCTACTTTCTTCCTTCCCGCCGTCACCCTAACCCTAACCCTAACGGAATGTGGCGGAGGGCGAGGTCGCACTGAATGTGGCGCGAGGCGCGATCGCGCGGAACGTGGCGGACGGCGATGTTGATGCGGCGGCGGCTGGGAACGAGAGATCACAAATCCGGGTGGATGTGGTGGAGGTCGATATTCTAGCGCACCCGGCTTCGGACGCGCACACAGCGGGTCTGAACTCTCGCCCAACGGCTTCAAGCGCTCACTCAGCTTCCTCGAGCGCGCAACCCTCATCACCCACCCCTCACCACCCCTCCTCCACCCCTCACCACCCAACCCTCCCCGTCCCTCACCACCCCACCTCCATCCCTCACCGCCCCACCTCCGCGATAGTCGTCCCCCACCACCCCATCCCCATCTCGCTCGGCTCGTACGACGTGCGCGCGGTGCACCTCTGCGAGATGGGGAGTCACGGGCCGGATAATGAGTATGTGAGTGTCGGATGGGTGGAGTTTTAGGGGGTGGGGTGCGTGTGGGGTGGATTAGTGTGTGTGTGTGGGGGGGGGGGGGGGGTGGGTGGGGACATGGAGTCTCAAGGAAACAAAGAGTGGGGAGGTTAGGAGGTGTGGGAGGGCGAGGGCTTATGGGGATTTAGGAGGCGGGTGGGGGGTTTAGAACGCGAGAACGATAGCATGGGCTTGGTTGGACCTGCTTGTGTGGTGGACAGGCTCGGCTGTGAGGAGCTGTACCTCGAGGTGCGAATGGCAAACTTCGAGGTGCGGACAGCGATTCTCGACGAGGACGTGCACACCACGTGCGCGGAGAGCCCGCAGCTACCGCTGTAGTGATGCGCGGTTTGGGAGAGCCATGCTCATGTTCGAATCGTCGAAGGAGAAGTGATCCATTAATTATCATGTTTTCGAATGCTCCATCGTGTTTTTCTAATTGTACATCGACCCATCGACCCGTCTGGTAGAGCGCACATCGACCCGTCTGGCAGAACGCACATCGACTCGTCTGGCACAGAGCGCACATCCACCCGTTTGGCAGAGCGCACAAGACAAGGCTGCAAAGTCGCAAATGGTGTCACATAGAATCTCTCGCTCGCTCCCTCAACCTCGACTCCCCGCCCCCTCTCGTCCATCGCACGCTCCCCTTCCTACTCCCTCAATTTCGACTCCCCGCCCCTCTCGTCCGTCTCAGGCTCCCTGCCTCCCGACGAGGTGGAGGTAACGATACGCACCCCGAAGCGGTGGCTGCGAAGATACGCCCCTCGACAAGGCGCAGGCTCCCGCACCTCGAAGAGGTGTCGGACAAGGTGGCGGCGAATGTACGCCCCTCTCTCGTCCATCGCACGCACCCCTTCCCGTTCACCGCCCCCGCCCATTCATGGCGCCCTCCCCAATGTGGCGGAGGCGCAAATGCGCCTCCCTCCCCCCTCGAAGCGGTGGAGGTGAAGGGACTCCCCCTCAAAGCGGGCGTCGGCGACGGTACGCCGCCTCAAAGCGGCGCTCCCCGCTCCTCTCGTCCCTCCCTTCGTCACCCCCTTCTCCCTTCATCACCCTCCCAACCCCCCTCGCCGCCCTCTCCCCCCTTCTCCCTCCGCCCCGCTTCTCCCCCCCTTCTCGCTCGCTCCCTCGCTCCTTCGTCCCCCTCTTTCCCTCTTGTTCGCCTCGTCCCTCCTTGTTCGCTCGATCCCGCCCCTCTCCTGGGTGGAGGTGAAGATACGCCCCTCGACGAGGTGGCGGCAACGATACGCCCTCTCGAAGAAACAGGGGCGAAGGTACGCCCCTCTCGTCCATCGCTCCCGCCCCTCAAAGAAGTGTAGGTCGAATACACGCCCCTCAAAGAGGCGGAGTCGAAGACCCGCCCGTTCGAAGAGGCGAGGGGCGAAGACACCCCCCCCCCGGAAGCAGCGGGGGTGCGGGTGCCATCCAGGGAGCGGAGCGGAAAACAAGCGGGCAGGAACGGAGGGAACGGAGGGAGAGGGAACGGAGGGAGAGGGGAGAGGGGAGAGTGGAGGGGGGGAAGCAAGCGAGATGTAGCGGAGAGAACGGAGAGGAGGGGAAGGGGAGAGGGGAGCGAAGTGGAAAACCAAGCGGGCAGGAACGGAGAGAATGGAGAGAGGAGGGGAGAGAGGAGGGAAGAGGGGAAGGAAGGTGGTGAGGAGGGGGGGAGCGCAGACGAAAGGCGAGTGAGAACGAACGAAAGCGGGGAAAAGCCCGCGAAAAGGCGCAGGAAAAGCAAACGAAAAGGCGCAGAAAAACGAGCGAAAATGAGAAGAAGCGTACGAGATTGAAAAAACGAAAGGTACGAGATTGAGGAAACGAAAGGTACGAAATTGAAAAAAAAAAAACAAAGGTACGAAATTGGGAAAAAGAAGCGAAAGAGCGAAAGAAGAAGCGCACAAAAAAGCGCGCGGAAACGAGCGAAGACAGGGCGAGGGCGCATGGCAGGTGCACCTCTTTCCCCCTCCTCCTCTCCCTCCCCACTCACTTAACCCCCATCCCCCATTCTCTTCCCCCCCCCTCCTCTGCGTCGGTTGCTCCTCCCCCTTGCTCGTCCGCTCCCTCCCCTGTGTCGGTCTGCCTCCTCGGCTCCGTCACCGGCGAGGTGCTCCTCCCCTGCGCTGGTCACCCTTGCCCTTCCTTCGCGTCGGTCTGCCCCCCTTCCTCCGCGTCGGTCTGCGCCCTCCTCTGCGTCCGTCACCCTTGCCCTTCACTGTGTCGGTGTTCTCCTGCTCTGCATCGGTCTGCGCCCATCCTCTGCGTCGGTCTGCGCCCTCCTTCGCGTCGGTCGGCGCCATCCTTCGCGTCGGTCGGCGCCCCTCCTTCCCGTCGCCCTCCCCCTTCCTCCGCGTCGGTCTGGACCCTCCTTCGCGTCGGTCTGCCCCCTCCTCCGCGTCGGTCTGGGCCCTCCCCTCGCTCATCCGACCCCTCCTCCGTGTCGGTCGGCCCCCTTCCTTCGCGTCGGTCTGGACCCCTCCTTCGCGTCGGTCTGGATCCTCCTCTGCATCGGTCTGGACCCTCCTCCGCGTCGGTCTGCGCCCTCCTCTGCGTCGGTCTGCGCCCTTCCTCTGCGTCAGTCTGCGCCCTCCTCTGCATCGGTCTGCGCCCCTTATCTGTGTCGGTCTACCCCCCTTCCTTCGCGTCGGTCTGCCCCCCTTCCTCTGTGTCGGTCTGTGCCCTCCTCTGCGTCGGTCTCTCCCTCCTCCGCGTCGGTCTGGACCCTCCTTCGCGTCGGCCCGCGCCCTCCTTCGCGTCGGTCTGCCCCCTGCTCTGTGTCGGTCTCTCCCTCTGCCCCTGCGTCGGTCTGTGCCCCTCCTGAGCGGCGTCGGTCTGTGCCCTCCTTCGCGTCGGTCTGCGCCCTTCCTCCTTAGTCAGTCGGCCCCTTCCTCCTTAGTCGGTCTGTGCTCTCCTCCGCGTCGGTCTGCGCCCTTCCTCCTTAGTCGGTCTGGACCCTTCCTCCGCGTCGGTCTGGACCCTGCCTTTGCGTCGATCTCCCTATCCTCCTTAGTCGGTCTGCGCCCTCCTCCGCGTCGGTCTGCGCCCCCCTCTGCGTTGGTCTGTGCCCCTTCCTCCTTCGCATCGGTTGGTCTGGACCCTCCTTCGCTGCATCGGACTGCCTCCTCGCCTCTTGCGTCGGTCTGCACCCTTCCTTCGCGTCGGTCTGCGCCCCTCCTCCGCGTCGGTCTGGACCCTCCCTCCTTCGTGTCGGTCTGCGCTCTCCTCTGCGTCGGTCTGGACCCTCCTCTGCGCCTGTCGTCCCCTCTTCCCCTCGCGTCGGTCTGCGCCTTCCTCCGCGTCGGTCTGCACCCTTCCTCCTTCACTGCGTCGGTTCTGTGCCCTTCCTCCGCGTCGGTCTGGGCCCTCCCTTCACTGCGTCGGTCTGCCCTCCTCCTGAGCTTCGGTTCTGCGCCCTCCTTCGCGTCGGTCTGCCCTCCCCTTCGCTGCGTCGGTCTGCGCCCTTCCTTCGCATCGGTCTGCGCCCCCCCCCTTCCTCTGTGTCGGTCTGCCCTCCCTTCTTGCGTCGGTCTGCGCCCTCCCCTGCGTCGGTCTGCGCCCTCCTGAGCTGCGTCCCCCCGCTTGCATCCCCCCCGACAATCTGCGCAGGGTGGAGGGTACGGGGGGGGGACATGGAGGGAGAGGGGGGAGAAGGGGAGGGAGGGCATGGGGTGTGAGGGGAGGGGAAGTGAGGGCGAGGGAAGAGGAGAAGGGGGGATTAGGGGGGTAGATGGGGGGAGGAAGGGGGAGGGAAGAGGAGAAGGAGAGACGGGTGAGGGAAGAGGGAACGAAGGTGGAGGGGGAGAGGACGAAGGGAATGCCGCAGTGGTGGTAGGGGAGGGGAAGAGAGGAGGGAAGGGTAGCGGGGGGATATGGGAGGTGCGAGGGGCGCGTGGATAGCGGTAGCGGGCGAGTGCGATCGTGCTGGCGACAGCCTTCACGAGCGGCCAGCGCGATGGATGGAGCGTCGTACACAGTTGAAGCCTTGTAGACGCGGGAAATTGAAGACGCGGCAGTCGGAACAGAATTCGCGACGGGCAAGTGCGCGATGGTGGTCAAGCATATGTAGGTGAGAAACCGTGCATACATAGGCGAGAAAAGGTGATGGATGCGTCGGAAGCAGACAACGGACGGGTTGGCGACAGACGACGAACGCGTCGGCGACAAACAATGGACGCGTTGGTGCAGGACAGTAGACGTGCCCACGGTCGCAGACGGACAGAGAACGGACGGGTGTGGCAGATCGTGACGTGCACCGGCCCGACTCGCCCGCTGTGTCACAGCGACCCCGCGCTGTGACCGATCGCGTCGCGGCCTCTCTCCGCCATCCATCGTGGTCGGGGGAGGCAGGGATGCGGGTGCTGGGGCTAGGAGGGCTAGGCGGGCTGGTGTGTGCGCGATACGGATACGCTTGTTGGGTCCGCGATACGCTTGTTGGACGCGCGATGCGCTGGCTGGACCTGCGATGCGCTTACTGGACCCCAACCCGCGACTCGCACCCTCACTGCTCCCATACGCAGCGCCTGCCAGCTTGCTTTCACCGCCCCCGCTAGCTCTCGCGGCTACCCCCGCTCACCCCAACTAACACGCGCTTTCTGCCCAGTCTCCTTCCGACCCCAACGCTCTCGGTGACGATGGTTGCTCTGTCCAGATGCGTACGCGCACAACTGTACCGATGCATACGCGCACAGCGGCCCCGACAGGTACGCGTACAACGGTCCCGATACGTACGCACACAGGCGCAATGCATCCTGCTGTCGTCTCCTTGCTTGCGTCAATGACATTGCCGGTTCCGAGCCCGCTTCCCTAAGTACTGTTCGTCATCGATCATACATTCCTCCATCCGCGCCTCTTGCCTATCGCCATTCACGCCTCCTTCCTCGCCCTCCATCGTCACCCGCCCTGCGTCCCCTCTTCCTCGCCTCTTAACTCCCCTCTTCCTCGCCAGCCCTCCCTCGCCCTTCCTCCAATCTCCGCTCCCCACCAGAGCCCGAACAAAGCATCGAGCACAACTAGAGCCCTTTCTACACAACTACAGCCCTTTCTACGCACCAAGCAATCTGCTCGCCTTGCGATCACACCCGCTGCCTTTCCTCCTCAGCCGCGCCCTTCCTCGCCTTCCCTTCCCTCCCTCCCCCCTCGCTCGGCCCCTCCACGCGCCTCGGATTGTAGGAGCGGGTTGACGGCGTCCGGTCGAGCTGATTCTCGACGCGGGCGAGGGGGTACCACACTGGGAGAGCGCGAGGACGTCGTCTGGACGAGCGAGGGTGCCACGCTGGGACGAGCGAGGACGTCGTCTGGACGAGCGAGGGGACGGCGTCTGGGAGAGCGCGGGGGTACCACGCTCGGAGAGCGCGAGGACGAGCTGATTCTCGACGCGGGCGGGGAGGGTGGGGAGGGCACGCGGGCGGGGACGTCGCCGGGAGAGCGCGAGGAAGCACCTTCGAGCCGAGAAGAGGACGCCTCTTTGATGTCGAGAAGAGGACGCCTCTTTGATGTCGAGGAGAGGACGTCCTTTGACGCGGAGGCAGACGCTCCTCGACGCGGAGGCAGGACCTCCTAGACGCGGAGGCAGACCCTCCTCGCGGCGGACGCAGACCCTTATCGACGCGGACGCAGACGCACCACGACGCGAAGGCAGACCCTTATCGACGCGGGTGAGAGGGTGTGCCTAACGCAGCGGGAGGGTACGAGTCCACGCAGCGGGAGGGTGTGCCTAACGCAGCGGGAGGGACGAGTCAACATGTTGGGAGGGACGACTCAACGCAGTGGGAGGGACGACTCAACACAGTGGGAGGGACGACTCAACGCAGCGGGAGGGTGTGCCTAACGCAGTGGGAGGGTACGACTCAACGCAGCGGGAGGGTGTGCCTAACGCAGTGGGAGGGTACGACTCAACACAGTGCGAGGGACGCGTCAACGCAGTGAGAGTGTTTCTCCTCTCCCACCCTCGCACCCATCCCGCCCGCGCACCCCTCCCGCCCGCGCAAGGCGTCCGAGGGGATGAGACCGAGCCAGAGAAGCGCTCGACGACTGCTTTTGTATCGTACGGTCGTCGTGTCTGGCTGGCTTTTGGATCGTATGGTCGTCGTGTCTGGCTGGCTTATGTATTGTATACTCGTCGTGTCTGGCTGCAGCCTGCTGTCCGCGTCTGCCTGCGTCGCGTCTGGCTGCACCTTGCTCGTCGCGTCTGGCTGCACCTTGCTGTCCGCGTCAGGCTGCAGCCTGCTGTCCGCGTCTGCCTGCACCTTGCTCGTCGCGCCCCACGGCATCCCGCTCGTCGCGACGGCAGCCTGCTGTCCGTCGCGTCTGGCTGCACCTTGCTCGTCGCGCCCCAAGGCAGCCCACTTATCACGCCCGACCGCACAGCGTGTTCGGCGCACGACCACACCGCGTGTTCGGCGCCCAACCACACCGCGTTTTCGGCGCCAGCTTGCGGCCTATTTGCTGCGCCAGCCTGAGCTTGCGCCCTCTTCGCAGCGCCAGCTTGCGACCCATTCGCCGCGCCAGCTTGCGACCTCTTCGCTGCGCCAGCTCGCGACCTATTTGCTGCGCCCGCTGGGGGAGTCTAGATCTGACCGAAAGACGGTGGCGAGTCTGACCGAGAGACGGTGGGGAGTCTGACCGAGAGACGGTGGGGAGTCTGACCGAAAGACGGTGGGGAGTCTGACCGAGAGACGGTGGCGAGTCTGACCGAAAGACGGTGACGCCGATGCCCGAGAGACGGTGGCAAGTCTGACCGAAAGACGATGGCGCCGATGGCCGAAAGACGGCGACGCCGATGGCAAAATGGACGGGCGAGTGACTGTAGATTACGGGCGAGTGACTGTAGATTACGGGCGAGTGACTGTAGATCTTGTCAGGAACTTCGCGGAGGAAGTCCTCGAGAAGTGCGCGAGCGAATTACTCGAGAAGCACGCGAGCGGCTTACTCGGGGAGTACGCGAGCGGATTACTCAAGAAGTGCGCGAAGGAAGTCCTCGAGAAGTACGCGAAGAGTACTCGGGAGCTGCGCGAAGAGTACTCGAGGAGTACGCGAAGAGTACTCGAGAGCTGCGCGAAGGAAGTCCTCGATAAGTACGCGAGCGGAATACGAGAAGGACGCGAGCGGCTTACTCGAGAAGTGCGCGAAGCAAGTCCTCGAAAACTACGCGAGCGGGATCGTCGATCACAGGATTGGTGCGAAATTCGAGCGCCGACTTGCGAAGGCCGGTGCAGAGGGTCGATTGGATGAGCGCGCGGAGGGCCGATTGAACGAGCGCGCGGAGGGCCGATTGAACGAGCGCGCGGAGGGTCGATTGGGCGGGCGCGCGGAGTAGATGGTAGGTCGGAAGTAAGGATCGCACGGTGAGTGGGAAGACGACGCGGTGAGTGGGAAGACGGCACGGTGAGTGGGAAGACGGTGCGGTGAGTGGGAAGACGACGCGGTGAGTGGGAAGACCGCACGGTGAGTGGGAAGACGGCGCGGTGAGTGGGAAGACGACGCGGTGAGTGGGAAGGCGGCGCGGTGAGTGGGAAGGCGGCGCGGTGAGTGGGAAGGCGGCGCGGTGGGACTAAGGATGGATGAGGGGGAAACATGACAGAAGAGGTAGGGGAAAAAGCTATGCCCGACCTATAGTCGAGAAGAGAGAGAGGGCAGGGATGGAATGTGTGGAGGTGGGGATGGTATGTGTGAACGTGAAGATGGAATGTGTGAACGTGAAGATGAAATGTGTGAACGTGGGGATGGAATGTGTGGAGGTGGGAATGGCACGTGTGAGGGTGGGCAAGGGATGCGAAGGCGCGCAAGGGATGTAAAGTGGCGTACAGGGAAGCGCCGGAGGAGTGGGTCGGAAGGGCGGTCTGAACGCGAAGGAAGGGCGGTCTGAGCGCGAAGGAAGGGGATGTGAGGGTGAAATGCCCCACCACTAGAAGTCACGACCAGCAGGCCTCGCGGCATCTGATTGGATCGTACGTGGAATCATCGCTGCTGTCGATACTCAAGAGGTGAGTGGGCGACGCTGCCTCGCCACAGTAAGCACAGCCGCGGCGGAATCGGACGATAAACGAGCAGCCGCGCGGCCACGTACGAGCGCGTCCTTGCTCGGGTGACGTTGTGCAGCGCCTTGAAGGCTCAGCTGGAATGACGGGAGTACGCATTGGACCTGGGGCGAGGGTGCGCTCCAGCGGGTACGAGGTCCGCAACTGTCCGTGAGCGGGTTCGGTGACTGTCCTCGCAAATCCGGAGAAGACAGCTGAGAGCGGGTGCACATGAAGCTGGCGTCGGCGGAAGGTTTTGGGCGTGAGGGTTGACGAGCTGACAAGGAGATGGGCGAGGGAGCAAATTATGGGCGCGATGGAAAGGAGGCTCGGGCGGGTGAAGACGATGTTGGACGGGCAGTTTCCGCCCTGATTCCTGACGCTTTCGGCGCAGATGGTCAGGAAGAAATGTCAGCTTCTTCGCGTCCGCTGGCCGAGACGCATGAAGCAGGGCTGCGAGTCTTGGTGAATGGGAATCGATCCAACGCTCAAAGTCCCGCGCCTTCGGCGAGCTCGATCGCAGAGCGAACCACTTCAATGGAGTGCTTAATCGGATGTGGTAACAGTTGCATGTGTCGTAAGGAGGAAAGAGGTCGAACAGGCTTACGCAGCTTGCAAATTCTGAACGCTTGTTGACGACCCATGGCTCAAAGCAGATCCGGGTTACCTGACATGATCGCTAGACGAGTTACATATTCCTATCTTGTCGTTCACGATGATAATATCCTGAGGATCGACCAGCGACCGGGCAAGTATCCCCTGTGAATCTCTGTAAGTCACAGGAAGACTTACGCGAATGCTCATCAGCCATGATCGGGCGCCACCCCATTGGCAGGACTGCAGTCTCCAGCAGTAGGCATACGCGAGCTCGCGAGCGCCTGGAAATCCAGTAGACGAGTCCGAAGGCCGCGCGGGTTCTTGCTATTGCAGATACAGCGCAGCAGAAGTCCACAAGATGCCAACTCCATATTCGCTACATAAAGGGTAAGAAATTGGTTCAAGTCCGTGTAGAGAGCGACGGAGAGGGCAGGAAAAAAGCCAGAGGGAGGAGGAGTCGCGATGATGGCGGAGGGAAACAAGCATGGAAGCACGTTGGGGGATGTCACGCTGGTGACGCCGTCAATAATCGTCAACAAACAACGTTGTCCGCCACAGTCATGTTCCGCGCCCGTTCTGGCCGTCGCCACTTTGAGAAACCTTGTCTGTGCATGCACCAATGCGCTATTTGAATGATCTGCCTGCGCTGAACTTTTCACATACCGAAAGCAACATTTTCCTGCTCGCGGCCTTCGCCTCTTCGTCATGGGTAGGCTACGGCCTCTTTTCCCTCATTTTGTCTCTGTGTCGATTATCAACACGCAGTCCTTGCTGATGTTACTCGCAATACGGTTGCCTGCTATACCGCGTGCGCGTGCTGGTCGCTCCCTACGCGACTGCGACACAGTCTCCGGCCCTTTCAACATCGTACTTTCCAAGAACGCAAATACTCTCTGTCCCGCCGACGTCGTAACAGTAGGTGTTCAACCCGAATATGGCATCTTTATAGCACTGGTCGATCTGAAACTCACCCACTCACGGTTGCAGTGAAATGCCGCAGTCCACGAGTGATCTTCGTGGTGGGCACCCGCCATTGCTATCAATGGGCATAATATCACGGACTACGGCTCTACACACTCTTCTGAGACATCCGCGCCACCGCCTAGATGCTATCACAGATGAGCCTGCTTCTCTTCCGAGTCATGTCGCGCTTTCGGTGGAAATTTTGGTGAGTTAGGAATTCTCAAATTTTGGCAGTGGACTACTCCGTACTCCACTATCACAGACGGGAGGGCGGCGCCTGATACAGATTCCGATGATGGCTGACCGCTCTGCCACTCAGTCCAGATCCATTTCATCAATCCCCTCCCGCTCGTCCGTCGCTTCTACGTGACAAGAATCCCGCCGTTCTTGATGTCAGTGCAACTGGGGGCTGTTACAGTGGCATATTAAGCGCGTACTCGAGTACTCCGGCGTCAAGGTGCCTTACTCCCTCCCTTGTATCGACCAGTCCGCGTCAAAACATGGACCGTCGAGCATTAGGGCCGGTCGACGTTGTTGGAATGCAGTTCACCCATGTGGTCATATGCGTCGACGGTGTATTCTATGGTATGTCCGACGATTTAGAGTTGTATTCTTCCTATTGACAGGAATGAGTCTCCAGGAATGCAATTGGCACTGGCCACTGCCGCCGTATCGATCTTATTGTGAGGACCCGAACATCTTTCTCGTGTGAACACCAAAGATTGATCGTGCAGGCGCCGGCAACAACGATCGTATCGCCTCATTGCGGCCATCGTCGCACTCATCCTTTTCTCATCATTGAAAACGATCGGAACCATCCTATTCTACGCGGTGCAAATCAGGGCCAACTCGAGCTTGGCGATTAGTCCGATCAATCTTCGAGTTGTGGACATACTGCTTGTTGTGGCCGCTCGATGCAGTGTAAGTTGCAGCTTCTTCCGACTTATGTCTCGCGTTGAACCCATAACTCAGTACGTGACCGATATCTGTGTGGTTGTCTGGCGGGCTTGGGTGTTATACGCAGATAGCCGTCGTATCAAAGCTATCCTAGCGCTGTGTGTCGGCGCAGTTGTGGGTAAGTGAGCCTAACCATTCACACTACTCCTGATTGATCTTCGGGAGTCTGCACCATCGCTGACTTCGCGCGTATCACCTGCAAGCGAGTGCGAGGAGAGGAGATAGATCACCAAGCTGCATTCACGCTTATATGGGCTGTCCCTCTTCTACTCACCAACATCTTTACCACTGCGCTCATAGGCATGCGAACATGGTACGCAATGCTTTCTCTGCCATGAACGCGTTACTCACATATACCTTCAGGCGCTACCAGCGCGAGGCGCGCATCTTCCTCTCCCGAGGTTCACGAAGAACCGGTCCAGGGAAGGTACTCGTCGTGCTTCTAGAGACTGGCCTTATCTCTTGTTCACTTTGGGTGCGTCGTACGCCTGACACAGGCAGAGGGAGCCATGCAAGTAATAGCAAAATCAGATGGTATATATAATCCTGGCGGCCATAGACGACCCCGACACAAGCACTCCTGGCGATGTCATACTCCAGGCGTACCATTCTCTTTCTGTGAGCAACCCCCCGATCGCGCCCGTCCCCGGACCCTCACACGTACGTCCAGGGGATATACCCGACCGTCGTAATCCTTGTGGTGGCGATGCGGCGCCCTGAGACGGAAAGCTTCCTCGAGGTGGAAATTTCGCGCGGTTTGCGCTTCGAGGGACGCGTTGAGCTCGCGACGTCCTTCGCATGGGATCCTGCTACGACAGATAGTACGGCGCAAGATCATACGAAGACGCCCATTGCGCAAGCCCACGACGCGACCAGAGGATTGCTGGCGCACGAGACGGGGCTGCATCCTTCGAGCGGCGTCGCGGGCCCGTCTTCTTGCGGAGCTCACAGTGGGGGGTGGGTCCTGAGTGAATGTTGAACGTCTAGTCATCGAGTATGTACCTCCTAAACTCTGTACCGATAAAAAATATTGTGACAAATGCGTATCGGTAGCTGTTTGGCGCACGCAAGGACACTTTGCGCTTGGATAGACGTGAGCGTTACACGACGGCGCGTATGAGGGCTCACCATCACCTGAAGTCCCGTCTGGTTCTTATCTCCGGCGGAGGTGTCGACGATTTATCTAGATTCGCACGATATGACATCGCTTCGGCTTAAGCATAGGTTCGTCACAGCTCTGGTGAGACATCGTACTCCGAGAGCGGTAAGCAGAAAGTCAGGTCGTCGGGCCGCTTTGTCAGATCAGTACGATTTAGGAGAGCGCTCACCACCTCTCCTTCGACAACAACGAGGTAGACTATCTGGCGTGCCGTCGTCGTCAGCAGCCGGATAGGATTATGCGGGAGTCAGGAGACATACCCATAAAACACCGGTCGCGAGAAGGACCCGCTCTACGCTTGTCGGACCAGAAAGCCTTCCCAGCGAGCCTCTAATGTTGCGCTGGTATTCCCTGCGAGCTAATGGGTACGGCGCGAGCGGCCATGGCCCACTCACCAGACACGCCTCCCGATCAGCGCCGCGGAGAGGACATTGACGCAGATCATGGGCCCAAGCCACACCAGCGTGCGCAGCTCGTAGAACCAGATACGGTCTTGGAGAGGCATGTCGGACGGCCGCTGCCACGCCCAGCGAAGGCCGAACTCCAGCACCACACCCACTGCCGCCGTTCAGCACCATTAGATTGGATCCGGGGCTCTCCCTTACACGCAACCACGAGCATACTAGCGGACAGCGCGGCTTCTGCGCAGCGGCTACGCGGCCACAGCACTCACGCGCGCCAGACGACGACCGCCGCGTCCACCAGGTATTATGCAGATGACCTCAGTCGTCTGTCCCAAAGTCTCAATAGTCGCATACTCACGTTGCCCCGCGTCGCCATGAGGGCGAAGGGCTCCACGCCGTCCACGATCCCCGTCGCGTGCTGGCAGGAGGCGGGTGTCCGCGCTGAGCTCGTGCGATCCATCGCGAGGAAAGAGATCGCCAATGTGGAGCAGGTGCCAATGACTACGAGCGCCAGGACGGAGGGAGGAGACCAGGTTTGGAGACGCCTGGCAGTGCTTGGTCATTATCACGACCAGAATGTTGCGCCACGAGTCGTGAAGGCAAGCAGGGGGCAGGCATCGTCGATTCTAATCTGGCTCCCATAGCGCTCCAGGAATCCGTGATTCTTCAGCTATAGCCATCTGCGTGTACTTACAACCTTTTCGACGACGGACTATACAGCACGGCCGGACGAGATATTCTTTAGTATTGCGCTCCGACGTCCGTACGCACCCTCAAGCAATCCAGGTCGCCACAAGGATGGTCATTTGCACACCTGCAAGCAGAATTTTGCATGCGCACGATCAGAGATATGAAAAAGCGGCGAAAGGTGAGGTCGCAGACGCACCATAACACACGCATTCGACCGCAGTTTGCACGATCATTTCTGGAAGCCCAAAACCAGAGCAGGTCGAACGTAGTGGTCGGGCGGAGGACATGAAGGAAGCAAATGAGCGGAAACAATGAGACTGAGTGAGGCGGGCAAGGTGATACGGGCCTGCCTATGCAGGCCCCGACGTATATACGTCCACGGGGTACACATCTTGAGTGTAGCGCGCCTATCGCTGCGCCCGCTCGGGAGTCTTGTTAAATCACTGAGAGTTGCGCAGAGAACTGAGACGTCATATAAGTCAGTGCAACAATGCGGTGTGCAGAACACTCACGCGCATCGAGCACAGGGATCCGCTCCTCGACACCCGCGCCGGCATTTTGTTTCCTGGTATTTTGTTGTTTCCGGGTGTCGCTGTGAATTGTTGTACTCGCGCATACTAGTAATTATGGACCTGTCATAATTTGAAAGGAAACCAGGCACGAGGTGGAATGCGCAGAAGCAGCGAAGGAGCGAGTGGCACTGGGCCACTGGCAGACGGAGAGAGGTATACGAGCACGTGACTAACGCGCCTCACGGGCTGTCACGCTTGGTCACACTTGCCATCAACCTCAACGTTGTCCGCCGCCACCGTCATCGACGCCGAAACGAGGGCCGCCGTTGCTCACGACGACACGCAAGAGATACGACGAGAGATGTCTCGCCTACCGCGCCTGCAATCCTCCCCGACGGCCGTGCCGCCAACGATCACGACGCGCAAACGCGCCGCGGCCGAAATGCAACAAGAACAGGTAGCGCCTGCCAGCCGCAAGCGCAAAGCCGTCGACGACGATGAAGACGAGGACGAGGCGCGCGACCAACCGCGCAAGCTGCCAGCGATTGGCATAGGGCGCGCGAAACCGCTGCAGCCATCGCGGTCGACGACGAACACACTCGCTCGACCCACCACTCGTTCAGTATCCGGCGGCAGCCTCGCTCAATCCAACAATGCGCGCCCCAAGCTCACTGTACCTCGCGGGCCCGCACCCTCCCGATCAACGAACCTCGGCCGCTCGACCCGCGGCACGAGCGCCCCGCCCGCGGGCGCCTCCTCCGTCAAGCCACCGTCCCGCCCGGGCTTCAACGTCTCCACCAACCGCAAGCCACCCTCTGCTTCCTCCACCACCACCCAACCCCCCTCCACCCACCGCCTCTCCGTCCTCCACTCGCGCCTCGAAACCCTCGAGGCGCACGCGCTCGCCGCCGACATGGACGCCGAGCGCGCCAAGGCCGCCGCGATCCAGTCCACGCTCGTCGCCCAGCGCGAGGAGCACCTGGCGGGCCGGCGCGCGCTCGCCGCCGCGCAGGACGAGCTCGCGGACGGGAAGCGAGCGTGGGCGCGCGAGCGGGAGGAGCTCGAGGCGGACGGCCGCCGGCGCGACCGCGAGCTGAGGGAGCTCGGCGAGGACCTGCGGATCGCGCGCGCGGATTTGGACCGCGCGCGGGGCGAGGCGACGGAGCTGAGGGCGGCGGTGAGCGCGGGGAGCACCGCGCAGCTCACGCTCCAGGCGCAGAAGGCGGCGCTCGAGGCGCGGTGCGAGGCGCTGGCGTCACAGCTTGAGGCGGTGACGACGGGCAAGGAGAACGTCGCGAAGGAGAACGAGGACCTGCGCGCGGAGGTCGCGCGCTTGAAGGCGCAGGCGGTCAAGCACGAGGAGATCCGCCGACGGATGCACAACGAGATCCAAGAGCTGAAGGGGAACATTCGCGGCCGCGGCTGGGCGAGAACGAGGGGGCCGGGTCCGCTTCGATGGCGTCCGACATCCCTGCGACGGATTTGGGCGGAGCCCGTCGGTGCGCGCGGGAGGGGGTGGGGGGTGGGGGGAGTAGAAGGTGGGAGGGGGGGAGGGGGGCATGCCCTTCGAGAGACAGCTCGCGAGGGGCTGCGCCTAGGTGCGGGGGGCGACGCGCGGGGGTGCAGGGGAGGGGAAGGGGGAGGGGGGGACATAGCAGGTAGCACGTCGTACGTAAGTAGCACGCTGTACATATGTAGTTACTTCAATGAAAATGACTTTCTTGAAACAACGAACGCGCGATGCCGGAGTCAGTGAGGGGAAGAGGGGGGGACGACGGAACATGCGAGGAGGGGCTCACTAGAAGGAAGGGACTTGACGAGGGAGCCCCTCGCACTCTCAGGAATCGGATTCTACCATCATTTCCTACGACGACCATACGTGATTTCGAGATATGAGAGAAGGGAGGCGGAAAGTGAAGGCATCCGAAGGGCAGTCGGGTGCACGAACAAAGTCACGAGCATGTCCATTGTCGAGCGTGAACTTCGTCGCGAGGATGAGCGCGAGCGGACGAGATGGCTTAATCGAGGCTAGATTCCCTTTAGATGGTGGAGGGGAGCGAGGGGAAGGGAGGGGTTCGAAGGTAGGGACCCGACGAGCTGAACCCCGAGTCGAGTTTGTGGCTTACCGAGTTGGACTTATGACACGACCTGGATTCACGCCACGTAGCATACTCATCTCTATGTCGCGCGAGCACGCGGGAGGGGGGGAGATATGAAGCAAAGACATCTTTAATTTGGTATCTACTGACACCTCGTCTACTCGAGCATCGAACCTGTAGCTACACGAAGAAGGGGAGTGCTTACCCACACCACGCACCCGGAAAAGCGACCCCACCCTCTAGCGGGTGCACCCGAGAACGAAGGGGAAGGGATCCCTCCCACACCCCGAGTCTTCCCCTCGTCTTATGCTTCCCCCTCAATTCTCGCAGCGAAGGTGCGCTCAGCGCCTTCGGGCCACCCTCTCGCCCGATCCGAGTTCCCCACCTTCGTGGATAGCGAAGGGGGGAGGTGGGGAGGGAATATCATCAGGAGATCTGTAACAGTGTTAGTTAATCGGAGCTGCAAGGGAGCTCGAGAAATCCTACCTCTGCGATGACTCGATGCTCCCACCCCCTATCGCACCTTCGTAGCGTTGAGGGGTGGGGATATGCGTGGGGTGGGAAGGGTAGCTCACCCTCGTCGCACTCGCTCGACGAGGGCGCGAGGCATGCCTCCGGACGAAAAGAACCCAACAAAAAATGTCAGCGCGCTTCAACTCGTCGTATGAGGCGGGAGGGAGCGGTGGTGCACGACGAGGGGGTGCTACTCACGGGAAAAAAAGGGACGCCTCGTCGGGACCACTTACCGATACTCCTCCCCTCCCCTCCCCCCTTCAAGTCCTTTTCTGACGTGAACGAGGGGTACACGCCATCGACCCCGGCGCGGCGAGACAAAGGGGGAGGAGGGGTGGGTAGGCTGAAATGAATTCATCAGTATTGGAGTGCGAGGGGGCTTGTACGAGGCGTACCTTGCGAGATTGGGGAGAGGGGGAAGGGAGGACCCCTTCCCTCTTCGCATCAACTCGCCGAGGGGGTGAATGCACGCCTCTGGCGGCCGAGAATCAGTGATAAACCTGAGAAAGGGGTCAGCATAACGATGAGGCGGGAGGTGGGGGGTGGCGCAGGACGAGGGGGGCGACACAGGACGAAGGGGGGCTTTCATTCCGGGAAAGGGGACACCCCCCGCATTGACAGCCTTCAACTCTTCCTTTTGTGAATAGAACTCACCGACGCTCCTCCCCTCGTCTTCGAGCCTTCCTCGACGCAGAAAGGGGGTGCGCAACCCCTTCGCAACCTCCCCGTGACCCTCACGGGCGACGCCAAGACGAGGGGGAGGGGCTAAAGTCAATCTATCAGCATTGAACTGCGAAGGGGGAGGGGACCAAGCGCACCTCACGGAGGGGGTGGGGTGAGAGGACCCCCTCCTTCATCGCACCAACTCGCCGAGGGGGCGCACACAGGCCTCCGGCGGTTAGGGGGGTCGAGAAAAATCGTCTACAAACAAAATCAGTACGCCTTCGTGACAGGGAAGGGGTCGAGACAAGGGGGAGGGGTGTGTGGGGGAGTGATAGGGGAAGGCTTCTGATGTATACTCACCTGAACGCGATGGGGGATAGCTCCCCCTGCCCCGGTTCGACAAGGGGGAAGGAAGGGGATGGGCCCCCACCCCCTTTCGCATCACTCTCATACGCGAGCACGCGCGTGCCTTCGGCGATGGTGAGCGAATGTATTTACGAGGCATCTGACTCACCAGTCACACAGGGACCCACACCCCGCACCGCTGCTCGACGACCGTCGGGGGTAAGGGCGACAAGGGGTGGCGTGGGGAGAGGGTGCCCCACCCTCTTCGCATACCTCGTCTAGGGGGTGCGCGCGTGCCTCCGGCGGTTCGGGATCAGCGAAAAAATCGTCTCAAAAGGCGTCAGCACGCATTTTCAGGTAGGGGAGGGGGGAGTGGTGAACGGGGAAGGCTGATACGGAAGGGGTAGCGCACCCCCTTTGCACGACTCGCGCATGCCCCCCGACTGCCGCACGCGTACATCACCCCCTTCGAGATCGCCCGAGAAAGGCGACGGACCCCCACCCTCGATGATAAACTGCGGGGTCGAGGTCAGTGCGAACACGTTTTTCGACAAAGGGAGGACGTAACATAGAAGTCGTGCGGACGTCTCCGGTAGCAGGGGGGCTCTGAGTGAATGTCGGCGGGGTTTTTGCTCGGCAGGTGCGTTGGTCAGCGGACAGCGGCGCAGCGCAGCCGTGTCAACCGAAACCCCACGTAATAGGGAGGGGCGGTTCGGCGGCCGCATTGAAGGGTGAGGGCGAGACACGAGGCGCGGCGAGCGGGTAGGTATGGGTGAGTGGGGTTGGGTGAGGACAACGTCGAGGGTGGGCTGTGGAATGGCGCCGCAGGGCTTCGGTTAGCGTTATTTCGGCATAGAACGTCGCGCTCTCGACGGCGAGATCGGGGAGACAAAGGCGTCGACGTACGCGCAGACGATGCTCGCAGTAAATCTGCTTTTGAGCAGGTCGAAGACGGCGACGAGGGCTTGCACGTCGTCGCCGAGCAAGCAGCGTGAGGCAGGTGAGGTCATCATCACCGAGGGCGGGGAGGAAATCGTTGGGGCCGAACGAGGACGACGAGGAGCGCCGTCACTGCGAAACGTGTCAGTCAATATGCACCCCGAAGACGCGGCGAGCGACGCACTCGAGGCCAGCCCAACGATCGTGTACAGCGTAGCACGCACGAGAGTGCGTTTGGTGTCGATTGATGGTGCGCGTGCGTGCCAATGACTTGCTGTGGTGGTGGTGGTGGGAGAAGGAAGGAATCTGTGAAGGGATCAGCAACTCGTACGTGGAAGGGTGAGTGCGGGGACTCGCTCGTAGCAATGGTATTCCTGTGAAGGCAATCTGAGTAGAGTAGGACATCAGTACAAATGAGGTTAGTGAACAAGGGATGGACTTACAAAGTCAAAGGAGAGGACGAGACCAAACAACTGGAGACTGATTAGTGACAGCGGGAAGAGCGAGGGTTAGAAAAGCGCACCGACTGCGAATCAATCATGGGAAGTAAGTTAGAAGAGAGGAGGAAGATATTGGAGGGAAGGAGGGAGGGAGGGAAGGTTAGGTTGCTGAATCAAATGGTCAGACCAGTCACCTTATATACACCGCGTCCCGGATAGACGCCGCGCCCGGGCCCCGCCAAAACTTCCAGCCCATGTTCCGCCATCACTCCGCGAAGACCTCGGTGGGGCGCGCCCGAGTTCTGCCCAGGCAGAAGCGGAAGATTGGGGGAATAAGCGTGTTTCGCGCGCGTACCATCTTCCGCCTTTCCCTGCGCGAATGTCAGCGAGAACGCGGTGGAAAGTGAATCGTACGTACTTGTTCGGGCACGGGATGCCGTCGCCGGAGCGTCGGAAGGTAGGGTGGAAGGTTGGGCGGTCGTTCTTGCGCGGTGGGCCGTTGAGGGTGTGAGCTGCTCTGTGCTGTTCTCATCGAGCTCAGCGTCAAAAGCAAAGCCCCAGAGCGTACCTAGCGAGTACACGAGGCGGTAAGTGACGCGTAACAGTGTCTCGCGGTCGGGGGCGGCGCAGAAAAGTCAGGAAAATGTCGAACATGGCGCGATCACACTTGATCTCCATTTGGCAGGCTTTGAGCTGCGCCAAATCCAGCGCGTCGAAGCCGTGCCTCCAACCCCCTCAGCTTCCGAGAGCACCAGCGCGACCACGAGACACGTGTTTGCGATACTGTAGACATGTTGCGGGGGGCAGATTGGGCAGGGGTGGGCGGTGAATGCATGTCCCCCCGCCAAGGCGAGAGTGTCCGACCGAGCTCGAGCGCAACGTGGCGTTCGTCAACGCGGATTAGTATTCCGCAGGTCTGGATCAGTATGTAAGCATCTGGACGCTCAGTAGGTGACTATCGTCATACCGGTATGCGGGGGGAGGGGGGGTTGGGGACGGCATCTGTGCATGGTGTATGTCGAGTTTTCCGAGGCACCTCAGTGCGCTGGGACCGTAGATAGGTTATTAGTGGTGAAAGGGTGGTGCACTAATGTCGGTAGGAGCGAAAGTGCAGGGGGTGACGCGGCATAGGATGTCGCGCGCGGGGGGAAGGGGCGGTATAGGGCATTGGTGTTGGAGGGGAATGCGCTCAAAGGCTCAGTGCCCTATCTCAATGTGTCTAAAGTGAAGGGGGAGGGGTGAGCGATGTCGACGTCGCGTCCATCGTGCATGCATCCCACCGCCGACGTGTCCATTACCCTCATTACGCGTCCTAGCCGCACCAGGCGCGCCCCCTTCGTTCCAGAGGCGTCGTTCGCGCAAGATATGCGTCGATCACCACGACGACGCGCTTGCCGTCGTCGAATGCGCAGGGGACTCTGGCGATGGATGGGTATCGAGACGGACGCGGGGGACAAGAGCGGTCGGCAATTGCCGAGAACCGGCGGGGCGGGGCGAAGCGCCGAGTGCTTGTTGATCCCGACCGTCACCTTCGGCGGCGTCGTTCCTCGAGGTGCCTCTCCCCTTGTTCTCTCGTGCCGCGGGCGCGTTCCCCTCTCTCACATCTACCCATTCCTGCCATTCCCGCTCATATTTCCTTCCATGAAGCCAAAGTGTTGATTTCTTGCATTCCGTCCTGCGAGCTTGACCCAGCGGTCGACATGTTCGAGCGCCGCTATTATTCCCAAAACGTCTCAGGGTCGTCGGCGAGGCTCTCCGCGTGCAATGGCGACTTGTCGACCTGTCGCATGTCCGTCCTCCGCAGATCCCCGCCCCATGTTGCCTGTCCCGTACCGTGCCTCGCGTCTTCTCTCATTCCACCCCTCCCACGCAGATGCTTTCGTTGTCTGTGGGTCACTCGATTCATTCCCGTCTTCTCTCGCAACATATCTATTTACCGCCTAGGCGATGAGGCAATGTATCGCCGTCCGCCGAGCAGGCTAATACGATACGTGCTATGGTTTTAGAAGTACTCGTAATATACCCTGTCTCGCTCACCGTGCGTGATTCATGTTCGGGCGCTTGCGGAATCTGCTAGCGCGGCGATGTCAGTGAGCAGCGGGGCTCTCCGACTCGCTCAGTGACCAACTGTGTCCTCCTCGAAGGCTGTTCATTCCCTCCTTTCTAGCCACTCCTCCGCCCACGCTCCGATTTGTCTGGCCTTCCGAATCAATCGACCCGTTCGAGCTCATTACGCAACCTCCGCACCATGCCTCACCGCCGCACACCACATCACACGTTTCCACCATCGCGCCATCCCACAACTTGCTTCCCGCTCCCACCATCTCGCTTCCTGCTCCCACCATCCGGCTCGCTGTTGCGCTTTCCCTCCCGCTCGCTGTTGCGCTTTCCCTCTCGTTCCGCCACCCTTCCACTCGCCATGCATGATGACACTTCTCGCTGTTGCTCAGGTCTCCTTCATATCAACTTCTCCTTAGCCTTATTCCCTTCAATTCCTCTTTCTGTCGCAAGCTGTGCCGATGACTTGCTCAAAGGCCGTACTCGCACCCGAAGACTGCCACCCGTGCTCCCCATCCCGAGTGTGTGAGTTGATGGCATATCTGCTAGGTGTGTGTACTGTGCTTCGAGAGCGAGTCTAGCACTCACCCGGTGTCTGCAGGCTGTGGAGCAATGTAGCTCCGTGTCCTGAGCCCCTCTATCCCCTCATTTGTGTGCCAATCCCTTCCAAGAAAATCGAGGTCTCCCCACGAGTAGTCTATACACATCTTCTTGCATAGCTTCTACCTCTATACACACTTGGAAGCAATGAATTCTTGCTGAGCTTGTCGACAAAGCTTGCAACACTGCCATCTCATACCCTTGAGCCTCCGAATGTTTGTGCTGATTGCAAGACCAAGCCTGAAACCCGCAGTGAAGCAACATTGTGACATCCTAGTTCTTGTTTGACGTAACTTGGCAAGCAAAGTCTGTAACTCGGTCAAGGAAGTCCGCAGCCGCAGACAACTACGTATTCGATGCTTGCACGCCTGACGAGTTGTCTGGCTTGACCGAGTTCTGGGAGGGCAGCCAAGACCTGTCCAAAAGAGGGAAGAGAGGGAGAAAAAACCGTAGGACAGAGGAGAGAGGTGCTGAAGATGGGATTGAAAGGCATGTTGTTGAACCGAGTGCGTGCTGCCACCCCCCGCTTGAAGCAAGTCGAGAGCGCGAGCGGTTCGAACGCGAGCGCGGCCGGAGATAATAGTAACGGTCACAGTGGATCGGGAATGGGATCGGCGGGATGGGGAGGATATAGAGGGCGAGGGAGGGCAGATACGAGGACGAGGACAGCATAGAGTACCTTGTATTTTCTCCCTCTATCGAGCCCGCTTTGTCCGAGGGCGCAAATCGCAGCGGTTCGCGAGTTGTATGTTGCATTTTTTGGACTTGCGTTCACACCAAAAACTCGCTCGAAAAGGAAGTTCAACCGTGACCAAGCCAAGCCAGACCCTGCCCGAGCCCTGCCCGCGAGGCAAGGGTCGTCGCGCGCAGCCAGCGTACAAAGGCAAGCAGCTGGCAGAAGACAGCGCGGATCCCCCACCCGCATGACGTCGACGTCGCCCGCCCGCGCACGTGCACCGACCCCGCCCAACCGACGTGAGCAGCCTCATCCCTAGGCGGGGAGACGCGATCGAGCAGCCGTTGACAGGTGCGGGCAATAAGGACGGGATCCCAGCAGTCGAGAAGGCCTGCTGCGGCGTCTGCGTCGACGGCAGCAAGAGGCCACCACGCGCCTAACGCGACGCGTCCATGTGACACAACATCACGCGTCACCCTGTCATCAACGTTGCTCGCCACCGCCATCATCGACGCCGAAGCCTGCAAGGCCACCGCCGGTGCTCACGTCGACGACTTACGCACCCAAGACAACGAAGATGTCGCGTCTTCCTCGGCTTCAGTCGCCTCCAACGGCCGTGCCGCCAACGATCACGACGCGCAAACGTGCCGCAGAACAAGAACAACTGGCACCCATCAGTCGCAAGCGCAAGGCCGTCGACGACGATGAAGACGAGGACGAGGCGCGAGACCAGCCGCGCAAGCTGCCTGCGATCGGCATAGGGCGCGCGAAACCGCTGCAACCATCGCGGTCGACGACGAACACACTCGCTCGACCCACCACTCGTTCAGTATCCGGCGGCAGCCTCGCTCAATCCAACAATGCGCGCCCCAAGCTCACTGTACCTCGCGGGCCCGCACCCTCCCGATCAACGAACCTCGGCCGCTCGACCCGCGGCACGAGCGCCCCGCCCGCGGGCGCCTCCTCCGTCAAGCCACCGTCCCGCCCGGGCTTCAACGTCTCCACCAACCGCAAGCCACCCTCTGCTTCCTCCACCACCACCCAACCCCCCTCCACCCACCGCCTCTCTGTCCTCCACTCGCGCCTCGAAATCCTCGAGGCGCACGCGCTCGCCGCCGACATGGACGCCGAGCGCGCCAAGGCCGCCGCGATCCAGTCCACGCTCGTCGCCCAGCGCGAGGAGCACCTGGCGGGCCGGCGCGCGCTCGCCGCCGCGCAGGACGAGCTCGCGGACGGGCGGCGCGCGTGGGCGCGCGAGCGGGAGGAGCTCGAGGCGGACGGGCGCCGGCGCGATCGCGAGCTGAGGGAGCTCGGCGAGGACCTGCGGATCGCGCGCGCGGACCTGGAGCGCGCGCGCGGCGAGGCGACGGAGCTGAGGGCGGCGGTGAGCGCGGGGAGCACCGCGCAGCTCACGCTCCAGGCGCAGAAGGCCGCGCTCGAGGCGCGGTGCGAGGCGCTGGCGGCGCAGCTCGAGGCGGTCACCACGGGCAAGGAGAACGTCGCGAAGGAAAAACGAGGACCTGCGCGCGGAGGTCGCGCGTCTGAAGGCGGAGGCGGTCAAGCATGAGGAGATCCGCCGGCGGATGCACAACGAGATTCAGGAGCTGAAGGGGAACATCCGCGGCCGCCGCTGGGCGAGAACGAGGGGGGCGGGTCCGCTTCGATGGCGTCCGACATCCCTGCGACGAATTTGGGTGGAGTCCGTTGGTGCGCGCGGGAGGGGGTGGGGGGAGGAGGGGGGAGAAGGGGGGGAGGGGGGAGAAGGGGGGGAGGGGGGAGAAGGAGGGGAGGGGGGAGAAGGAGGTGGGAAGGGGGGAGGGGGGCATGCCCTTCGAGAGACAGCTCGCGAGGGGCTGCGCCTACGTGCGGGTGGCGACGCGCGGGGGTGTAGGGGAGGGGGAGGGGAACGGGGAGGGGGAGACAGGGTAGGTAGCGCGTCGTACGTAAGTAGCACGCTGTACATATGTAGTTACTTCAATGAAAATGACTTTCTTGAAACCACGAACGCGCGATGCCGGAGTCAGTGAGGGGGATGGGAGGGGCTGACCTCGAGAAGGGGGAGGGGATGAACACGCGAGGAGGAAGGAAGGGACTTGACGAGGGGGATCCTCGCACTCTCAGGAATCGGAATCTATCATCATTTCCTACGACGACCATACGTGATTTCGAGATATGAGAGAAGGGAGGCGGAAAGTGAAGGCATCCGAAGGGCAGTCGGGTGCACGAACAAAGTCACGAGCATGTCCATTGTCGAGCGTGAACTTCGTCGCGAGGATGAGCGCGAGCGGACGAGATGGCTTAATCGAGGCTAGATTCCCTTTAGATGGTGGAGGGGAGCGAGGGG